GAGGAGGAGGAGGAGGAGGAAGAGGAGGAAGAGGAGGAGGAGAGGAGGAGGAAGAGGTGGAGGAGAAGGAGGAGAAGGAGGAAGAGGAGGAGGAAGAGGAGGACGAGGAGGAGGAGGAGGAGGAGGAAGAGGAGGAGGAGTAGGAGGAGGGGAAGAGGAGGAAGAGGAGGAGGAAGAGGTGGAGGAGAAGGAGGAAGAGGAGGACGAGGAGGAGGAGGAGGAGGAAGAGGAGGAAGAGGAGGAGGAGGAGTAGGAGGAGGGGAAGAGGAGGAGAGGAGGAGGAGGAGAGGAAGAAGAGGAAGAAGAAGGAGAAGAGGAAGAAGAAGGAGAAGGAGAAGAACAAGAGGAAGGAGAAGAAGAAGACGAAGGAGAAGAAGAGGAAGAAGAGGAAGGAGAAGAAGAGGAAGGAGAAGAAGAAGAGGAAGGAGAAGAAGAAGAGGAAGGAGAAGGAGAAAAAGAAGAAGAGCTTTGTGTGTGTGTGTGTGTGTGTGTGAGCAAATGTTTCTGTACTTGTATTGTTTTTTGTTCGTTTTTTTTGTCTGTTATTTTATTGAATTTATTGTATTACTTACAATAATTATTACTTACTGTAATTTGTTATGTTTTTTATTTGTTACACTTTACTGTAACTGCATTTATTTGACAACCGCTGCTGCTACCTGCTGCTTGCTATTTTTGAGGACCCTCCTGAAAACGAGATGATGCATCTCAAGAGGCTATTCCTCGTAATAAAGATATGTTAAAGGACAACTCACCCTCAAATCCACTTTTTTTTGCTGATAAACGGTATAAATGAGTGTCATAATTTGTCACTTTGGTGCAAATTAGTTGAAAGTTAAACTTTCTGCCTAAAACCGTCTGTGAGGCGCCATCTGCTGGCGACCTGTATTACTACATTTGAATTTTGAATCTGGCGCCAACATTGGCGCGGCAGCAAGACCTGACGTCAGCAGCCCCCCGCCCAGAGCTATGTAAACGGCCCAGTCTCGTTCACGGCCCCTTTAGTCCTCCAGGCTACGCCCATTTAGAGGAAGATTTGAACAGGAAATGTGAGTAACGTAAGCTCCGAGGAGCGGGGGTGAGAACCACTTTAAAGAAAGAAAGAAAGAAGAAAAGAAAAAGTAGAAGAGGAAGAAGAAGTAGATTACTGTTGTTTTTCTTGATTTTGATTATCCTTAAATTAAAAAGAACATTTCTAAAAAGAGAAGCTCAGATGACCTGCTGCTGCTCCAGCTTGGTTTGTATTTCCTGATAGTCGCAGGAGTCGTAGGCGATGGGTTTGGACAGTTCTGTTTCGATGTGAACCAACCAGAACCTGAGGCTGCTCATGTTTTTATCCAACTGCTGCACGGCCACCAGCGTCTCCTTCAACTTCTTCCCTCTGTCACATCAAACTAAAGTCTCACAACATGTGATGGTTCTGACCCATGGATCTATAATGACAATGTTCTGACCCATGGATCTATAATGATAATGTTCTGACCCATGGATCTATAAAGACAATGTTCTGACCCATGGATCTATAATGATAATGTTCTGACCCATGGATCTATAATGACAATGTTCTGACCCATGGATCTATAATGATAATGTTCTGACCCATGGATCTATAATGATAATGTTCTGACCCATGGATCTCTAATGATAATGTTCTGACCCATGGATCTATAATGATAATGTTCTGACCCATGGATCTATAATGATAATGTTCTGACCCATGGATCTATAATGATAATGTTCTGACCCATGGATCTATAATGATAATGTTCTGACCCATGGATCTATAATGATAATGTTCTGACCCATGGATCTATAATGATAATGTTCTGACCCATGGATCTATAATGACAATGTTCTGACCCATGGATCTAAAATGATAATGTTCTGACCCATGGATCTATAATGATAATGTTCTGACCCATGGATCTATAATGATAATGTTCTGACCCATGGATCTATAATGATAATGTTCTGACCCATGGATCTATAATGATAATGTTCTGACCCATGGATCTATAATGATAATGTTCTGACCCATGGATCTAAAATGATAATGTTCTGACCCATGGATCTATAATGATAATGTTCTGGCCCATGGATCTATAATGATAATGTTCTGACCCATGGATCTATAATGATAATGTTCTGACCCATGGATCTATAATGATAATGTTCTGACCCATGGATCTATAATGATAATGTTCTGACCCATGGATCTATAATGATAATGTTCTGACCCATGGATCTATAATGATAATGTTCTGACCCATGGATCTATAATGATAATGTTCTGACCCATGGATCTATAATGATAATGTTCTGACCCATGGATCTATAATGATAATGTTCTGACCCATGGATCTATAATGATAATGTTCTGACCCATGGATCTATAATGATAATGTTCTGACCCATGGATCTATAATGATAATGTTCTGACCCATGGATCTATAATGATAATGTTCTGACCCATGGATCTATAATGATAATGTTCTGACCCATGGATCTATAATGATAATGTTCTGACCCATGGATCTATAATGATAATGTTCTGACCCATGGATCTATAATGATAATGTTCTGACCCATGGATCTATAATGACAATGTTCTGACCCATGGATCTATAATGACAATGTTCTGACCCATGGATCTATAATGATAATGTTCTGACCCATGGATCTATAATGATAATGTTCTGACCCATGGATCTATAATGATAATGTTCTGACCCATGGATCTATAATGATAATGTTCTGACCCATGGATCTATAATGATAATGTTCTGACCCATGGATCTATAATGATAATGTTCTGACCCATGGATCTATAATGATAATGTTCTGACCCATGGATCTATAATGATAATGTTCTGACCCATGGATCTATAATGATAATGTTCTGACCCATGGATCTATAATGATAATGTTCTGACCCATGGATCTATAATGACAATGTTCTGACCCATGGATCTATAATGATAATGTTCTGACCCATGGATCTATAATGATAATGTTCTGACCCATGGATCTATAATGATAATGTTCTGACCCATGGATCTATAATGATAATGTTCTGACCCATGGATCTATAATGATAATGTTCTGACCCATGGATCTATAATGATAATGTTCTGACCCATGGATCTATAATGATAATGTTCTGACCTGGCTCCGATGAGGTCCAGGAGGTGCTGCCATCGCTCGCTGACTTTGCCCATTTTCTGCTGGATCTCGGATGCTTTACTTTGGTGACTGGCGCGGGACAAACGCTCTCCCAGTTCATGTAAGTTTGATTTGTTCTGTTCGACTAAAGTGATTTCCTCTTGATAGTCCTGGTCAGACAACAACAAGAAGCAGTTACAACCTTTAATAACAAGTATACAAATTATAATGAAGCACATAAGATTTCAAGCAAATAAGTGTACAAGAAACTAAAGTAGAATGTCCAAACAGTGCATAAATAACATTTACATATTATACAATTATAAATATTATACACACAAGAAAAACAGAAAGAGTGGGAAGAAGAAGAAAATGTATTTAACCCCTGGTTTCTTCAAACATATTTACTCAATGAGCAGTTTGAACTTCCTTGTTTCAATAATAAATATTATGTATTAGAGAGACTACTCACTTCATACAATCATTTCACATTTAAGGAAGTGAAATTATATCTTAGTGTAAGATATTTGGTGAAACAAATGAAATCTCCTGTAGCTGCTGGTTTTTCTTTTTTCCAAAACATTTCTTTTATAAGTGCTCTGATGGAGATAGAAGTACAATTACATCATACTATAACAAGTTTGAGACAGAAGGATTTAGACAGAAGGGGCGGTCTTACAGACAGAAGTTCCTGATATTATCGTGGATGGGTTTAAAATCAACTCCAGGTATGTTTTTGATAGATATTAATGTTGTAACACGGTAAAAATATATATATTTATGTAGTTCAAACTGTAACAACTCATGAGACAAAACTGAATCTAACAACCTCCTGTGGCTCAGTCCAGCCTTAATGCACCTGTTCATATGAAATCAGTCTAACCTGTGGCTCAGTCCAGCCTTAATGCACATGTTCATATGAAATCAGCCTAACCTGTGGCTCAGTCCAGCCTTAATGCACCTGTTCATATGAAATCAGTCTAACCTGTGGCTCAGTCCAGCCTTAATGCACCTGTTCATATGAAATCAGCCTAACCTGTGGCTCAGTCCAGCCTTAATGCACATGTTCATATGAAATCAGCCTAACCTGTGGCTCAGTCCAGCCTTAATGCACATGTTCATATGAAATCAGCCTAACCTGTGGCTCAGTCCAGCCTTAATGCACCTGTTCATATGAAATCAGTCTAACCTGTGGCTCAGTCCAGCCTTAATGCACCTGTTCATATGAAATCAGTCTAACCTGTGGCTCAGTCCAGCCTTAATGCACCTGTTCATATGAAATCAGTCTAACCTGTGGCTCAGTCCAGCCTTAATGCACCTGTTCATATGAAATCAGCCTAACCTGTGGCTCAGTCCAGCCTTAATGCACCTGTTCATATGAAATCAGCCTAACCTGTGGCTCAGTCCAGCCTTAATGCACATGTTCATATGAAATCAGTCTAACCTGTGGCTCAGTCCAGCCTTAATGCACCTGTTCATATGAAATCAGCCTAACCTGTGGCTCAGTCCAGCCTTAATGCACATGTTCATATGAAATCAGTCTAACCTGTGGCTCAGTCCAGCCTTAATGCACCTGTTCATATGAAATCAGTCTAACCTGTGGCTCAGTCCAGCCTTAATGCACCTGTTCATATGAAATCAGCCTAACCTGTGGCTCAGTCCAGCCCTAATGCACAGGTTCATATGAAATCAGCCTAACCTGTGGCTCAGTCCAGCCTTAATGCACCTGTTCATATGAAATCAGCCTAACCTGTGGCTCAGTCCAGCCTTAATGCACAGGTTCATATGAAATCAGTCTAACCTGTGGCTCAGTCCAGCCTTAATGCACCTGTTCATATGAAATCAGTCTAACCTGTGGCTCAGTCCAGCCCTAATGCACCTGTTCATATGAAATCAGCCTAACCTGTGGCTCAGTCCAGCCTTAATGCACCTGTTCATATGAAATCAGCCTAACCTGTGGCTCAGTCCAGCCCTAATGCACAGGTTCATATGAAATCAGCCTAACCTGTGGCTCAGTCCAGCCTTAATGCACCTGTTCATATGAAATCAGCCTAACCTGTGGCTCAGTCCAGCCCTAATGCACAGGTTCATATGAAATCAGTCTAACCTGTGGCTCAGTCCAGCCTTAATGCACCTGTTCATATGAAATCAGTCTAACCTGTGGCTCAGTCCAGCCTTAATGCACCTGTTCATATGAAATCAGCCTAACCTGTGGCTCAGTCCAGCCTTAATGCACATGTTCATATGAAATCAGTCTAACCTGTGGCTCAGTCCAGCCTTAATGCACCTGTTCATATGAAATCAGTCTAACCTGTGGCTCAGTCCAGCCTTAATGCACCTGTTCATATGAAATCAGTCTAACCTGTGGCTCAGTCCAGCCTTAATGCACCTGTTCATATGAAATCAGTCTAACCTGTGGCTCAGTCCAGCCTTAATGCACCTGTTCATATGAAATCAGCCTAACCTGTGGCTCAGTCCAGCCTTAATGCACCTGTTCATATGAAATCAGCCTAACCTGTGGCTCAGTCCAGCCTTAATGCACATGTTCATATGAAATCAGTCTAACCTGTGGCTCAGTCCAGCCCTAATGCACAGGTTCATATGAAATCAGCCTAACCTGTGGCTCAGTCCAGCCTTAATGCACCTGTTCATATGAAATCAGCCTAACCTGTGGCTCAGTCCAGCCTTAATGCACATGTTCATATGAAATCAGTCTAACCTGTGGCTCAGTCCAGCCTTAATGCACCTGTTCATATGAAATCAGTCTAACCTGTGGCTCAGTCCAGCCCTAATGCACCTGTTCATATGAAATCAGCCTAACCTGTGGCTCAGTCCAGCCCTAATGCACAGGTTCATATGAAATCAGCCTAACCTGTGGCTCAGTCCAGCCTTAATGCACCTGTTCATATGAAATCAGCCTAACCTGTGGCTCAGTCCAGCCTTAATGCACAGGTTCATATGAAATCAGTCTAACCTGTGGCTCAGTCCAGCCTTAATGCACCTGTTCATATGAAATCAGTCTAACCTGTGGCTCAGTCCAGCCCTAATGCACCTGTTCATATGAAATCAGCCTAACCTGTGGCTCAGTCCAGCCTTAATGCACCTGTTCATATGAAATCAGCCTAACCTGTGGCTCAGTCCAGCCCTAATGCACAGGTTCATATGAAATCAGCCTAACCTGTGGCTCAGTCCAGCCCTAATGCACAGGTTCATATGAAATCAGCCTAACCTGTGGCTCAGTCCAGCCTTAATGCACCTGTTCATATGAAATCAGCCTAACCTGTGGCTCAGTCCAGCCTTAATGCACATGTTCATATGAAATCAGTCTAACCTGTGGCTCAGTCCAGCCTTAATGCACCTGTTCATATGAAATCAGTCTAACCTGTGGCTCAGTCCAGCCTTAATGCACCTGTTCATATGAAATCAGTCTAACCTGTGGCTCAGTCCAGCCTTAATGCACCTGTTCATATGAAATCAGCCTAACCTGTGGCTCAGTCCAGCCTTAATGCACCTGTTCATATGAAATCAGCCTAACCTGTGGCTCAGTCCAGCCTTAATGCACATGTTCATATGAAATCAGTCTAACCTGTGGCTCAGTCCAGCCTTAATGCACATGTTCATATGAAATCAGCCTAACCTGTGGCTCAGTCCAGCCTTAATGCACCTGTTCATATGAAATCAGTCTAACCTGTGGCTCAGTCCAGCCTTAATGCACCTGTTCATATGAAATCAGTCTAACCTGTGGCTCAGTCCAGCCTTAATGCACATGTTCATATGAAATCAGCCTAACCTGTGGCTCAGTCCAGCCTTAATGCACCTGTTCATATGAAATCAGCCTAACCTGTGGCTCAGTCCAGCCTTAATGCACCTGTTCATATGAAATCAGTCTAACCTGTGGCTCAGTCCAGCCTTAATGCACCTGTTCATATGAAATCAGTCTAACCTGTGGCTCAGTCCAGCCTTAATGCACCTGTTCATATGAAATCAGTCTAACCTGTGGCTCAGTCCAGCCTTAATGCACCTGTTCATATGAAATCAGTCTAACCTGTGGCTCAGTCCAGCCTTAATGCACCTGTTCATATGAAATCAGTCTAACCTGTGGCTCAGTCCAGCCTTAATGCACATGTTCATATGAAATCAGCCTAACCTGTGGCTCAGTCCAGCCTTAATGCACCTGTTCATATGAAATCAGTCTAACCTGTGGCTCAGTCCAGCCTTAATGCACATGTTCATATGAAATCAGCCTAACCTGTGGCTCAGTCCAGCCTTAATGCACCTGTTCATATGAAATCAGCCTAACCTGTGGCTCAGTCCAGCCTTAATGCACCTGTTCATATGAAATCAGCCTAACCTGTGGCTCAGTCCAGCCTTAATGCACCTGTTCATATGAAATCAGTCTAACCTGTGGCTCAGTCCAGCCCTAATGCACCTGTTCATATGAAATCAGTCTAACCTGTGGCTCAGTCCAGCCTTAATGCACCTGTTCATATGAAATCAGCCTAACCTGTGGCTCAGTCCAGCCTTAATGCACATGTTCATATGAAATCAGCCTAACCTGTGGCTCAGTCCAGCCCTAATGCACATGTTCATATGAAATCAGTAAAGTACCTTGCGCAGTTTATCAATCATCTCCTCGATGCTGATGTCTCCGTTCTGGGACACCTTGCTCTCCATGTTGGTCAGCCACTCACAAAGCTCCTTGTATTTCTCATTGAACACGCTCCATTCATTTAGCTTTTCGCACAGTTGTTGTCTCCGCAGAGAGAGCTGGAGAAAGAGAACAAATCAAACAGTTAAATCATCAGTGCCTCTGCAGGTTTCCTGTGTTTACGGCTGCAGCACAGGATGTGGCCTTGTGGCTTTACGTTCATGCACTTTGGTCTACAGCTTCTTTGCTGAAGTAAGTCGCCATTTTCCCTAAAAGTAAAATAAATCCAGACATTGAAAGCAAGACTTCATTATTTATCTTTTGATTCTCTATGATAGAGCACCATCTTCAGGACAAATGTTGAATCATAAATACAAGAGTTCACTTGTTATTGACAGAAAACATAAAATAATTGCACAAAAAGGAGTAACAGTTTTTTGGCTTGTGAAAACTGCTGAGTGAAGACAGAATGAACTCACACGTCACTGATAATGATAAATGAATGAGTGCTTTACCTGGTGACACATCTCGTCCCACTGTCGGTGCAGCAGCTCGACCCTCTCCTGGAGGACGCAGAGGTCTTCTGGGCTGATGAAGCAGGACAGGGACTCCCTGAGCACAGCCAGATGAGCCAAGTCCCCCGTCCAGCCGTCAAAGGTGTTCTCCAAGTCCTGCATTTAAACAATAATGTAGAAAATAGTACAATGAGAAAAATACACTGGAAACCTTTTATAACTAATGTCAACAACATCACAACCACTCCTAGATCCAGTACATGGATTATGTGTAACTGTTAGGACCTTACTTTGCAGCGCAGTTGTTCTGATTGTAAGTCTTCGTGATGATCAGGAAGAGGCTGTGAAAGCTGCCGTTTGAAAGCCCTCAGTTTCTCCAGAGACGAACAAATCCCTTTCTCACATCTCTCCCAGTCCTGCATTATTCAACAGATATAAAAGTTATTACATGGGCCAACCCTAGATGGTGTTTTACCATATTGTGATTAAAGCTGGTGAACCTAACTTTTCTGTTTAACACATGTCTCAACAGAAATAGTCTTCTAAACTTAGAATGTTGTGAATTAATCCAACTACAACCACAAAGAAAGAGCCTGATTGGCTGAATCCTCTCTTTTCTAAAACACATGCGTGTTTTTGAACCCGGAACTACTTATTGTACTTTTATCAAAGTAATCTTTATGTGGTTTGAAAGTAAAAAAATCCATCTTCACTATTAATCCTACAACAGACTAGACTAAAAAATATAACATGTGAACAAATAACTCCCCTAAATAATGAAATAATGAAATAATGAAAATGAGAGATGCGTGTGCCTGACCTTGAGCAGAGTGGCCAGCTCCTTCCTCTGCGCCTCCAAACTCAGAGACGATTGTTTCCACGTCTCCTGAATCTCCGTGAGCTCGGCCTGAAGAGCCGCCTCAGCCGGACCGTCTGCGGAGAGCAGCAGCTGGCGAGCGGCCTCCACCGTCAGGATGTAGGAGCCCTGCTGCCGCTGCAGCACCTTCTCCTTCAGCTGGAACAAAAGAACATAAAAGCATTTGCAGACGGACAAGCTGCACAAGTCAAAAACAGATTTTAGATAAAGATATTATAAAAATAAGAACAATATTATTAGTAATGTTGATTTTAAATGCATTTATTAATAAAACGTATATATTTAGAATGTTTTTTATAATCAGATTTATTTGTCAAACAGGAGCATGAGGCGGAGAAGATTTTTCAATAATCAACAAATAACATGAGAATGCACAAATAATGTTGTATTTATGAATAGAATTGAATGTAACTGAAAGTGCCCTATATCGCGGTACATAAGATATCAGCAAACTCTTCGATACTGAGCCTTGTTTTGACACAGTCTGGTGGTAATTAAGGACCAAGCCATGCCATACCTGTACAGCATCCAGCATGCACCGGGCTTGTTGCAGTGGGATCGTAGCCCCCGACTGCAGGGCCTCTGTGGGATGGGAGACCTCCACCAGCCATTTCCGTAACTTCTCCACCATTTCCCTGTAGCGCTGCCACTGCCGGATCAGGCCGTCGATGATCCCTCTCCTCTGCTGGGCCCGCCGCACCACGCCCTGCCACTGGTTACTCAACAGCGCCAGCTTCAGGTTGAACTCATCTCTGTGGGATTGGAATAGAATAAGAAGGTTGTGTTTCCAAGAGAAGAGTGTGAAGCTTGTGGGGTAAGTTACCGGTCGTCCACTTGGCCTTGTTCCAACATCCTTTGTCCATCGCTGATGATTGAGTGAAGAATCTGCTGCCGGCTGAACATCTCAGCTTGAAATAACTAGGCATAAATATATTAACATGTAAAAAAGTAAAAACAGTACTGGGTGTAGAAGTTACAGTGAGACAGAATCTACCTCGTGGGCCTTCTGCTGCTCCATCAGGCTCAGGAAGTTGCCGGAAATTTCCACTGCAAGATTATCTTCTGTTTGGACCAAAAACTCCATCCATGTTTCACATTTCTCCAGAAAGGTCTGTTGTTGTAGCAGAAAGGACTGGAGTTTGCTGCAAAGAAACACACACAGTTATTCACAGTTATAGTCCCAGAAACCACAAATCCAACACTTTACTTTAGCAATGATTTCTACATGTTTATTTGTAATCATCAACAGTCACCTGAACCTCTCGGTGGTCTGGGCCGAGGCGGTGGACCAGCTCCTGTTCAGGTTCTGCATCCGTTTGATTTCAGAATCGTTGAGAGGAAGTCTGTATCCAAGTTCATTCAGTCGCTCCAGTTCAGGGGCGATGCAGCTGAATTTAAGCATTAGTTTCTGCAAAATGTAGAGAAACATTTTAAACCAAGGCACTGCGTGTACCATTGGAGTTATTTATTGTGGGAACATGTGTTGTTTTGTATGAACCTTGAGTTCCTCCATGCGCTCCTGGATGGCAGTCAGATCTGTTGAGCCATTTGGGTCTTGGATCTTCAGAACATCCTCAGCTTCAGTAATCCAGTTTCCAAGTGAGTCCAACTGGTCATTGAACGTCTCATAATCATGAACCCCCGTCTTAGCAGAAAACATTATGCAAGTTAGTTTGTTCTTCTATACCAGCTCATTTTAAAGATGCAGTCAATGATTCATCCAGACGCAAACGTCCCTAAACCCCAAAAGTATCATGTTATCATGTGTTTTCAAACAGGAATGGACCAGATCTGTCTGAGTTGTTATTGAGTTGGATTTTGGCTGAACACAAAACCATAAGTGCCTCAGGTTGGCCACTCAGACTCAGATGCAGCCAGGTCTCTGTAATGCAGGCAGACCATGTTTTGATAATAGCTAGTTTGTTAGAAGCTAGCACTTCACAGACTTGAGCCTAATGTACTGTAGTGTAATACTTTCACATATAAAGCTGAGGCTTCGTCACAGACTGCTTTATTACAGAAACGGATGCTACTGCTAAGCTAACCTGAAGCCTTTTCTACACTTTTGAGATAGCAACACAAGACATCAAAACATGTCAGGGTAAAACATTGCTATTTACGAGTCTCTGGATGTAGAAAACAAACAAAGTAAATCTACGAAGACCAGAGGAACCTTCCTAAGCTATTATCATATATGTTTGCAATGCTACAAAAGAAATCAATATTAAATGATCAAATATAGCCACAAATTGTCAACTGTTTTCATAAAAAGTCATTAAACGTTGTCATATACCTGCAGTGAACTGAGCTGCCGGGTCAGAGCGTGCTCCAGAGCCGAGAGTCTTTGGCACAGAGACAGATGGTCTGATTGGATGGCTGAAGCTGCGGATATGTCCACCTGTTGTTTTAGCTGCTCGCCGAGTTCATGAAGGACCTGTAGAGACGCCTGCCCCGGAGCTTGAGAGCGCAGCACCTCCTGATCACAGCCGTATATCACACATCTGTACCTAATCATTGAACACATATGGATACGTGACAAAGAGTGCTCACGGTGCACTGATGGATCCAGTCGGACACCGCCTCGTCAGCCATGTCTTTCCTTCTGGAGGTCTTCAGGAGCCGCTCGGTCTTCTCCTCCTGAAGCTGGACGCTGCAGCAGCTCTGGTCGTACAGCTCTTTGTAACGCTGCCATAACTGGAGCAGGGCTTTACTGGACTTCAGACGCTCCGCGATCTCCTCCAGCAGCCCGGTCCATCTGCAGCGTCACAAACATGAATAAAACTAGTTCAATCTAGAGAGACTCGAACAAACGAAACATAGAATTAGAATTGTTTGTTGATTGGCAGGAACTGACACTACATTATTTACACGTATGGCACTGAGGACAATATTTTCAAGATATTTTTTGTGTTGTACAGGATGTGGTTAGGATTTGGCCTTAGACCCCGACAGAGCACTGCACGACTGCAGAAAGGGAAAGATATTTTGATGAAACCCCCGGGACCTAGACCCTGGTGGTGGGAGCGAGGAGAAGGCCTAGAACAAGGCGGAGATGGGGAGGAGGAGGGTTGCGGCGTGAGTGAAGATGCTTGGATGGAGCTTCTGCACAATATGATGCTGCAGGTGAGGCCTGTGGAGCTGCAGCTGAGTGTGATTGACAGATGGAGGACTTTCAGCGCTGTGAGCTTGGTTCTCCAGTCTTCCAGTCTGAATTTGTGCTTATAATATATTTATGTTTGTATGTTTGTATGATTGCGAGCAAGGGACCAATGCACAATTTTTTTGGGATCAGTAAAGTATATTTCTATCTATCTTTCTAATATTTACATAACATGAACTGTACCTGGCATTGATGTCTTTGAGAGCGCTGTGGAGGGAGTCGGACACAGAGGGGTGGCACTCCTTCAGCAGTTGGTGAGTAATGGCACCAAATTTCCTTAAGCTTCCCTCCTGTTTCTCAAGCTCTTCTTGCAAGTCCTTCAGAAAAGACAATAATAATCATTTAAAAAAGTAAAAAAGCATTGGTTTTATAAAGCGCTTTTCAAAGTCTCTTCACATCTTTCTCTTCAAACACAAAGGTTATGGCCCCTCCCACCAACACCAACCATGCACACACTCCATTCTAATGTGGGGGAAGTGTCTTGCCTAAGGACACAGCCACACACATACTTATTATGAATTATTATGACACAATAATTTCAGATGGAAACGTCTTGATACAAATTACATTAGCGTTGAAGGTCAAGGTCCAGTGCAAATATAAAGTTGACTTCAGGGTTTGAAAACAAAACTTACATTTTGTATTTGACATAACTAAACACAGACTCAGAGTAAACAATTTTGTTTGAACATTGGGACTTTTGGATACTTGCCTGCAGGTTTTGCACCTGCGACTGAACGGCCTCCAGTGATCCGGTGAGGAGGCGGAACCTTGACACAGAATACCTTCCTTCTATCAGAAACCCATTGATCTCCTCTGAGGCCTTTTTATATAATGTCCATTGATCCAGCACAGACTTCAGGCTGATCTTCAACTGCCCACTCTGAAATAAACACAATTCACAGGTGAGCCCCACACAGAGAAGACTCACTGCTGACCATATTAACTCTTAGAGCCCACATGGTAAGGCCCAGTGTCCGGAGAGTACCAGCAAAGTCTCAGTTGGATCTATAGTCCTATCTGCCTGTGTTTGATCGGCTAAAATGCTTCATGTAAAATTTCCCCATTTCGGCAAAAGTGTTTTTCTCCTGTGTTTGTGGCTCCTCTCCTACTCTTTCAGATGCCATTGGCCAAGGCTGAAACCAATAACAGAACTCAAACACAGATCTCAGACTCACGGCAGTTGCAGCTCTCGGTCCCACCTCCCATCTCTGGTCTCTCCCTCCCTTAACCCCCCCGACTCCTCACTCCCTCTTTAGTCTTCACTGTCTTCTGTCTGGTGCACACTGGGGAAGTCTTGCACAGTTTTTCCAATGTGGTTTTACTGCAAATGGCAAATAGAATCTTGAATCTAACCAGTGTCAGAGAAAAAGTTTACTGTCTCCCAACCGTTTTTCTGTATTCACTGTCTTCTTTGTATTTGCTCCTTCTCTTATGATTGTAAAAAAAAAAAAAAAAAGCAGAACTAACAGAACAGAATCTTTTATCCCTCTTGCCGTTGGTATTTTAAACAGATCACTGTAATTCAAGTCAAGCTCTTTAGCATGGTTAAAATCATATTTGGAGGGAAGACAGCAGTGTGTTAAGGTTAATGGGGTGATGTCGGCTCTCTTCCCTAACAATATGGGAGTTCCTCAAGGATCAGTACTGGGGCCATTGTTGTTCACAATGTACATCAATGACCTCCCTGATAGCTGCCAAGGTGTCAACTGCCAGCTGTACGCAGATGATACAGTAATTCATCTGTCTGCTAAAACTCCAGCTCTGGCAGCGCAGCAGTTGACACTTGCCCTAGTAAACATCTCTAAATGGCTCAAGTTGTCTCACCTAAGCTTAAACGTTAAGAAAACCGTCGCTGTCTGTTTCTCAATTAAAACAAGACCTTCTAACAGCACCTTTGAAGTACGCATAAACAATGAAATTATACAAGAAGTAAAAGAGACCACATATCTTGGAATTATCCTTGACAACAATCTTAAATTTCAAAGTCAAGTCAAAAATGTGTGTAAAAAGGTCAAATCCAACTTGAATTGTTTTCGTTTTATCAGGAGGGATCTGTCCTATCAGGCCGCCCTGTTATACATGCATGCCATGATTTTTTCACATCTGTCCTACTGCGTCACATCCTGGTCACAAACCTCCCCGTCCACACTCAAGCCGGTTGTTTCATTGTACAAACAGGCAGTCAAGGTATTTGACAGAAAACCTATGAGATGGCATCACTGTGACATCATCCATAGACATAATCTTTTTACTTTCGAAAACTTTATACATTTTAGTATTCTGAAATTGGTTTTTAAATGTTTGAACAGTCGTGTGTCGCCGCTGTTTTCCGCTCTCATTATTCGGCGTCAGGACTCCCGCAGACCCTCCACCAGAGCCTCGGTGAGTGGGGACTGTGTTCTCCCAAAATTTACAAAATCTTTTGGACAGTCCAGTTTCTCTTTTAATGGATCCAGACTGTGGAACTCTCTGCCCACTGATTTAAAACTGCAGACTGACATGAACAGTTTTTACAGAGGTCTGAAACAATGGCTGAAGTCAAGTCAAAACTGCTCACATGGTAACACTGTATGAAATGTATACTGATGATGTGTATTGTTTACCTTTTTAAATATTGTACTGTATTGTATTGTGTTTTTTGAAATGTGATGTGTAGCCTCCTATGGACAGGTGTTGCAAATTAGCAGTTTTGCTATAACACTGGAAACAATGTATCTGGTTTGTCCAATGCAGTTGATATGTCCATATCAAATAAACTAATAATAATAATAATAATTCTGCTGTAGATCTTTCCTTGTGTGTATGTTTATCTTTCTGCTGCTGCTGCTACAAATTGTCCTTTGGGGATAATAAAGACACCTTGAACCTTGAACCCTATGATTGTTCAGGGCTTTACTTTTGTCGCGTTCACATCTAGTTTCTGAAAATGCTCTGGGGCCTACAGAGTGACGCTGGGAGCCTACCAGGTGGTCGAGGTTGGCCCAGGTGTGGTTGACCCCCTGCAGTGTCTCCATGACGATAGCACAGGCCTCGTCTGTTTTGTTCTGGACCAGAGCACATCCCTGCTCCTCCACTCGCTCCAGCTCCTTCTCCTTCTCCTTCAGCACATCGTCCATTTCCTACGGAACAAAAACGTGTGACCAAAATGCCAATAAAAGCGGTTACAGCGTGTAATGTAATGAGAGAAGCTCGGGTAATGGTGGAGTAGATCCTTCGCCTCTTTCTAATCTCTAAATCTAGAATCATTATCTAATTTACCTGACAATCTCTGAGGGCATTTTGTACAGAAGTGATGTCTTCTATCCTTTGTTTTCTCTTCAGTCTCTCTTCTTGTGTTGACATCCAGGACTTCAGTGCTTGAACACTGCTCTCGTATTCCAGCCACATGACCAGGAGGCTCTCCAAGAACTGGATCTGTTGCAAGAAAATGTACAATTATTTATAACAAGGATAATAATAATACATCTTTAGCTGAACCTTTCAAAAAGCGTGTTTACAAAGTGCTACACAGTGAGCATATAAACAACAAAAAGAGTCATGATAAACCCTTCGTCCAGTGCCTCGACCTCGGAACAGTTCCGAGGATCTAAGTCTGCGGGGGAAGGGCTCGTAGTGGTTCATAGTTAATATATATAGCTGAGTGCCAGACCTAAACAAGCTTTAAAAGTAATCATTAAAATCTTAAAATCAATTCTAAAACTGACAGGGAGCCAGTGGAGGGACAGTAACCCAGGGGTGATGTGCTCCCTTCTGTTATAAGCCTTCTGTGTTAATCAGGCTTTGTAACCCTAACCCGCCCTCTTCGTACCCGTTCATTGATGCCCGCCTGCAGGATCTGCCAGCGTCGGTTCATGGCTCCAAGTCTTTCAGCAAAGTCTGTTTTATCGCTGCGCTTGACCTCCGCCTCCTGCCCACTCAGCTGCAGGACAGACTGGTTCACGAAGTCTACTGTCAGCTGCTTACATGTTAGATCCACTCTGAAGCCCTGAAAGGAAACACAAATGAGGTCAAATCTTGATTCAAACTAAAACACACATGCTCCCAAAGATGAATAGATTCTGTACGTTGTGCTTGTCGAGTTATTGTTTGTACTGTTGCCTAACTGTGTGTTTCTATGTTTCTGCCTTATACAATGGATGCTGTTTAGCTGTTGTGCTAATTCCAGCATATTTATGTTGATGCTGTTTGCAGACACATTGATCATTATGCACTGTCCTGAATTTGAATGAATAAATAAAAAATAAAATAGATAGACGGACACTTAAAACCATACTTTGTATTTCTGGAGATAGTCCTGAATAACAGTGGAACCAACAGCACTCTTGAGATTCTCCTCATCTTCTGCAATAACATTCTCCATCAGGGAAATCCAATTGAACAGTTCAGAGATGGCATGACGCGAGGCCAGTTTCTCCATCTGGATCTGAATTCATGAAAACAAAACAAATATTATTAAAATTACAATGTATCTCACCAAGACAAAACCCGCGATCCCCATGTGTGTGACATTTGCAGCGTCACATCCTGCTGGTGCAGAGTTACCTGATGGAGTTTCTCTTGGACCACTGGGATCCGTGTGAGTAGTTCAGTCCACTGTTGGTCTACACGGCCCAGATCCGAGCGCAGAACCACAGTGTCCACCTTCTTCAGCCTCAGCAGCTGGTTTCCCTCCGACACCACGGAGCTCTTCAGGCTCGACTTGCTCTCCACCTCTTTGGAGAATTCCTACAACAGTTCCACAATGAAAGAGAAGTGCCCAATGTTCCAGATGCTGATATTTCTGTTTTCATACAACTGTTCAGTCTGAGGTGAGTTTACCAGAAAAGCCGTCAGATGGTCCCTGACGGTCTCCAGCTCTTGAGGCACTAACACGGCCTGAGTGTTCCAGAACTCCAGTCTCTCCAGAGCAGACTGCAGCCACTGGCTCAGCTCTGCACACTCCTGCTGGTATCTATTACACACAGACCAACCATAAGTCATGCTCCTGGTGTCTCATTCTGATGGTTCAGGATATATTGAAATGCATTTAGAAGACCATGGTTGGCCAGTGTCTGTTTTAAAGTCAGATATAGCAGAATGGTTCCCTGACCTGCTCCAGTGTCTGAGCGTGGCCTCCAGTCTCTGCAGCTCCTTGTTGACTTTTGTGGTGTTGTTGATCCAGTGTTCTCCTAACAGAGCCAGCTGATTCTCCAGCCCCACACAGCAAACCAACTGCAGCAGGTGTTTCCCTTCATCCAGAACCTGATGAAGTCTGTGCTGGTGCTCCGTCAGTCTGCCCTTTAAACCCTGCAGACACCAGACAGAGTTAAAGACAAGATATCTACACACGATTGTTTCCAATGCAGTGGATTCAACATGAATCTACTGCAGATAAAAAACCTAAGCTGTGTCTGTATTCACCGCTTTTCTAAAGTATCACCTGCTCCAGACCTTCCATCAGATTCAGATTCAGATTCATTTATTTGCCATTTGCAGCAAAACCCCATTGGAAAAACTGTGCAAGACTACCCCAGTGTGCACCAGACAGAGGCGACACACACCAGAGCTCTTGCCACGGCGCCATCTTTACGGCGCCATGCGATTTTTTATTATTATTTTTTATATACAAGATAAACTGTAAATAAAGTTGACCTGATACAAAGAGATCCGCTCCAGGAGCTTTTCTTCCGTCTCCTCCACCAGTCCAACTCTGGGCATACTCCCTTCCACTGCCTCCAGGTGTTGGTTCAAAAGGTGGTAATCGAGAGCCAAGCGACCCCATGTCTAGAATGATTTCAGAGTTATCATTTTGTAAATGGAGTTAGCGACAGTAAAAGGACAGCGTTATGATCTTACTTCATGAATACGTTCCAGCTCCACACCTTTGCTGTGAGCTTTTTTAAGGACATCTTGAGCCTGGCTCAAAGTCTCCTCTAAAGCTCCACTCTCTTTAGGAGGAATCAGAGAACTGATCTTTCTGAAGTATGTTTCTGTTAAGATCATATGAGTCTCCAGACCTTGGAAAAACTCCTGTAGAAATAATAACACAACACATAGATAGTTATATCAAATGATCTGTACAACATTTGTACTTTTCTCAAAGGAAATCCCTCTTGAGACAAAACATCTAAAGAACCTAAAAGAAAAAGTTTCCCATCAGATTTCACCTTATGTTTATACAGGTGATTCTGTACTTCCTCCAGAGAGCTGGCGATGATCCTGTGGTCAGCAGCCATCTTGTCCTTAGCGGTGTCCACGAGGTCGGCCAAGTCCTGTAGAGCTCGATCAAACTGCTCCTTTAACGCCATGTTCTGATTCAGGCCACTCCTGCGACAGCCAACCGTCATCACCAACTCTTCATACGAGTCCTGGACACGGAACGATAGGAACCGTTACATGGTAAAGCTTCAAAAGTGAGTCCAGTTTAGTTCAAAGATGAAAGGACTGAGTTTGTAAAGTACCTGCAGTTTTATTAGTTTGTTTGTGGATAATTGATCAGTTTGTAACGACACTCCTCTGGCTTTGAGCTCGGTGATCCGCTGTTCCAATGCTCGTAAATTCTCCTCTGCATTTGCAATCACCTGATAGAAGCGCCGGGTCAGAACATTTACTACATTTAAAAACACCTATGATTTAAGGGAAGGTCCATTCTTTACCTCCAGTTGTTTGGGGACTGGCTTATCAATGGCTTCAGCTAAGGCTTGTAGAATCTGGCACTTGGTCTCAATAAAAACAGTCTGGAAAAGCTGCAGCTGGCTCTACATTGAGACAAAATACATACATTATGAAGACGTACATAAATAAACCTGGTATGACAATTACCAATGACTATAGAAAAACAAATGAATTGACTCTTACCTGGAAAGCAGTGAGTTCCTGAGCCCTGGTTCTCATGTGGCCGCAGCGCTGGCCCAGAGCAGATCCCAGAGTCCCCAGTCTCTCTTTGAGGCAGTCCAGGTTGTCCTCCAGCAGATGGCGGTCCTCCTGCCTCAGACTGCAAGACCCACCGAGCAGCGACCGACTGAGCTTCACATCCTCCGTCACGTGCATCACATCACTTTCCAGGATCTGTGGAAATAACAAATACTCTCCTTTACTTGCCTAATTTAGCTTTTAAGTTTGAACTATACAAGTTGACCAATAACCTTCCAACCACAAAACATTTAACTATGTAAGAAAATCCTCCAAACTAGTTCCTCTCAGTTTAGTCCGATAGTTTTCGTGTGTATTTTTAGCCTCTGTCACATCAAAGTTCAGTTTTTGAGACAGAAAAGTGAAAAAGAGAGGACCACTCTTACTCAGCCAATCAGCTCTCAGCTCAAAGGTTCAAAGATTCAGGGTTATTTCTTACAAGAATGCAAAGACAATATGTTTTCCAAAAAGGCAAAGACAGTGGTCTGATTTGTAAACAACATTTTACTCTTTCCATTACATTGGGACACACAACATGTATTCATTTAGAAAGTTAGGTACCCCTGCTTTAATATTACATTGTCATTTTACTGCACCTCTTGTTTCTGGAGCTGTGTTTCCGCATTCTCGCTCATCAGCACCGAACCAGAGAAGACGTTATTCTCGACCCCATCGAGCCACGAGGAGGTGGAGGCCACGGCTGTGAAGAGCTGCTGTTCCATCTGTGCTAGCTGAGCCTTCCCATCACCAGGCTAACGGCATCACAATGTCAATACAAGTGCTTTTGCTAATGAATATAATAAGGCGTAACTTACCCCAGCCGCTATGTCTTCTATTGTTTGTCGGAAAGAGTCGTAGAGAGACTTCAGAGAGGATTTATCAGCCTGACTTTGTCCTTTAAACAATGGGCCAGATGCTGTCACCCGACTGTGTCCATAAAGCTGGGCCAGCACAAAAGTCCAAATGAATTATTCTTAAGCTATAACAGTGTAGTTAGTTAAATCTCATGCATTGTCTGTTTATTATGTCTTTACCGGTTGCTTCTGGTCTTGCTCCAAACTCTTTTGCAGAAGCTGTAATTTAGTTTTTAACTCCAGTTTCAGGCTTTCCCATCTTTGCCTCATCTGCTCTCGGGAAACCTCAGCTTCTTTCTGAGCCAAATTCTCTGGTGCAAAGGGTTCAGACATGCTGAAGATGGAAACATACAGAAGGTCAAAGTGTAAAAGTGTACTGATCTAACTATATAATATGTACAGAGTAACCTACAGGGTATTACTGGGTGAGGACTGTCGAATGAGGATTTCTTCTCCACGACTGGCCACAGACTGGAGCAGCTTTTTCTGTTCTGCCAGCTGCTCTTCAAGTTCCTTTAATCAAAAAAAATCAATACATACCATTAAATAAACATAATAATCTCCAGATATTTCAGCACAATTAGAAGCTCAAGTGCTCAAGCTCAAGGGCGACAGTAGCTCAGTTGGTAGAGCATTGGCCTTCAGGCCTGAAGGTCGTGGGTTCAATTCCCACCTCTACACCTTCTCCACCGACTCCCACTGATGACTGCTGTCGTTGTGTCCTTGGGCAAGACACTTAACCCCACTTTGCCCAAAGCCCCCACTGAAAGATCAAGGCTATGCTCACAGTCAGAGAGCAGCCGTCCTCCTGTGGACTCACCACCTGCAGAGGGTCAGTGAGGGGCTGGTGCTATGAGACTTGGGTGGCATCTCTGACTGCCACCCCCCTGACCCAGAAATGGATTAAAGGGTAGAAAATGGATGGATGGATAGAAGCTCAAGTTTAATATAATACCCTCTGTCTCTGCAGTGTGTACTGATGTTGTTGTGAGCGGGTGGTCCGGGCCTGGGCCATCCAGTCCTGAACACTGGGACTCTGAGAGAGGCTGGAGTCTGAACTGCTGTCCTCCTGCTCCTGGAGAGAGCCCTGAGGCAACGAGAGAGCACACAAGTAGTCAAAGGGTACTGTAGAAGGGACTTTATGGAGCTACCTCACTTTATGGAGCTACCTCACTTTATTGAGCTACCTCACACGACTTTATGGAGCTACTGTACCTCACTTTATGGCGCTACCTCACGGGGACTTTATGGAGCTACCTCACTTTATTGAGCTACCTCACACGACTTTATGGAGCTACCTCACTTTATGGAGCTACCTCACTTTATGGAGCTACCTCACAGGGACTATATGGAGCTACCTCACAGGGACTTTATGGAGCTACCTCACTTTATGGAGCTACCTCACTTTATGGAGCTACCTCACAGGACTTTATGGAGCTACTGTACCTCACTTTATGGCGCTACCTCACGGGGACTTTATGGAGCTACCTCACTTTATGGCGCTACCTCACGGGGACTTTATGGAGCTACCTCACTTTATGGAGCTACCTCACTTTATGGAGCTACCTCACAGGGACTATATGGAGCTACCTCACAGGGACTTTATGGAGCTACCTCACTTTATGGAGCTACCTCACTTTATGGAGCTACCTCACAGGACTTTATGGAGCTACTGTACCTCACTTTATGGCGCTACCTCACGGGGACTTTATGGAGCTACCTCACTTTATGGCGCTACCTCACGGGGACTTTATGGAGCTACCTCACTTTATGGAGCTACCTCACTTTATGGAGCTACCTCACAGGGACTATATGGAGCTACCTCACAGGGACTTTATGGAGCTACCTCACTTTATGGAGCTACCTCACTTTATGGAGCTACCTCACAGGACTTTATGGAGCTACTGTACCTCACTTTATGGCGCTACCTCACGGGGACTTTATGGAGCTACCTCACTTTATGGAGCTACCTCACAGGACTTTATGGAGCTACCTCACTTTATGGAGCTACCTCACAGGACTTTATGGAGCTACCTCACTTTATGGAGCTACCTCACAGGACTTTATGGAGCTACCTCACTTTATGGAGCTACCTCACAGGACTTTATGGAGCTACTGTACCTCACTTTATGGAGCTACCTCACAGGACTTTATGGAGCTACTGTACCTCACTTTATGGAGCTACCTCACAGGACTTTATGGTGCTACCTCACAGGGACTATATGGAGCTACCTCACAGGGACTTTATGGAGCTACCTCACTTTATGGAGCTACCTCACAGGACTTTATGGAGCTACTGTACCTCACTTTATGGAGCTACCTCACAGGACTTTATGGTGCTACCTCACAGGGACTATATGGAGCTACCTCACAGGGACTTTATGGAGCTACCTCACTTTATGGAGCTACCTCACGGGGACTTTATGGAGCTACCTCACGGGGACTTTATGGAGCTACTGTACCTCACTTTATGGTGCTACCTTACTTTATGGAGCTACCTCACAGGACTTTATGGAGCTACCTCACTTTATGGAGCTACCTCACAGGACTTTATGGAGCTACCTCACAGGGACTTTATGGAGCTACTGTACCTCACTTTAGGGAGCTACCTCACTTTATGGAGCTACCTCACAGAACTTTATGGAGCTACCTCACAGGGACTTTATGGAGCTACTGTACCTCACTTTATGGAGCTACCTCACAGGACTTTATGGAGCTACCTCACAGGGACTTTATGGAGCTACTGTACCTCACTTTATGGAGCTACGTCACGGGGACTTTATGGAGCCACCTCACTTTATGGAGCTACCTCACATTATGGAGCTACCTCACAGGGACTTTATGGAGCTACCTCACGGGGACTTTATGGAGCCACCTCACAGGACTTTATGGAGCTACCTCACTTTATGGAGCTATCTCACTTTATGGAGCTACCTCACTTTATGGAGCTACCTCACTTTATGGAGCTACCTCACTTTATGGAGCTACCTCACTTTATGGAGCTACCTCACGAGGACTGACCTGGGTGCTGTTGTGCTTGAGCTGGAGCATCTTCTGCAGCTCGAGCAGGCCACTCTTCACGGTGCTGAGCTTCCGCGTCAGTCTCTCCGCCTCCTCCTTGGTCTCGGCGCGTCCCTCCAGCAGAAGGTTGTCACTGTGCATGGACAGCTCAGACAGCGCCTGCACCTTCTCCTCTATCTCCAGGAGCATGTTCTGGAAGAGCAGCAGCAGAGACGCCACCTCAAACATGGCTCCACACGTGGCTCCAAACCGGAGCCAGTGCAGCACCGTAGGTCAGTCACTCTGTCAGCCCCAGGAACAAGAACGCTGGCTTTGAGTCTTCATCTTTGACCCACCTGTCGCCTTTCCTTCTGTACGGCATATTATTTCTAATCCCATACATTTCATCTTCTGCAACAAGGTCAATTATATTCAGCTTATGAGAGGATTCCTATCCACTCAACTGAAATCCATCTTGTCCAAATATTTGCCCCATAGCCACAGCCAGCGTTCTGTGGCGTGCTAGTCATTTGCAGCTAACTACGCCTCTAGGATTCCCCTACTTGGATATTCCAGCAGCTTTGCTCCGAACACCAATCCAAGCAGCTCTATCTGTTAATCTTCAGGAAGCCTCCACCCAGAGCAGCAGCCAGTGCTGCGCCTCTCCCACACAGATACATTTGCATAATCTTCTTAAGTGCGGCGGTTCAGACGTTAGGCCAAGCCTTCTGAATTTACCTTCTTACTGCTCTAATGCGCTTGTTTATCCAAGAAAGATAAAAAGCACAATCTTTGTGATCACATTGAAACAAATAAATTATATGCATCATTATCATCAGTGGGAAGTGAAATGATTGGAGAGTTTGTAGTAATAGTCTGGACTATTAGTAAGAAAAAGAGTATTGTAACATCAGTATGATAAAAGTATTGTTAGTTACAGTAAAAGTAATTGAACAAATTCACCTAGTATAGGAAATAAAATGAAATATAATGAATAGTTAGCAATCTGTTAGTTGTAATAATAATAATGTGGGAATAAGTGTTTTACCTGACAGTCACAGAGCACGGTCTCGTTCTCGTCTGAAGGTGAGAGTTCCTGCAGAGTCGTGTTCAGCCACAGCTCCAGGACCTCGGCCTCGCTCAGACACTGCTGAAGGGCCTGCTCCTGACGCTGACCCTCCAAACGGTCACTCACACACTCCTGAGACAAACAATATCATATAAACAAATATCCATCCATAAGGAACTCTCTGTGCTATGCTCGTACCTGCATTTAATAAACAAGTGGAGAAATATAACTTCAAAGAATGAATAATTATTGTCATTATTATTATTAGTGTCTGTGACAAGTTTGACTTGATTATAATTATCCATAATACACATTTAGACGTACCACAAAATAAATGCCAACGCCTGTGTACACATATTTATGAATTGAAAACACAACATTTTCTTTTTAAATTAAATGAATATGAATCATTAGAACTATGGATCAGAGGTTCTGTTCCACCAAACAAAGGTAAAAGTAAAGAAATAGTAATAACATGTGTTAATGTTAGTATATTTGTTATATAAAGCATCATCAGATGCAGCAGTCACCTCCAGCTGCTGTTGTTTCCCGGACACCTTCATGTGGATCGTGGTCATCCTCTCGGCCAACACAGACAGAGACGACTGCATGGCGAGCTGGTCCGCCATTTCTGAGTCCACACTGTTCGACACCAGATCCTCGGAGAAGTTCAGCTGCAGTTTGTCGATTTCATCCTGAACCGTCTGAATTTCCCTAATAATATCCTGCAAGAGATGCATGTTTATAAGATAAGACAAGATAAGATAAGACAAGATAAGATAAGATAGAGTTTACTGATCTCTGATGGAGAAATGTACATGTCACATTTAACACTGATAGAATCTCTCAGATTGTGCAAAAGACAGAAGTGTGAAACAGTTTTAAAATAGAGTCTGTGCAGGATATAATTATGTACAATAAAAAGTATTTGTGCAATAGTAAATGCATGAAATAAAACACAATGTTTTTAAAAATCAAGAAAACATGTAATTATCCACAGGTATTTAGTTTACTTTATGTGCGAGCCCTTTTGATCCGTTGTGTTTGTCCAACAGTGATAATAATGCACCTGGTGGTCTCTCCTGTGGCTGTCGGGGCTGATGTCCGTCTCCAGCGGTTCACTCAGTTTGTTTTCCAGAGTCTCCATTTTGGAGGAGACGGACTGGAGCGAGGTCTGGTAGTGCTGCTGCTTCTCCAGGGCCTCGTACAAAGACCGCTGCTTCTCACTGATCTGAGACACACATTCTTATTTATTATCGTTTGGTCATTTCAGTAATTAAGTGTGTGGCTGCCTTTATAGACCTTAACAAACATCTGTACTGTAATTAATCACACTAAACGAGAGAGTGTATTCATTTATTTTTTGAAACAGAGATTAGCTCATCACAGCAGCTGTTCATCATTTACTTTACCTTATAAAGAATGTTCCCTTAAAGTCCTTCTTACAAGTGGTCTATTAAACAAACTCCCCTCAAATGACTTTGCCTTTCAGTATTTTCTTATTTTAAACTCCAAACATGAACTTAGCCGTGAACAGGTCGACCAAGTCTTAGAACTTCAGTATTTGTGAATGAAGAAACGATGGATTACTAGGAGAGTCATTTTCACTTCAGTCTAACGGTCATTTATTGTCTTTTCATTTTGACTTACCACATTTTTCAGGCTCTCCCACGATCGCTGCAGGTCGTCCAGATGAGCCACAGAGTCAAATGTCGGGTCGTACAGCTCTTGGACGGGAGCCTTAATGAGCGCTCCTCTTCCCATCTGTGTCAATGACAAAGTACATCAGGTTTGGGAAAACAATAATAATGTTGCTAATCTCAGACAAACCCTCGTAGTTAGACAACATTGTTAAGTGGAAAGGAAAAAGAAATGTATATTGGTGAAAGTTAAGTATAAATATAAATTGTGTTTGACAGTTTAGGTTGAAGTTTATGAATAGTAACGCAACATTTGTTTCCCACTAATTGTTAGTAATTTTGTGAATCTATTCCATTATAAAGTTATAACATCATTGAGACAATTTTGTGGACAGATTGAATGTGCAGTTTGTTCATCTCTGGGTGTTTTAAGTCTTAAAACAGAGCTGTAAATGAGACGGGAGACAGACTTACCTTTGAAACAGTGGGTTCAGACTCAGTGAGAGGAGAAGGGGAGCGACAGAGAGAAGAGGAGGAGATCTCGCTGGTGGCCTCCTCTCCAGACTCCTCAGTGACCGGAGACAGGAGCGTGTGACAGCGGCCAGCGGTCATCTGACAAACCAGAGATCACACACATCCACAAAAGAGACGAGAGAGAAGAGAAGGAACTCAATCAGAATGTGTTAGACAAGTCCACAACCCAAAACATTACCATAGAAATATAATATCTCAAACGTGCAACCATTAAGAAAAATACATAATCCTTCATAACCCTTATCTGAAAAATGACTAAAATACAGTCTTCTTACCGTAACAGTTTGCACAGACAGTTTCTTTTTATCACCGTCCAACTCTTCGGGCAGTTCTTCCACATCAGTCACGCTCAGTAGCATGGTAGCATGCTTAGCCTTCACTGCTAGCATCTTGCATTTAGAGTTCAGGGAAGCTATCTGCTCCTGATATCCTTTGATTCTCTGTGCAAGTTCCTTTAATGCGCAATAATAATCACAAAGTCAAATCAATGATCAATGAAGGAGTGTGAAACCAACCAAAGTACCTCATGGTGTAGGATCTGGGCCTGCAGCTCCTGGATGTTGCTGGATGGGATGGGTCTGTCCTGAATGGTGCGATGAGCTTCTTCTATGAGCCGCTGAAGGTCTCTCATCTCCTGCTCGTACTGTTCATACTGAACCACTGCCTCCTGTTTCAGATCAAAGAAAAGCTTCAACTACAGGAAAACTTCACATGTTTGATTCAATATTACAATCAAGTCATACATTCCAGGACTCCTCATTACATCTTCCACATAATAGGCAATGCAAGTTTATTTGTATAGCACTATTATACACAAACAACTCAAAGTGCGGAACAAAACAAGAAGGAGGCAGTCACACGAGGCAGTAAACAATATAGATACAAACATCTATTATATCCATTAACTGACTAACTCAAAATACAGAACGCCATGGTTGTATCAGGTGGGTATAACAGCGCCCTCTACTGTACCTGCAGTATATTGCACTGCTGTATGGCCACATGCTGCAGCTGGCTGGCCTCTTGCTGCAGCCTCAGAGCAGTGCGGCAGATGGCCAGGTTTGGCATCACCTCCTCAGGAACCCTGAGAGCACTTTGACAGAGCTGCACGGCCTGCACCTGCTGCTTAAAGCCCTCCATGTCGGCCAATAAACGCTGCAGGAGCGACAAGAGTTCAGTGATGTACAAATGAATCCTTTCTCAGTTTGGTCACTCACTTGTCTCTGGGCCAGTTGTTCTTTGAGGCTTTGGCGGGACAGTTCTGGGGACGTCAATGTGGCCTGAACTTGTTCCAAAGCAACATGCAGAGCTTTCACTTCATACTCTAAGGCCTCCATACTCTGCAGAAAATATATTACAAATGAATCATATTTCTTATAATCCTAATCCTTTGTTTACACCATGACATTATGAGCAGCCTGACAGAAAAAAACTAAATTACTCCGGCAAATGTATTGATTGTTTTTCTAGTTGTGTCTGAGCTGGAAAGGGAAATGAGTGAGGATGACCTTGTGAGCGTCCTCCAGGCTCTGCAGGCGTGTGTTGATGTTCTGCTGCAGCTCCTCTGACAGTCTGCTGAGAGAACACACCTGCTGGACCATGGACTCCACCTGCAGCACCTCAGACAGAAGATCCACCTTCTCCGACATCGATTCAAGGTCTCCATGAAGCTCCCGAGACTCACGGAGGACAGACTGACCAAACCAGAGATTTTGACGATTAAAATGTCATGATACGACCATTTACTGCTTTATATTGTATTTTTTGTGATCACAATAAAAAGAATCACAAAGGTTTAAATTATTATCTGTCTCTGAACATTTTATTAATAAAGGTCACTTGGAGTTGGGAGTATTTGATCAATAGAACAATTATCTTTTACCCATCAGAAACATTATTGTCTTCTCTTTTGCATAATTTATAAACTATCAAAATGTTGCTTTTCTGAAATGTGTGGGAATTGTTTATGAGGTAATGGTTTCCAAAAGGATCTCTCTGGAAGTGTATATTTTTTTTCCTCTGAATGAAATGCTACAAATGCAAACATAATATTGGAAATGCAACCACAATCCCAATGCAGCAACACTGTATACTGTACAAATATCAATCAAGAGACTTAAAGCCACAAACTAAACGTGTTCACTGACTGTTCCCCGTATGACTGCACCTGGTACATTCGGATCTGCTCCTGTAGATGCACAGATGAGGTCCAGATGATGTTGGCTCTTGCGAGGCCCCTGGCTCTCTCAGACCATCGCACAATGAAGTCCAGCATCTCGTTGTATTCGTCTAAATAGCAAACCGCCTGAAGGCAGAAAGTTACAGTTACGGACAGAATTCACCAAACTGTGATTAAATAAAGCAGAAACGAACACCTTTTTGAGCCAGTTGTTGCGGCAGTCCGCCAGTCGAGACGTGTGGTGGTGCATCTCAGAGAGTTTGCTGATGGCGTCACTGAGCTGCTTGGCTAAAAACGGGTTCCTGCGACTGAAATCCTGAATCCCAGCCTCCAGTTCAGCGAGAGCCCGACCACTCACGTCCAGGTCCTCCACCAAGCTCTGGAAAAAAGAACAATTCAGGAAATAAGTCATTCTAGTAAAGATGACATAAATCCCACATAAGAAAAAGACTGAATAGAAAATATAAACAAACTTTGACTTCTTCTTTGGCGTGATCCACATCTGGAGACTTTTCTTTAAATTTAGTTGATGCAGCTTTAAGTTTCACAGAGATGTCGTGGATCCTAGAACTGAAGTGTTCTTTGATTTCTCTGGTTTTCTGAATCTCTCGCTCTTTGGAAAGAACCTGAAAGCAACAACGCACTCCAGAGTTAAACCATAATGATCACATTTACATCATTTAAAGACCCCTGTACCTGGTCCTCAATGGCCCCTAAGGCCAGGGAGACTTCAGCCAGCTGCATGGAGATCTCCGAGGGCAGTATCGTGTAGAGGTCCAGGTACTTGCTCTGTTGCTGCTCCGCTAACTTGTCCACACTCTGGCGATAACTAATTACATCCCCGTGCACGATCTGAAACACAGTCCACACTTCAGATACAGAAAACAGTGTTTCATTTTTGTGCTGGAGCAGCGTACCTCCAGCTCCTGGAGCAGAGCATCAATGTCTAGTGTTGGATTTAGCAGCAGCTCTCTCGTCTCTTGGATCCAGGTCTTGACCACACTCAGCTCCTTCTCCACCTCCTCTCGGTCTCTGAGCTCCTGTGCTGCTTGTGCTCGCTTAGTGCGCGACTGTGTTAAGAGGCTGTGGAGTTGGGGAACCATAATGTGTTATTATCTAAGAACCAAAGAACATCAAAACCCCAACTCATCATTGCAGTGACGCTTTAATAATAATAATAATAAAGAACTGGGTTTTTATTGTGTTTTTTTGGACTCTCATAATTTCTTCACATAGTTATTCTTTTTCTCCAAACACGGTGATAATAAACTACTACTGTAGCCACAGCTGCCCTGGGGCACATTGACAGGGGGAGGCCACCAGTCTGTGCCATCGGCCCCTCCCACCACCACCAACCACTCACACACACACCAGACTCATTCTAATGTGGGGGAAGTGTCTTGCCTAAGGACACAACCACAATTTGGCACTTTACAGCCGCAGCCGCCCCACTGTGGCACCTGCTGTTCCCAGAGGTCTCCCATCACAGGACTAACCAGGCCCTACCAGTTTATAGAAGTGTGTTTTTAAACTTGTCCCTCACATGCTAAAATAAACCATCACGATAAAAACATACAAATTCTGTATCGCAAAATGCAAACAGAAAAGTGCACCTTTCCATCTGTTCCTGCACGGCCCGGATCTCCCGCAGACTCGGCAGCTCGTCCTGCTCACTGGTCGGAGACGGCACTTCCATGTCGTGTAAGAGACTGAGCGCGTACTGTCTCAGCAGCATCAGGGACGACAGCTCTCGCTCCAGGTCCTGACTCAACAGGTCGTTCTGGTCCAGGAGGGACTGCAGCGTGGCTTTAGAGGCTTTCTCTACAGAACTGTCAGGGACCCTGCTCTGCAGCTCATCAGTCACTGCTTTCACTTTGGCCATCTGTAAATAAAGAATACGTGTAGTTCAATTTATTACATGGGAGTCAAAGTCGAGGCCCGGGAGCCAGATCCGGCCCTCGAATGAATGATCTCGGCCCCCGGGATGATATTGGATTTGTATAAGAACCGGCCGCACAGAGACAAAAGAAAATGTTGGATTATTAATTTAAAGTTCAGGACACTTATTTACTCTTTGCTTTTGTCTGTGAGCCTGTTGGAAAAGGTTTACACTTGAAATGACTGAGAAAGCTACACAAATATTGGATAATTAATCTAATCATTCAATAAAATACGGTTCACTGTGATAGGTCTCGGTTCGACAGGTTTTATGCATCGTTTTAAAAAGTTTTAATAAACATTGAACCACTCCGGCCCTCGGCTTGCACCAAATTAGTTTCTTTGGCCTCTGAAGAATTTGACTCTGACGTCCCTGTTCTATTGCATCATACAGAGCGATCACGGACCTTCTCTCTGAATGTCCACCACTCATGTGCCGTGTCCTCCAGGATCCTCTCCTGTCCCCGGGCCACGCTGCGTAGACGAGTCCATCTCTGCCAAACGGTGGTCATGGAGCGACTGATGGTGGCTTTACTGGCATCGCTCCCGACTAACTCCAACTGAGAGGCCTGCTCCTCCAACTCACTCAGCTTCTCTTGGAAACCATTCACCAACGACACCAAGGACTAGCAACATAAGAACAACCATAAGAACAACCATAAGAACAAAAGCAGGTATCACTTTATAACAACTACACCTTATTTAGGCTTAATAAATGTTGAAATAACCCTTATAACCATGAACAATTCATTATTTAAGTGTAACCAACACTTAATAACTACTTAACTACTTGTGAGGCATAGTAATATCTTAGGAGCACTTTGACTTTCCTGCGTGGACATCGAATTGACACCTGATAATATATTTCCCCTTTTTATCCGCTTTGAAAGCCCACATAATAACCATAATAACCCTGACCCTTGCATCATGTACAGACTCATGTGACCGTATATAAAAGGGAAAACGTGGAAGGGCTCAGTCTAACACCGTCTGAGCTCTTTTTACATGACTGAGGGCACACAGGGTAAAGTTAAGTAGTTATTAAGTGTTGGTCATACTTAATTCATGAATTGTTTAAGTGTTATTTCAACATTTATTAAGCCTAAATGAGGTGTAGTTATTATAAAGTGTTCCCCAAAAACAATAACTTGTTCTGTTTGATCTTACGCGATGGCTGCAGAGTTTGTCTTCAGCCTCTTGACTTGTGGCGGCCTTTGCTGTACAGAATTCAGTGAGTTTCTTCTCTGCATCATTCATGAGCTCAATGACGGTCTGTCTGGACTCTTGGTAGGACTTCCACTGAGACACACAGCTGCAGACACAGACGGGAGACTCTTTATTATTATTGTGCGTGTGTGCTTTTAATGTTTTAAGGTTTCTTCATTACTTGTGATTTTATTCTGTTTTTAATGTATTTATTGTTTGTATATGTAGATTTGTATGTTTCTGATTTGTCTGATATTATGTGGGTTGTGAGGCGCTTTGAGTGGCCTTGTGTTGGAAAGACGCCATACAAATAAAGTTGATTGATTGATTGATAATATTGAAAATGCTAATGTTAATGTAGTGTAGAAAGGACCAGGGACTGGAAAAATAGCAATATCTATAAACTCTTTTTTTCATTGCATCAGTTACAAACTTGTTTTGTTCTATGTTGTTTTGCAGCGTCCCTGTCAAATACATTAATACATAATGAATAAATAAAAAAGAGACACATACAATCACAGAAAAAAGCCTTAATCCTCAGAGTAAACAACTGGTACCAGTGTCTCCACAGATCTGACTGGTACCAGTGTCTCCACAGACCTAACTGGTCCCAGTGTCTCCACAGATCTGACTGGTCCCAGTGTCTCCACAGACCTGACTGGTACCAGTGTCTCCACAGATCTAACTGGTACCAGTGTCTCCACAGATCTAACTGGTACCAGTGTCTCCACAGATCTAACTGGTCCCAGTGTCTCCACAGATCTGACTGGTCCCAGTGTCTCCACAGACCTGACTGGTACCAGTGTCTCCACAGATCTAACTGGTCCCAGTGTCTCCACAGATCTGACTGGTCCCAGTGTCTCCACAGACCTGACTGGTACCAGTGTCTCCACAGATCTAACTGGTAAGAATAATAATAATAATGCATCAGATTTATAAAGCGCTTTTCTGGACACTCAAAGACGCTTTACACATAATTATTCTTTCTCTCCAAACACGGTGGTGATAAACTACTATTGTAGCCACAGCAGCCCTGGGGCAGACTGACAGAAGCGAGGCAACCAGTCTGTGCCATATAACACTTATTTAATAAGTATAATAGTAAGTATATAATAAGTTTACATTTGCATAATCTTTTGTTGTAACATTATCATACTTTTGCTTTCATTATATGTTTTGTAGCTAAAGTACTTCCAGAAAACTTCCTATATTGATACATTTCTCAGTAGAGGCTCCAAATCAAACCTTTGCAGGACGTCCTGGTGACACTGCAGCTGATCCCGGACCTCTGCTCCTCTCTGTTTGGCTGAGTCCACACTGACCCCGAGCTGTTCTTTGGCTGTAGGATTCACCAGAGCCTGTAGCTGTGGAAACACATCCTGCAGTTCATCTAAGTGGATCAGGAACTCCTGCTCCGTGGCCATGATGTCCTCCTGCTGCCTCAGACACTCCTCGTAGTTTTCCACATCCACGCCCAGACTTGCTTGTTGGAGAAAAGACACCGCATCCTCCAACCACTCACAGGCCGACTGCATCCGGAAGTGATATTTCTGACACAACCCCAGGGCCTCCTCCAGACTGATCTGTAAATATATATTCAACAACGATTAAAATACGTATAAAAGGCTTCCATTGTACTTGTATTATGGAGAGGAACCTGTTGAACTAGGAATTCAGTAGAAACAAGAAAATAACATTGAAAGGAATTTGGACACTGGAGTTTGGTCACTTTCAATATTGTCATCATGTATTTCATATATTTTAGTGGATATAGGACAATATGAAATGCATTACATTATTAATGTTTATATATTAAAGCTGGAGTACCTAATGTTGAAATCACAAAACAACAAAGCCTCTGTCACATCTTTAGATCAGCTTTTTCAATAAAAAAGATAGAACTCTCAGTCAGCCAATCAGCTCTCAGTATGGAAAAGATAAAAATGTTTAAACAAAGATTGAAATCATGTTTTCACAAAATGCGAAAAGAAACACAATGTGTGAATAATTTCTTACCAGTTTGGAGCTCATTGCCTTCTGAACGTCCGCCTGCAGCTTGGCCATCTCTTCCAGGCTCGTATCGAGGTGAAACGGGACCAGCTCATTGGCACTGATGTACTTCTGCTTCTCCCTTGAGCTCAGAGCTGCCACGATCCTGAGGCGGGACTGCACCTCTTCTTGCATAATCTGCTGCTTCCGAATCTCCTCCTGCACTTTCTCCACCCTCATATCTACGATCACTGCAGAGCTCAGATCATCCCTGACCTTCTGCAGCCAATCAAGCGTCCGCGTCATCTCCGTCTCGAAATCTTTACTCTGGACAAATCTGTTCTCGCACTCCTCTATCAACTCCCCGACGGCGGACTGTAAGGACCTCAGCTCCTCTTGCCACGATACAATTTGTTCCTTAGACGCGTCCTGAGTGGCTTGGTCTACCCGCGGTGCAAGAGTGTCCATTTGTTCCATTAGCCTCGACAAGTGGGAATCTGCATTATGCAAACTTCCCGCCAGTGCATGGTAATTCTGCAATCTCTCCTCTGCCGATTGCGTTTCAGAGTTGACGCGAACGAGCTGCTCCTTTGTGGCCCTCAATTCAGAATCCACTTGCAATGCCATAGCTTTGTGATCCTCAAAGGACTCCAAAGTCTCATCTAAGTGCTCGACCTTTTGCTCGACAAGTCGCTTTAAACTGTTGTATAGACTGACCAGCAAAGTCATCTCCTCTGAGCGCCACGGCTGTCCGGTGCTTCGAAAACCCTCCTTTTTCTGGTTCAGTTCGCTCACAGCAAGACCCAAGCTGCTAAGATCTGCCTGTATGGCTTTGTAGTCACTCTGCAGATTGACCACTTCTTCAGTTTGTAAACCAACAGGCTGTGTCCCGAGATGATTGTACTGCTCTTCCAGTTCTTTCAGAGCCTTGTGCGTGACATCAATGAAGGAAGCATATTCATTCCTTGTGAAAATAGCTTGTTGGATTTTCTCGTGCTTCTCTTTGGCCAATGTTAAAATGCTGTTGTACTGTTGGGGTAAGGTATTCAACTTTTCATCCAAGAAACAGTGATCCACCTCATTCAACGTGGGTAAAATCTCCTGTCCAGCCCTTTGCACAATCAGCAGGAGATTTTCGTATTCAATTGCTTGTTCAATAATTTGTTCATATTTGAATAACTGGGCGTCCAACTCAGCATCTCCCACCATTAGATTGATTTCTGGAAAAGTGACGATATCTGCTTGCTTCAACCATTGGCAAATCTTCTCCAAATCTGTCTTGAAATATTTGCGAGATACTAAAACCTTTTCCAACTCTTGCAGCTTTTGCCCACACCTATGCAGAGTCCGATCAAAAGTATTCTGCAACTCCTGGAGCTTGGAAAGGATTTCATTTTTCTCCTCTTCACTCGCATTTCTCATCAAATCCCTCCCCTGAGACCACAACGACGTTAGCTCGCTCTGATAAGCTTTAAGGCTGCTTTGGATATTCCGGCATGTTCTAACTTGTTTGGCCAAATCCTCCGGTAACAAAGCGATGCACTCCTCGGCTTGGGCTTTCTTTTCGTTCTGCTGAACCCATGAAATCGACTGGTTCACCGCCATCAAGAATTGCGTCCTCTCTGTGAACGCTTTGCTGAGATGTTTTCGTCTTTGCACCATCTTGACGCTCAAAGACTCCACCACATTTTGCGTGTCTGAAATAAGCTGCTGCAGGTTCTGTCGTTCACTTAGACCTAATCTAGCCAAGACCCGATCAGCGTCAGTCATGGCTTGGTCCAGTAGAAGCTGCTTGGCCTCCAGTTCGCTGCATATACTTAAATGGTCGAACAAAAAGCTCTGGGCCAGCTCTGGAGGTGGACTCATCTTCATGGCCTCAGACAGAGCGGGCTGCTGCTCCTCGGCCCAATCACGGGCCTCTCTCAGACGGGCCTCCACTTGGCTCATGTCCTCCAGTGTCACCATCGAATCCTGCACCTTTTTTTCGATGAGGTTTTGCATCTGCATCCATCGCTGCTCAAAGTGGCTGATTTGTTCTTTGACCAGCTCCTTGTCGTCCAAATTGAGATGTTGAATGACTTTTTGTTTCTGCTCCTTCAAGTCCTCAAGAGCTCCCTTTTGTTCTTCCAGAATTATTGCAAGTTGACGTAGAGCATCCAGATGTTGAGATGAACTTTCAGCATCCGTTCTGTACAAAACAGACATTTTTACATACAAGTTGTTAAGTGCAGTTTGAAAATAATCTGAAGAACCACAGTATTTATTGTGTAAATTTGGTTGTTTTTAGTGTTTTTCGTGAGGTATCTAATAAAAAACGTACCTGGCCAGATTGTCCCACTCTCTGGACACCTGTTCAAAGAGTGCCTCCACTGCACTGATACAGGTGTGGTACTCTTGCGCCCTCTGCAGGTCGTCCTCCCTCTGGATCTGCAGTCTGTTGGCCTGATGACACAGCTCCAGCCACATGTCGCTGAGACGGTCCAGATCTGAAATCTCCTGAGACCCCTGACCCCCTGTCAGCCGACTCACAGTCTCAGACATCCCAGTGAGAGTGCTCTTCTTGGACTGAAGGAGCTGGCTACAGTCCTGTGAATATATTACATTACCTACTATTCATATCATAATCATAGTCAATACATTATGAGCACTACCTTGGCTTGTGAGAGCATGTTCTGAGCTATTTTAATTTCCAGTTCAGCGGGTCTCCTGGAGAGGCAGAGCAGCTGCTGCTCCATGTCCTGAAAGAGAGCAGTAAGGTCCTGCTTCTGGTCTCGGACCTGCCTCCATCCCTCTGACAGCTCCTGAGCACTGGACATACGCTCCTCAATCTGAAGCAGCACCATACATGTAAACATCATTCAGCTACTGTACGATCATCACATATATGTATAAGCTCACTGTTAGCTTGACTTGCTGGACCTCTGCTGCCGTCACTCTCACTACATCATCAGACAGATCACAGACAGAACATACGAGGTCCAGGTAGGTGCTGGCCTGCTCCTGAAGTGCCCTGTAATGTTTCACCTGCAACAAAACACAACAAAGTCTTAGTTATTGCTTTACTAATCCAGATGTTCCAGTCTTTATACATATATTTGTGTTTACCAACTTTCATCTTTGAGTGAGTGGTTACCTGCTTGAGAGCCTCTTGTAGACCAGACGGGCCCTGATCATTGAGCTCTTTTTGGACCGTGCAGAGCCAGGTTTGACACTGCTCCAGAGTGTCCTGGTGGCTCACGTGTTTCTGCAGCTCACGGTCCAGACTGTGGTAAACCTGAAGGAACAACCATCATTCTCAAAAGCTGTCCTTGAATTGTGATAGTGATAAACATGAGCCCGGCACTGACCCGCTGTGCAGTGCTGCAGATGGCAGAGTAACTGTCCCGAGTGCCGTGTTGGTGAGCTTGGATTTGTTGACTGACTTTAGCTTGGACTTGACCACTGCAGCTCGCTACAAGGTCTTCTCCTTTCTGCTTCAAGCTGTTGAGGCGATCCTCAAAACTCGAGATCTCATCCATTATTGCCTGAGAAATAAGACAACTATTTCCGATGCAATCTTTAGTGTGTGAAATGAAAGTCTGTCTGAACTCTTACCTTGTGCCGAGCGAGTTGCTGCGTTGCCATTTCCATGCTGCTGGTTTGCATCGAGTCAGAAGTGACCAAACGACTCGACATCTGAAGCAGCCATTTCTCCACTTCCTGCAGCTCACTGTTGTAGTCTTCATGCTCTTTTACCCAATCCACAAGGTTTTGGACATGGATCTGGATAAAACCAAAACACCACTTTAGCGAGAATCAGTGATTAAAATATAGATAGTGTATTGATAAAGAAATAACCTTGGAAGCCAGACTTAGATCCTGGAAGTTAGTCTGTAGTTTCTTCATGTTTTCTCGGATTATTGGGTCGTGAACTAACTCAAGCAGGTTCTCTCCCTTTTCTAACACAGACTTCACAGCCGGTTCATGGGACTGCACAGTCTGCTGGATCGTCTACAATTTTTAAAAACAAAAATATATAGTCATTAAAATCACAAAATCATTTCTACCAACCACATAAATATGATTAGTTACTTTGTATTTCGCCAGCTGGGCTTTCTTTTGATAGAGTTCTGCTTTAGGTTCCACATTTGCTGCTAATAAGTTCTTGGTCTCCAGAACCCACTGCGCCTGCGTTTTGTATTTATCCATGAAGTCTTTTGAAAGTGATAAGCATTTCTCTAAAGAGCTGTGTTCCGCTCGTAAAGCAGACACCAGGAACTCGAGCTGAGAGAGGTGAGCGTCCACTTCCTCCTTCAGCTGCTCGGCTTCGGGCTCCTCCAGGAACGTCATGGCACGTTCAGTTTTCTCTCTCATCGTCTTTAGGAGAGTGTGGCCCTGCTCAATGTCAGTCTGAAACGACTGAAACACAGAACATTAAAGAAGAAACATGTAAGATTATCATGTCCAGTCATCATTAAAGGGCCCTAACCTGTCATCATTAAAGGGCTCTAATCTGTCATCATTAAAGGGCCCTAATCTGTCATCATTAAAGGGCCCTAATCTGTCATCATTAAAGGGCACTAATCTGTCATCATTAAAGGGCCCTAATCTGTCATCATTAAAGGGCCCTAATCTGTCATCATTAAAGGGCCCTAATTTGTCATCATTAAAGGGCCCTAATTTGTCATCATTAAAGGGCCCTAATCTGTCATCATTAAAGGGCCCTAATCTGTCATCATTAAAGGGCCCTAATCTGTCATCATTAAAGGGCTCTAATCTGTCATCATTAAAGGGCCCTAACCTGTCATCATTAAAGGGCCCAAACCTGTCATCATTAAAGGGCCCTAATCTGTCATCATTAAAGGGCTCTAATCTGTCATCATTAAAGGGCCATAACCTGTCATCATTAAAGGGCTCTAACCTGTCATCATTAAAGGGCCCTAATTTGTCATCATTAAAGGGCTCTAATCTGTCATCATTAAAGGGCCCTAACCTGTCATCATTAAAGGGCTCTAATCTGTCATCATTAAAGGGCCCTAATCTGTCATCATTAAAGGGCCCTAATCTGTCATCATTAAAGGGCCCTAATCTGTCATCATTAAAGGGCCCTAATCTGTCATCATTAAAGGGCACTAATCTGTCATCATTAAAGGGCCCTAATCTGTCATCATTAAAGGGCCCTAATCTGTCATCATTAAAGGGCCCTAATCTGTCATCATTAAAGGGCCCTAATCTGTCATCATTAAAGGGCACTAATCTGTCATCATTAAAGGGCCCTAATCTGTCATCATTAAAGGGCCCTAATCTGTCATCATTAAAGGGCCCTAATTTGTCATCATTAAAGGGCCCTAATCTGTCATCATTAAAGGGCCCTAATCTGTCATCATTAAAGGGCCCTAATCTGTCATCATTAAAGGGCCCTAATCTGTCGTCAGATCCGGGCGCCAGAACTCACCGCGTGGAGCTAATCTCACTGGTAAAGTACCATGTGACGCAGAACTAAAAAAGGTCTCGTTATGATTCTCAAATCATTAACGACAAAACAAGGAATAAAACCAGGATTTCTATCTTTGTGAAAAAGGTGTTGGTTATAGATTTGTTGTTGACAAAACTCTTGTCTATTCAGCTGTTATGGTCCCAGCTGGATTCGTCTGCATATCTGGCAACCTGAGTCAGGGAGAGTGGGAGAGGCTGCAGTACCACTTTTGGCCACATGGGTACACACTGCTCCTTTAATTACATGTATACATTCAAATCAGGGATAAACAGGAAATGTCATTTAACAGTTTAACATGTACAGACTTTTGTTTTCATAAATGGTTTGTGGTTTCTGCTCTACCTCCAGTTTCTTCATCTTTCTGTCCATGGCAAAGCGGTCGACCACATCCACACTGATCGCCACCGTGCTGAAGTTATTCTGAGCTGTACTGAGCCAGTCTGAAAATGTCGTGACGATGTTCTGAGCTTCTTCAATGCAGGACACTTCCTCTTGGAGCTGTTTAATCGTTTCCTATAAGAAGAAAATATATATGCAATGACATTATGTTTTGAAAAATAGGCATAAGAAAGTTATACCAGTAAATGCAGCAGCAGGGCGTGGTAGCGGGCGGTGATCTGAGTGGCTCTGGAGCTGATCCTGGAGCTGATGTGAGTCTCATCCAAGACTTGCTGAGCCAAAATACTGAGGCCCTCCATCTCCTCCTGATAAACCAGGACCTCCTCCTGCCAACTCTGTAGAAAGATTATTCATTCCATTCAGAAAATGTATTGTTTCAGTAAGTAAAACTGTCATTATATAAATTCATTACACATAGAGAGAAATATTCAAACTGGTGCAGTATATATTCTTATTTTCTTGTATTTTTAAAAATTTCGAAATGACTACAAAAAATATTGAACCATTCCAAAATACTTTTTGTACAGGATGCCGGTATAGAAGAAATATGGGGTAAAGCATTTTGTTGCAAGGTTATGAACTGAAATTATAACTTATTGGCAAATGTGACCAGAGCAGAATGTACCTTGATGAGCTGCAGCTGAGCGTCTTTGGTGGTGCGGTCAGAGCGCCTGTGCAGCCGCAGCTGTGCTTTGGTTTCCATTCCTTTGAGCCAACTGTCCAGACACTGGAACTTCTGCTCCATCTGTCGGAGTTTGGCCAGAGCACTGTTGAGCTGGGAGCGGGTCTCGGCCAGCCGGGCCTGGTACAGCCTCCACTCCTGCTGCAGCGTCTCCAGGGCTCGGTCCTCGATCTGAGGCAGGCCCCAGGAGACCACCTGCTCCCGACTGATCGACAAAGTGTTCAGCAGAGCCTGGCCCTCGGTGCAGTGGAGCTGCAGCTCCTGTCGGCACAGAGGTGGTTCAATACTTCATTTTGCACATCTAAAAGTGTTTAATATTCAAATAACTAGTTATATTTTTCATACAAGCCTTTAATTACCAAATGCTGTGATACTAAGGACGATTATGTTTCATTTAATTTCAACCATAAAATAATACATCCAATAAAACTTTGATAAATCAATGTGTTTGTTATGTAAATTTGTAAGTTTGCAAGTTGAAATATCAGTCCTTGGAACTTTAGTTTGTGGTAGTTCTGAGTTTGAGACCTGCAGCTTCTGCAGCGTGTCCTCCAACATGTCCACGTCTCCCTCCAGCTGCATGTAACAGCCCAGCTTCTCCTGCTCCTGCTCCAGCCACTCCTCAAAGGCCTGGAGCCCACGCTGGTACTCCTCATGGGCCTTCACCAACTCTTCTGCTTTACCCACGGCTTTCTACAAACAATCCAACATTTGTATTAGCACAAATGCATGTTCCTATGGTCCCAATGATTAACCAGAAAGTACCATGGTATTGTCCTTAATGGAATTGTAACGCTCTTGTAGATCTTGCAGCTCAAGTTGCGTCACATAGTTTTCAGAAATACTGAGACTCTTTGCAGTGATAGTTTCCAGGAGTGCATTGTGACTTAAGACTTCCTCGTACAACAACTGGAAAAGCAGATCAATAAAACAATAAAAACAGTTCAAAGACAGGCGAAAATGTAGATAACACAGAACTCTTTGCTGTACCTTTGTTTTTCTCAGATTTGCAGTTTTATCTCTCATCTCAGGACAGTGTTTATCCGCTGGGTCCAGACTCTCCTCCACTCGCTCCATCCAAGTCACAAACTGTCGCACGTCCTCCTGGTAACTGGTCCACTGGGACAGGGAGCCCTCCAGCTGACTGTATAATACACACATATTTAATATACACATATTCAATATTCACATATTTAATATTCACATGTAACCACTGGACAACTATGACGTACAAACATCCGGACAACCTAATGAAGCGAACCTTTTACACTGGATAGAAGCCGAGAGCAGAGCGTCCCACGAGTCTTTCAGCTCCTGCAGTTGTTTCTGAACCGCAGGAACACCGTCTGAGGAGGTGTTCCTCTGAACAGACTCTCCTCTTGTTATCAACATCTTTATCTGGATCTCCTTCTCCTGACGAGCTGTGAGCAAAGCCTGACACACACATTCATAACTCAATCAGCAGCAGCACTAGAACCAAAAACATCATCTACCAATATTTATAATGACTAATAACTGAATGAAACACACAGCCTTGATTAACGTTTTACGAGTAGTCATTAAGTCATTAATTAGAACAACATAATAATAATAATAATAATAGTAATAATAATAGTAATAATAATAATAATAATAGTAATAATAATAATAGTAATAATAATAATAATAATAGTAATAATAATAATAATAATAATAATAGTAATAATAATAATAATAATAGTAATAATAATAATAGTAGTAATAATAGTAATAATAGCAATAATAATAAATAATAGTAATAATAATAATAATAATAATAATAATAATAATAATAGTAATAATAATAATAATAATAATAATAATAATAATAATAATAATAATAATAATAATAATAATAAGGCAGAGTGTGATGAATACCTCTAGTTTGATCATCCTGCTGTCCAGAACACTTTTATCCACGGTGGGAGCGCAGTAGGTCTGCAGCATGTGGCTGGTGTCTGCGACCCAGTTCTGCAGCTCCTTCAGGCCCTGAGAGAACAGCTGGTGCTCATTGACAATGCGCTCGATTCTCGACGCCTTTTCCTGCAAAACATCAAGACAATGAAGTTACAATAATAATAATTTCCTTTTTCCTCATGCTTATACAGTAGTTGTGTAAGCATGGCTTAGCATCTGATGCTCCAAATGATCATGACCATTGGGAAGTACTTTTTATTACATTTTACAATGTCTATTAAATTTCCTGCCAGCCCATTTCAGAACAGGTACTCCCATATCGCCAGCAGTTTCTGATGATTTTTATTGATTTTTCAAGACCCTCAGAATATTGTGTACTATGACTATCTGAAATCCAAAACCAGATTCTGAAAGAATGGACTGTCTATTTTCATCAGAAAAAATAATGTTGTTTCTATTGTTTCGTTCCCCTGTAATCCCCAGTCGAGTAGAGGGTTTTACTGAAATCACCAGTTTCAGACAAAAAGCTGAGAAAAAAAGGATGCAACAAGTGTATCCTGTTTTCAGAACATACAGAGGCAGCGCTGCTGCCACCTGCTGGCTCCATAATATATGGTCTAAAGCAAATCCCCAAAGATATTAGATAGAAGAGACATCTGGGAACATGACAATAGTGAAAAACGCATGGCATAAAGTTGGCATGCAAACAGACACCTATTACTATACCTTAGTGAGATCAGACAAAGGTAGTACAGAGGCTGTGACTGTACCTTAGTGAGATCAGACAAAGGTACAGAGGCTGTGACTGTACCTTAGTGAGGTTGGTTAGACAAAGATACAGAGGCTGTGACTGTACCTTAGTGAGGTTGGTTAGACAAAGGTACAGAGGCTGTGACTGTACCTTAGTGAGGTTGGTTAGACAAAGGTACAGAGGCTGTGACTGTACCTTAGTGAGGTTGGTTAGACAAAGGTACAGAGGCTGTGACTGTACCTTAGTGAGGTTGGTTAGACAAAGATACAGAGGCTGTGACTGTACCTTAGTGAGGTTGGTTAGACAAAGGTACAGAGGCTGTGACTGTACCTTAGTGAGGTTGGTTAGACAAAGGTACAGAGGCTGTGACTGTACCTTAGTGAGGTTGGTTAGACAAAGATACAGAGGCTGTGACTGTACCTTAGTGAGGTTGGTTAGACAAAGGTACAGAGGCTGTGACTGTACCTTAGTGAGGTTGGTTAGACAAAGGTACAGAGGCTGTGACTGTACCTTAGTGAGGTTGGTTAGACAAAGGTACAGAGGCTGTGACTGTACCTTAGTGAGGTTGGTTAGACAAAGGTACAGAGGCTGTGACTGTACCTTAGTGAGGTTGGTTAGAGCAAGGTACTGAGCAGAGAGCTGAGAGACGCGATACACAAAACCCTTTCCGGCCGCGTGCTCGTCCCACAGCAGCTGGGCCTTCTCCCGGAGCCTGCAGAGCTGCACCTCCTGAGAAGCCAAGTCCTCAAGCACAGACTGGAAGGACAGGCAGGTTACAGCACAGAGGCATGCAAGCAGACACAGCACAAACAAACGTGTGTGAGAGGGAGTAGACAATGCATCGCTCAAGTTTGTTAAAGCAGCAGAGGTCGAAACAACATGTCTGCTGCAGGATTGATGCTGAAGCAAAGAGAGGAAAGACATCAGAGGCAGTGAGCTATTGGCAGTTTTGTTTTGCAAAGCTGGATGTCTGAGGTTTAATAGTGTGTCAGTGTCATTCTTACATTATTTTAGTCTGAAATATTTTATCTCTATTGTTGTCTGAAAGTTTGATCTGAATGCTCTGTTAATACTCTGTAGGAATTGACACCTGGAGTTTGTGTAGCTCCAGTTTCTTGGCTGTCAGATCGTGCAGTCGGGTGCTGCTCTCCTGCACAGCCATCTCTGTGGCATTGAGGCAGTCCTGCAGCGGCTCTGCACTGGCCTCAAAGTCCTTCATGTGAGACGCCAGGTTCTGAAACCAACACAAACACATATGATACTAACTGTAAAGGATGTTTTATTTGATATTGAGGAAAAACTTTACTTGTAAATTGGTCTCTCTGTTGTGAAGGTTGGTCAATAAACTCTTCCAGTCTTCTCGAGCAGTGGTCATTTTAACACGAACTGCCTCCACTTTGTCTTTGGGCGCCACGCTGCAGACACGCTCCCCGTTCATGACCACATTATTCAGCTTGGACTGGCCCTGTTCCCTGTCATTCAAAAACTCCTAAGAAAACAGAAACATGCATTGAAGAAAAACAACAAGTAATATTCACATTGTGTTGTGGCCTATCTGTTCAAGTGTTTTAATGTATCAAGATACAAGAATTTATTTGCGATATGCAGTAAAACCACATTGGAAAAACTGTGCAAGACTCCCCCAGAGTGGACCGGACAGACGCACACACCAGAGCTCAGGCGGCAAAGAGTAACAGCAGAGAACATTTCACACAGACATTTTTTGTAAAGACACATTACAGAAAACACGGTGGATCTTTTTGATTGGACGTTACTCTGAACAGCCCCGCCCCTAATGTGGGCTGTCCGAGGGGAGTGATGGGTGAGGGTGGGGGGGGGACAAATACTGAGAGAGATAGGCAGACAATGGAGGAGGGAGTCCTGGTGAACTGAGAGTCTGTGAGTTTTGAGAATCGGACAAAGAATGAAATAAAACCATTTTGTTCAAAGTTATCGAAGTGCAACCAGTGAAATATGACTCTGAACCTGTATTTTCTGTAGACTTGAGGAGGCTTCGCTGAGATTCTGTGGAGCATCAAAGCACTTTGCGGTGTTGATCTTAGTATTGACGAGCCATTGTTGAAACTCTCTGAAGGACGAACGAAAGCCCTGGTCCAACAGCTTCTCCTTGGTCTGACATTCTCTGGAGGCCTTCAGGCTCAGACTAGAACCGTAAACAGTTATTATGAGTCGACTCAAAGTAAATGCTCCGTAATCATGAAACAAACCTGTTATATTCCTTTATTAACGTGGAAACCCGGTCAGACTGTGTCCCCATGTCTTTGGAAAATCGACATAAATCATTCAGCTGAGTTTTCAAACTGTCAGACCAGGGTTCAGTTTTGACAAGTTCATCTAAAGTGTCCTGAGAAGAAAACACAAGAAAAAAAAAAAACTTAGTAGGACCGAATACTTCCTGATTACTTTATGAGCCGTATGTTTTTTAGGGGTTCTGTGTCATATTATAATAACAGACACTACTCTTCTGACCCTTTACATCCCCCAGGTCTCAACAGCATGTATTTCTTAGTGGCTTAATTCTATTTTCAGTAAATGGCTTCACACAACCACTAACACTGAGGGAACAATAAAGGTTTTAGTGTTATCATTCATCTCAAAATAATGGTAAAATAAGTGCTTTGTGTGCTGTAAGTGCTAATAACTGATATCCCAATGCTCGGAAGATCAGTAGATGACCAAATGTACTGCTTACTTTTGCCATCTCCCATCCTTTGACAGCCTCGTCTCCGTCAGTCTTGGCCTCAGCCTGTGAAAGATGAAGACTCCTTTGATGCAGCAGTCGGCTGAAGTGGTGCAGGTCGTGGTCCAGCTGTGCAGAGAGGCTGCTGAACTCCTGCTCCGAGCTGACCATTTGGGACAGGGTGGTTTCCAAACTGGCCCTGGTCTGAAGTGCTCCTCGCTCCCACTGGTCCCAGGAGGTCAGCAGAGCAGCCTCCTCTCGCTCCATGGACTCATATCCCCCAGAGCCGGTGTGGTCCCTCGCCACTGCTCCACATCTCTGGACACGGTTTAACCTTTCTCTTCCTCGCTGTTTGGAGTCCAGCAGTTCCTACAATTGTTCACATGAATGCAGGTAATTCAGCTGCTTCCAAATTAATTCTTTTGATTCAGAAATTGGGTTTTATTGGACAGAACTAATGCACGTACTTGAACTTTGGATAGTTTCCTCTTGATGGAAAGAGAATCTCCCGACAGGTCGGACCAACGCTGAAGCTCTTCTTTGGCTGAGATCAACCAATCGTTAAAATCTCTCACTGCATCCAGGTACTGCTCATGTTCTGACACTATGTTCTGCATCGTCTGCACTTTCCCCTTTGAAAAGAGAAATAAAAACATTATATCAATGTTCAAATGTTTATTTATTTTCATTGTTTTATAAGATATTGAGTCAGCTTCCAGGACTGGTCTTTACGAGTACCAGTATGTCAAATGTTTTATAACAAAATAAGGACAGCATGATGTTATTTTTTACAAAACTCTTTCTTTGAGACAAAATGTAATATTTGTGAAGATAAAGTTAGGCACAACAACTTGGCTGAGCGTGACATTTCCACCCACTGACCTGGAACTACAGAGCATACTTTTATTCCATCCATCTTACCTTCACCACGGCTGAAATATCTGCAAAGTGTGCACTGAGCTCCGCCCTTGACTCTGGTCCAAAGGTGGAATCAGCCGTTTTCTCGTGCATCTCCACTGCCTTCTCCGTCAGACGGGACAGGACTGCAGCGTGAGCGTCCACGTCGGCCTGGAGGGTTCGCAGTTGTTCCAGGAGGCTGCACTTCTCCTTCAGACCAGGCTGCTGTGGGAGGGTCAGGCCCAGCTCCTGCTCCACACTCTCCATCCACTGCTGCAGCTGACTCCGATTGTCCAAGAAACTAGTCCACTGAGTCACGGTCCACTCCAGGCGACTGAAACGGAAGAATGCAGCGTGACAGATGAAAATATCATCATAGTGGTTCTAAAATAGTGATACAACATGTTTTCAGGTGAGACCATGTACTTTGTATCATTGAAAGTAAAACATTTGAGTATAAACGTTGTGCTGCTCTGAGTTAAAATGACTACAGTATGAGGCACCTGTGGCAGCTCATGGAGGTCATGAGCATGTTGGCCCAGGCGTCCTTCAGACTCTGCAGCTGGGAGCAGATGGCCTCCTGTCCTTCCATGCGGTTGTGCTTCAGGACCTGTTCTCCTTTACCCACGGTCATGTTCAGTTTGACCTCGCCTTCACCCTTCATCAGCAAAATGTCCTAGAATGTGAATTTGTAATTAATTTCATGATTACTTGAAATCACATACTTAAAGTAATAGTATATTGTGCTCTTGCATCGAACAATGGATCTAAACCAAAATGAACTGACCAGTAATCTAAAGCAATACATGTTAACATGAACAATAATAACATCAAGTCCATTGTTTCTAAAATTAAGATAAAAACAGTAAAGAACTATCTGTTGGTGCATGATAATATCTGAGATAAGGCCCAATAGCCTTGCATTGGGCCTTATCTCAGATGCAGCACAGAGACTTTGCGGGACAGAAGGGGTTGGACTAGAACTTGACTGACTGGACTTGCACAAACATGCACCAGAGTGAACACTTAGTTATCAATGATATTTCAGAATTATTAACATTAATTAATTGTTTGAACGTTACACTGTGTGGTCAGGTTTAAGTATCCGAGTATCCCTGTCCAAATGTAGCCAGTTTATCAAACCTGTACTAGACCCAGCCTCTTCTCCAGCGTCTCCTTGTTGCCCACAGTGCTGTTAAGTGAAGCCAGCCTCTCCTGGACCAGACTGAGCCAGGTCCATGTGGCCTGCAGTGTGTCCTCAAAGGCCTGCTGCTCCTGGAGGGTGAGCTGACAGGAGCGGAGCAGGTCCTTCCCCCTCCGGAGCAGAGCCTGGTGCTGGGACTGGAGCTGAGCCGCCACCCGGGTCTCACTGCCGTCCCCTCGGCCTCCTTCGTTCAGCGCCTGGGCCTCCTGACACAGACGCTCAAACGAGTCCCTGAGATTCCAACACACAGAGAAACCTTTTAAAACAGAGAATGCACTTTCATCTCTAATAGAAATAAAGAGATTGTAGAGAGCTCTTCTGGTTTATAGAGTGGTTACGACCCACTTAGTGATGAGTGGTTCTCAACATGTTCATTAAAAGTACCACCGTCTGAGTAAAAGCACATCTAAACCAGGTCTAAAACACAATTATGAGTCTAAAATAACACATCTACTACTAATGTCTGGTAAATGCACTTGGACTGAAAACACCTGCTGCTATTGTACATAATTATATCCTGCACAGACTTCATCTAACATTTAGCATGTTTCACACTTCTGTGCTAAATGTGACCTGTACATTTCTCCATCAGAGATTAATAAACTCTATCTTATCTTATCTTATGAACAAATATGGCAAAACAAGAGGACATGTGCCATTGTCTGGGAGAATACACTGCTGTAAGGGAATTTTATTAAAACAAAGAAAAAACAGTCCATTCATTTTAGAAGTCAACAATTACGACACAAACAATACAAATGACACGCAATTATTTCACAATTATTTCACAAAAAGACTTTATTTTCAATCCAAGAGCAGAGAGTACCTTTCTTTTAGCACCTCCTGCTGATACTCCTCCACTTGTTCAAGCACCACTTTCTCAGGACTTCGCTGCTTGGTGTCGATAAAATCTGTGGCCATCCTCTTCTCCATGAGCTCCAGCCACAGCCTCAGCTTCTTCAGACGACCCTCAAACCTTCAAAGAAACAACAGTGAAAAACACATCATATGAAACTGTAAAGTGTGTAATTATGACCCACCCCTTCATCAGAGCGGCCGTGTCGTCCAGGATCTGCTGGTTCTGTCTGCACTGGTCCACAAAGCCGTCCCAGTCCTGCTGGATGGAGGACAGGTGCTGCTGGACCTGACCTGCACTGGCTTTGGGCAGATGGAGGAGCAGCTTCTCTCCCTCTTCACAGACATCAGTCAGACGCACCTCACCCTCCTCCACACGCTCCATGGCCCCCTGTGAGAGAGAGAGAAGGACTATGAGCAGGTACCATATGTCAGCACTATAACTACTCATGAGTTATAGTACTAATAGTTACAATGCCCTCCTCCACACGCTCCATGGCCCCCTGTGTGAAGAGGAAATGAAAATGTACAATATGTGGGTGCTAAAGTCATATATTCTACTAAAAAGTCTTATTTGTGATTAAGAGTAAACCTTTAGGCGACAAAGAATTTAAACATGAGCTCCTGAATAAAGCTCACAAACATTTTCATTCATATTTGTTTTTCTTAATTGGCGGCACTGTGGATAGTGGATAGCACTCTTGCCTCTCAGCAAGAAGGTTCTGGGTTCGAATCCCGGTCGGACCAGGGCCTTTCTGAGTGGAGTTTGCATGTTCTCCCCGTGTCTGCGTAGGTTTCCTCCGGGTACTCCGGTTTCCCCTACCACTAAAAATATGTCCAATAGGTCTGGCATGCGCCTCCTGTACTGGCCCCGCTCCCATCTCTGTGTGGAGTGAGAGACAAATGCCCAAAATTTACATTTGTAAACCGCTTTGAGACTCAGATCTGCAGTGAAAAGGCGGTATATAAATAAAGATTACTACTACTCCTACTACTTAATTTACAAAATGTGGCACTAGACAGATTACACAGATTTCAAGACAACAAAATTGTTGCAAAATCTTGTCAAAATGTTGTTTACAATTTACATGAACCCAAGACTGATGTGGTTAAGTCTCCTCTTCCACGTGTTCATGATTAATAAACATGTATCTGAAGTACTTAGTGGAGTTTGGAAGCTTTACCTTTATCTTCTGCAGTTTTCGATCCACAATGTAAGTGTCTCCAGATCTGTCAGAACACTCTTTTACTATCTCCCTCTGCTCCGAAAGCCAGCGGTGAAACTCCTGAGCCATATCTGCAAAGCACAGATTCACTGGTCAGTATATCGCTCTGTAGTATCTGTAGTGAACTCTATCTTTAGCATCTACTCCACCATTGAACTGGTGCTGGAGGCAGCTTTGCAGAGACATCAGGGTGCGAGCAGAGAGCTGGTTCACAGATTCATAGGTTTTGATGAGGTCGGTGAGAGCTGAACCCAGACTGGCCAACTCCTCAGACGGGTATTTTCGACACAGAGTGTTCAGGCTCTCTCTGGTGGCATCGATACTTCCCTGTTGGTTTTGAAGTTCCTTTTGAATCTCCTGTACAACAACAGAATGCTCAGTTTACTCTTAGACCAACAAAGAAGACACACATGACTCACTTGTGGCAGCTACAGCTACTACAATTTTTTTCCACGAGCTGTTATCAGTTTGAATAGAGCACTTTAATGTTTTTGCACTTGTACAGATCTGTTTTAGTTGGTCAACTTCACAGTGACATTTGTTTGCTGTTTTTAAATGTTGTTTTATGTCTGTACTTGTCCTGTGCACACTGGGAACTTTTACTAATGTATTCCAATGTAGTGTTACTGCAAATGGCGAATAAATTAATCTGAAATTAATCTGAATCTGAATTTATAAAGAATAGTCACAATCGCAGATCGAGTCCATTCAATATTAGTTTTATTCAAATGTGTGCATTCAATTTTTTTTCTTGTTGAAGAAAAAAGGCTTTCGGCAGAGGACGCTCCAAGACTTTATTCACTTCTTAAATCCCTGAGAGCATTAGTGAGTCTGACCAATGACTGTTTGATTCTATTATTGGCAAATCAAACATTTTGTGAAGTTCGAGAGACGACTGTTGTTGTGATTTTTCTTTTGTCTGACCAAGTCCATGTGTCCGTGAAATTCACAGTAGTTTATGTTAGGGTGACCCTAAAGTAAATTATATTGATTTTATAAAAAGAACAGAAGTTAATATCAAAATGACATGTGGAGTATATTTGAGAGAATATATTCTGCCTGATTTTGGTAATTACCTTGACTCTGCAGATGTCCTCTGGGTCAGATCCAGTCGGTGAGGAAACCAAAGCCTCCTCCATACTCGTGAGCCACGCTGACATCTGTGAGATATAATCCTCCAGCTGTTTTCTTTGTGAACTGAAGTCTATTAGATTTCCTTTGGCTTGTTCAAAGAGCTTCTGAACTGCAGCAATCTTCTTCTGCAGGTCATTCTCTAAAGTCTACAGATGCAGGTGGATCAGAAACGTTATCTCTTTAAAATGACACATAATTATAATGAATTCTAAAACGATCGTACCTGAATCCTTGCAGGGGTTTCTTGGCTTTGAATACTTTTCTTTAACTCTGAAATCTTGCTTTGAAAAGTTGCAAGTTTCTCCTCCTTTTCGGTTATTTCAATCTGGAAGAAAACAGTTGTACATGAACACGTCTGAGGTAAAAGTCCTCAGTTTTAAATCAGTAAATGCAGTGGGATAAACGGCACCTGGAGAGCGGAGAGTCTGGCTGAAAACCTGTGACTGTCGTTGAGGTTGCTGAGACTTTGGTTCAGTTCGGAGACACAGTGGTTGGTCCAGTTCTCAATGTCTTCACTGATTCTGCGAACATCCTCCCACACCATCAAGCTCTGGTTTAGATGCTCAACGTTGTCGTCTATCTTTTCTGACACCTACAAATTCACAAATGCATCCATGAATGAATCTGTATTAGTGTTACGGCGAGTCCAAACCTCAAAAGGCTATTTACATCCAGCCAGTGATCCACGATGGTCTCTGCCTCTTTCTTCATCCCTTGAGTCTCACAGTCTGGGATCCTCTTCAGATCGACAATAATTAGCTTTCCTTTGTTGGAAAACTGGTCGAGTTCGTGTTGCTTGCTCGCCATATCCACTTTGACTGTCTCATGCTAAAACAAAGAGAGTTCAATTTAACAAATATGATTCAAATGATTTAAAACCAATAGTGAAAATACCTTAGAAAGCATTTTTTTGCTTTCTTCGTAGTCTTTTAAAACCGGGTAAATATCAACCACGGACTCTGCTCCTTCAATAATGCCACTGATAGAAGTTTTTAAGGCTTGGTATTCTCTCATAAGCTCAACAAGGACATTGCACTGTTCTTGTCTGGGAGAAAAAACATGTTAGTCGACAAAAACACAATCTAATAGCCTACATTTCTATATAAAGAGCCTCCAACAGTGCCGATATGTAGTTGTGCCTTTTGTTTGTTTGTCTGTTTGTTGTTTGTTTATTCCATTACCTTTCTGTGATGAGTTTCTTGGTGTCGTCCCATGTCGTCTCCAAGAGGGAGATCTCGCGGAGGACCTCGCCCCCAAGTTCTGCGTCCCTCTGGGCCAACTGGTTTCCTTTATCCCGTAACCACTGCTCCTCATGCTGGTGAGACTGCAGCTCATCCTCCAGCTGATTGAAGAACCGCAACCTTCAAATGCATTATAAGAACATGAAAACGGCGGCCGTGCATACTAAGACTAGGTTATGTCAGTTTAGTGCACAATAAAGAACATAAGCCTTATAACTTTGCCGTACCTTTGCTGCACTGCATGTAATGTAGGCTCTTTGAAACTCTGCTGATCGGCTTTCTCTTCAATATCCTCCACCCTTTTGAGGAGCTGCTCTTTTCTCTGTCTGAAAGAAGTCCACAAAGCCCCAAGTGCCTCTGCCTCATTTTGTTTGGACCCAAGCATATTCCTCACAGTGTCTAACTCTGCACTGAGCGCGTCTGCCAACATCCTACAGGACTTACGAGTCCCCTTCTCTGCACTGATGTGTAAATGGCTTTTGCAAAGGCTGCTATCTAAGTTGACAGCTAAAGTTTCCAGTTGGTTTATGTCTGGGACGATCGTGGCCAGTTCTTGTTGAAGCTCCTCCACTCTTCCTCGGTCCCAGCTGCCAGCGTTTTCCACCGTCTGTCGGAGTCCGTGCAAAACTCCCGCAGCAACACTGTGGGTTTGTAAGAAAGCTTCCAGTCGATCTATGCATTCAACTTGGAGGTCGGCGAGCTGCGTAGCTTCTGTATAAGGCTGGAGACAACTCTCGGCTCGAGTTTGGAGAACCTCTGTATCCCCAGGCTCACAGAACTGACAAAGTTTTCCGGCCTGTTGCTCCAAGCTCTGTCTCACTGCAGACTGCTTCTCCAAGGCAGCTTGTGTCTCCTAAAAAGACAGAGAGGAGTGATTGTGGTAAATTATCACATACTTTTAACACCACTTTCTCTGCCTGTTGTTCTATTGTATTCACATGTTTGCAGTAAGCAGCCGCTGCAGCTTTGTGTACAGGGACCATGGCAACGCCTGCCTGTGCTTAGCTGATTAGCATTTGTGAGAACCTTAAAGTTAGCATAGCAGCCGGAGCTAGAAGACTGACAGCAGATCTTTAGCTAGATCTTTGTCAAAAGAACAAAGTCTCTATTTGTAATTGCTGAAATACTCTCACCTTCACGACTGAAGCAGCAGCGTGGAGGTTGTTGATATTGACTTGAGAAGAGGAGTGAAGATTCGAGAGCATGGAGTCACTCCATTGTGAGAATTTGAGTAAAGCCTGATCGAACTGATCCACCAGCGACAAGTGACTGTGGAGGTCCTTTATTCTGCAAATGATACAACAAAATACTGATAAAGCAACCACTTTATATACAACTGCTTCTTCTTTGATTCCCATAAATGTGCATCTTTACCTCTGAGGTATGACCGCCTTTTGAGTTTCCAATCGTTTTTGTAGAGTGTTGTGTTCTTCTTTTAGCTGAGTCACTTTTTCCTCCGGAGCAAAGGGACAAAGTAAAGTTCCCAAAGACACGAGGTCCAGATAAGAATGTTCCAGAGAGAGGAGTTCAGACTGCAACGACTGCAGAGAAACACCAATATATTACATATCGATATATAATATATAATTAAAACAAAGGAACAAGGAGTCAAACAAACATGAGAAGAACGACTGGGTAAGCAAAAGAAAAGAGGAAAAGTTAAAGAATAATCTCGGTCAGTGTTTTACCTGCAGCTCTTGTAGCTCAGTGTGAAGCTTTGCTTTGTCAGCAGAAAGATACTGACTCTCTGCTTTGGAAGGAGCTTCACATCTGTCCAAGCAGGACATGAAGACAGACCGCTGCTTCTCGTATCTGAGAAATATTAACCAGAGGAGAACATTTAGATTTGTTGTATTGTCGTAGATGATGCTTTTTTTACCTTTGCCAGTGAGACAGGAGACCCTCCAGTGCGTTCTGTTTGTCCTTTGCTTCTTGTAAATGCTGCTCAAACTGACTGTTCACACGGACTGCAGTCTTCTCTGCTTCTGCTCTGTCGCTGAGTCTTCGAGCTCCAGCCGTCAGGGCCAGAAGAGGACCTCGAAGTCTCTCCAGGTTCTGACAAACATCCTGAAAGATGTAACATGTAAATGTAATACCTACACTTTTAGAACTTCAATGTCTCGGTAAGTAATGCACAGAAACCTACCATATGACTTTGAAGAGTTTGATAAGTGTCGGATGAAGAAGTACAGGATTTAATGGGATCCTTTAGTGTTGTATGAAAATCACCAAGAGAAGTTTGGACCTAGAATGTGACGAGAAAGGAGTTTTCAATTGCAGAGTTTGCAAATGTAGTTATTATAGTATATAGAGATTTCAAAACCTACTTCCTCCAGTCCTACGGTGAATTTCTGTTTCTGTGAAGAGCTCTCCTCCAGCTGAGCCTCAAGCTGCTGCACACTCTCCTTCAGCTCCTCCCAGTTCCGTCGCACCTGAGTGAGTCGAGCTCTGACCCGAGCAGCCTCCCCCGAGGACACAAACTGCCCCAGGGCCTGAGCCTCTGCCTCCAGCTGGGACAGGACCTCAGAGTGGTCCTGCACCTCCGCACTCACAGCCTGGAGGAGGAATCACAGGTTAAATACATGCACAGTCAATACAGTGGGGTTTGAAAGTGTAGACGCCCAGGCAGAGATTATGAACGATATCAGAATTACTCTGGTCGTCTGAATGACGGCAGAATCCACTCTGACCCTGATTAGAAGTTTCCATTGCCCAGTTGCCTAAAAGTTTTGTGGTAGTTGTAAATATTTAGACTTTCAAGCAATCCAATCCATCCATCCATTTTCTACCCTTTAATCCACAGTCCACAGGAGGACGGCTGCTCTCTGACTGTGAGCATAGCCTTGATCTTTCAGTGGGGGCTTTGGGCAAAGTGGGGTTAAGTGTCTTGCCCAAGGACACAACGGCAGCAGTCATCAGTGGGAGTCAGTGGAGAAGGTGCAGAGGTGGGAATTGAACCTACAACCTTCTGGCCTTAAGGCCAATGCTCTACCAACTGAGCTACTGTCGCTACTGTGTAATCCAATCCACTTTATTTATATAGCACATTTTATATCTATATATATACATTTTATCTTTTATCTTTTTATTTTGTTTTATATAATGTGTTTTTTGTATGTCTTCTTGTACAGACCTTTTACTCTTGTGTCCGAAATAAAGTGTTGAATTGAATTGAAAATTATAATGAGTAAACAAGAGTATTTTTTCTGTGTTATTGTGTCAGGGTCATTTTGAGTCGAGGTTAAGCACAACTGTGTCTATCCATGTAAGAAAGTGTTTACCTTCACTGTCTTCATTTGTTCCTCCAGAGGTCGAGAGGACGTTTTGACCAATTCTAACTGTTTTTCATTTGCAGAAATCCACAGTGAAAATCCTTCATATCCAGCGATAAACTTCTGCCATTGATGCTTCATGTCTTCCAAAGTCTTAACACTGAAAACACAAACAAAGTGTCTTAAAAATGTCCAGAACTAGAAAAGGAAACATAGGACAATGTAGTAAGAAGGAAATATTCATGCAAAGGTTTAGGGCGGGAGGAGGCCCCGCGGAAGACCTAGGACACGCTGGAGAGACTATGTCTCTCAGCTGGCCTGGGAACGCCTTGGGGTCCCCCCGGACGAGCTGGAGGAAGTGTGTGTGGATAGGGAAGTCTGGGCGTCTCTGCTTAGACTGCTGCCCCCGCGACCCGGCAACGGATGAAGCGGAAGAAAATGGATGAATGGATGGAGGTTTAGGGCGAACATAAAAACGTACTCTTTCTTGAGTCCAGACTCGATGGCGTCCACTTCCTCGCGCAGAGACCGAGCTTGTTGAGTCAGAAGGTTTTTATTCTTTGGGCCGAGTTGAATTTCTGTGGCTCTTTTTGCTAAAGTGTTCATATGAAGAACTTCTGCTTCACATTGTTTCAGTAAAACCTGTTTAGATGAAAAGATGAAGCACACATTAAAAGCAGGTCTAAATAAGAAGAGCAGAATAAGCACAGACTTTGGCCTGGTCCAGCTCCACGGCGAGACACTCGGGGCTGCTGAAGCTCAGGTCTCGCTCCATCGAGGATCGAGCTTTGGCGACAAACTCCAGCGCTGCCTGCTCTTGACTCTCGAACTCCTGCCAAGCGGCCAGCGTTACCTGCCGACAGTTATGATGGCATTGTTTTCATCTATATTATTCATTTTTCATAATATGTTATTATATGTGTTGAACGCTGCAAAATGGTGGCAATAAATATATAATTTATTGCAAATGTGAGAATAAATATTTGGGATTGATGGAAATTCATCACATTATTATTGTTTCCATGATTTGTTTTGATAAATCCTGGATTGAAATTAGTGGTAAAGTGGTCCCTACATTCATACGGCTTATTACTCTTGGACTCAGAGGTCTCCTTTAATCAGGAGACATGAACATACTGAGAGTCCACATCATAAATGTGGAAACTCCTGTGAGCAAGAGAACATGCAGAGCTTCGTCTGATCAAAAATGTATTTCAACATCATTTAAAAGACAAAAACGCAGACACTTTCCCCGTCCTACTTGATTTTAATGTTTTCTTTCTGTGCAAAGATAGTGACAATGAATGATTACCAAAACGTGAAGATAGCAAGAAAAGGAAGGTTTCTAAAGAAGAAGAACAAATGGACTAATAATTGCAAGATCTTCATCAAGATAAACGGGCCGCCAGATAACTATGTTCACGCACAAAGTAAATAATCTAATCAACCACAGAAAATAAAGCAGTTTTATAAAAGTTGATGAAGATAAATAAGCTTTAGTCCTGACCTCCAGGCTCTGATCCTGTGAGTCCACGTTGTGTTCCATTTTGCTGAGTGTGTTTTCCAGACCCTGCAGGTCCTGCTGCAGACTGTCCCCCACGCCCTCCTCGGCCTGGAGCTGCTGCCCTCGGGTCATCAGCTGCTGCACGTCCCGCCGCTTCAGCTTCAGGCGCTTCAGGAGTTGCTTTCATCGAGGAAAAATACAGGACGTAGACTTTTAGAACTAGTCACATAATTAAGATTTAAGATTTTTGAAACTTAAAGTGGCAATTTATAAGATTTTCATGTCCAGTCATCATTAAAGGGCCCTAATCTGTCATCATTAAAGGGCCCTAATCTGTCATCATTAAAGGGCCCTAATCTGTCATCATTAAAGGGCCCTAATCTGTCATCATTAAAGGGCTCTAATCTGTCATCATTAAAGGGCCCTAATCTGTCATCATTAAAGGGCCCTAATCTGTCATCATTAAAGGGCCCTAATCTGTCATCATTAAAGGGCCCTAATCTGTCATCATTAAAGGGCCCTAATCTGTCATCATTAAAGGGCCCTAATCTGTCATCATTAAAGGGCCCTAATCTGTCATCATTAAAGGGCCCTAATCTGTCATCATTAAAGGGCCCTAATCTGTCATCATTAAAGGGCCCTAATCTGTCATCATTAAAGGGCCCTAATCTGTCATCATTAAAGGGCCCTAATCTGTCATCATTAAAGGGCCCTAATCTGTCATCATTAAAGGGCCCTAATCTGTCATCATTAAAGGGCCCTAATCTGTCATCATAAAAGGGCCCTAATCTGTCATCATTAAAGGGCCCTAATCTGTCATCATTAAAGGGCCCTAATCTGTCATCATTAAAGGGCCCTAATCTGTCATCATTAAAGGGCCAAATCTGTCATCATTAAAGGGCCCTAATCTGTCATCATTAAAGGGCCCTAATCTGTCATCATTAAAGGGCCCTAATCTGTCGTCATTAAAGGGTCCTAATCTGTCATCATTAAAGGGCCCTAATCTTTCATCATTAAAGGGCTCTAATCCGTCATCATTAAAGGGCCCTAATCTGTCATCATTAAAGGGCCCTAATCTGTCGTCATTAAAGGGCCCTAATCTGTCATCATTAAAGGGCTCTAATCCGTCATCATTAAAGGGCCCTAATCTGTCATCATTAAAGGGCCCTAATCTGTCATAATAATAAACTGCTCTTTTCCAATCCTTCTTTAACTGATAACAGTAGTTCAGAGATATTTGAATTTCTAAATTACTTTTCCAGCCTCTAAATCTTGTTATTGTTTTCATTTTGATGTCCCGCCCTCCACCGTTTCACCAATCAGAAAGTCTGTGATCCGGGCGCCAGAACTCACCGCGTGGAGCTAATCTCACTGGTAAAGTACCATGTGGCACAGAACTAAAAAAGGTCTCGTTATGATTCTCAAATCATTAACGACAAAACAAGGAATAAAACCAGGATTTCTATCTTTGTGAAAAAGGTGTTGGTTATAGATTTGTTGTTGACAAAACTCTTGTCTATTCAGCTGTTATGGTCCCAGCTGGATTCGTCTGCATATCTGGCAACCTGAGTCAGGGAGAGTGGGAGAGGCTGCAGTACCACTTTTGGCCACATGTTTACACACTGCTCCTTTAACTCTGTAAATTCAAAGCCTAATGACACAGTTACTACAGTGCGGGACTTAAAAACACATAAACTTAATGCTTTGTACCTGATAAACGAGCAGCAGTTGTTGTGCGTCTCTGACGTTCGGTGAGTCCAGGATTTTGGTGACTTCAGTTTGAGATTCTTTCTGTCCTTGCACCAAGTCCTCCAGTGTCGTCTGCACTTCCTCCCTGAACTGAACACAGTCTCCTACCGCCAATATCATCTTATCAGCCTGCAACCACAGTGAAGAGAGACGCACACAGTCAACGACCATGTCTTGGCTTTGTGCTTGTCATACAAAAATAAAACTGGGAAAACATTTTTGGTAAGTGTTGGTCTGGATTTCACCCTAATCTGGCTGGTTTCTTGCTGACCCGCCCTGACCAATCCAGTGGAACCTCACAGCTAGCATAAAGAGAGCTGGGATGGACCAGTTTGGGTTCTTGGTCTGTGTCAACTCTCTATGCAACATGTAGCAGGCTAATGCTAGGCAAGGCAAGGCAAGTTTATTTGTATAGCACAATTCATACACAAGGCAATTCAAAGTGCTGAACAAAACAAGAAAGCATTAAAATCATAAATAATTACAGTACATTAAAAAAAAGATAAAAATATAAAATCCCTCAGTTGTAGCACAGCTAAACAGAACTGTCTTTAACCTGGTTTTAAACATTGTCAGAGAGGAGGCCTGTCTCACATCTTCAGGAAGACTGTTCCCGATTTTAGCAGCATGAATCTGAAAAGCAGCCTCCCCATGTTTAGTTCTGACTCTGGGCACTAACAGGAGTCCAGTCCCTGTGCTCCTCAGAGTCCCAGCAGGAGTCCAGCCCCTGTGCTCCTCAGAGTCCCAGCAGGAGTCCAGTCCCTGTGCTCCTCAGAGTCCCAGCAGGAGTCCAGTCCCTGTGCTCCTCAGAGTCCCAGCAGGAGTCCAGTCCCTGTGCTCCTCAGAGTCCCAGCAGGAGTCCAGTCCCTGTGCTCCTCAGAGTCCCAGCAGGAGGCCAGTCCCTGTGCTCCTCAGAGTCCCAGCAGGAGTCCAGTCCCTGTGCTCCTCAGAGTCCCAGCAGGAGTCCAGTCCCTGTGCTCCTCAGAGTCCCAGCAGGAGTCCAGTCCCTGTGCTCCTCAGAGTCCCAGCAGGAGGCCAGTCCCTGTGCTCCTCAGAGTCCCAGCAGGAGTCCAGTCCCTGTGCTCCTCAGAGTCCCAGCAGGAGTCCAGTCCCTGTGCTCCTCAGAGTCCGGGCTGGTTCATTTGGGACTAACATGTCACTAATATATTTTGGTGCGAGGCCATGGAGAGACTTGTAACAAGCAGAGCTGTTTTAAAGTCTATTCTCTGAGCCACAGGAAGCCAGTGCAGAGACCTGAGGACTGGACTAATATGGTCGTACTTCCTGGTTCTAGTCAGGACTAATATGGTCGTACTTCCTGGTTCTAGTCAGGACTAATATGGTCGTACTTCCTGGTTCTAGTCAGGACTAATGTGGTCGTACTTCCTGGTTCTAGTCAGGACTAATATGGTCGTACTTCCTGGTTCTAGTCAGGACTAATGTGGTCGTACTTCCTGGTTCTAGTCAGGACTAATGTGGTCGTACTTCCTGGTTCTAGTCAGGACTAATATGGTCGTACTTCCTGGTTCTAGTCAGGACTGGAGCTGCTGCATTTTGAATGTACTGCAGCTGTTTTACAGCCTGTTTGGACAGACCTGTGAGCAGGCCATTGCAGTAGTCTAACCTACTGGAGACAAATGCATGGATAAGAATCTCCAGGTCTGCTTTAGACACTATGTTTTTGATCCTGGCAATGTTTTTTAGATGGTAAAAAGCTGCTGATGTTACTGATTTGATGTGGCTATTAAAATTTAAGTCTGAGTCCAGTATTACCCCTAGATTTCTGACCTTGTTTGAAGGTTTTAGGGAGAGAGACTGTAGGTGACAGATGACGCTCTCTCTTTGTTTCTGGGGACCAAAGACAATCATTTCAGTTTTGTCTGCGTTTAGCTGAAGGAAGTTGTTTTGCATCCACTCACTGATCTGTTGGATACAGTGAAGGAGTGAGTCCACTGGTCCATGTTCTCCTGCAGTCAGTGAGACATAGATCTGAGTGTCGTCTGCATAGTTGTGATAGGACACTTTGTTTCTGCGTATTAACTGACCTAACGGCAGCATGTAGAGATTGAACAGAAGAGGTCCCAGGATCGACCCTTGTGGGACTCCACAGGTCAGGGCCATATGATCTGAGACACAGTTTCCAATCTCCACAAAGTACTTCCTGTCTTCAAGGTAAGACCTAAACCAACTTAGGGCGGTGCCAGCGGCGCCAACCCAGTCCTCTAGTCTCTGTAAGAGGATCTCATGGTCGACAGTGTCAACCATGCTAAGTCCCAGAGCCTCAGGGTTTTGATGATTTCACTGAGTTTCAAGACCCACAGAATATTGTGTGCTGTGACTATGTAAAATATGAAACCAGATTCTAAAAGATTGGACCGTCTACTTTCATCAGCAAAAATATGTTGGTCTCTAGCTAGTTTTGTTCTGCTGTAATCTTCAGTCAAATAGAGAGAAGTTTGACAGAAATCACCAGTCTCAGCCAAACACGTCAATGGCAGCCAATGAGTTAAATGTCCTCTTTTATATCTATGGGTTTGGACCTAGTCTGTACAGCAACAGTTACATTTCATGATTTCAGTAAGTGTCGGTCAAAAACCAACAGAAAATTAAACAAATACATTTCAAGTCAAACCTCTATCAGTGAGACCAGGAGGCTCTTGAAGTCAGTGGAGAGTTTGCTGAGAGCACTGGCTTGCCTCTGCCCGTCAGCGTCAGCGCAGACCTCTAAGAGAACGGCCATGCGAGCTTTGAGCCAGCTCAGATTGCTCTCCTGTAGCTCAGCATCACTCCTCAGCTCCTGAAACAACATGTGACATCAGCACCGCCCTCTGGCATCGCACAGACAGAGGGACAGGGGACATGGATCTGTTTGAACTATTCTTAAAGTAAATCATTTCAAACAGCATCTGACATACAGCTGATATTACCACATAACGTCTCCCAATAGTAGAAAAGGGTTGTACCATGGATCTATAATAATAACTGGATAGGGTATTACTAGCTTATAGCTGTCCAACCCATGGGCACAGGGGGCGCTGTGGTACTGCAGACTAAACCAGACTAAATTCAGGAGGGCTACCCAGAAAAAAGTCCCATAGAACTCAATGTAAACTGACAGAGAACCTGACAGAGAACCTACAGCTTTCATAAAGATCAGATTTTCAGAATCAGAATCAGAATCATTTTTATTGCCACGTAAGTAACAGGAGGTCACAGACTTGGAAATTGCTTTGGCTCAGTGCAACAGTCAAAAAGAGATAATAAAAATAAGAATAAAAAACGCTTCTAAAGAATAAAGAAGATGAAGATGGGTATTTTAGTGTTCCTTGTCATCCTGAACTTTTTTTCCTCTTAAGTCCTTCGGTTTTCTTTAAATCCCGCTCTGACTCCGCTCTGCTGCTGCTCTGATCAGCTCTGATTGGTCAAAGCGCGGCCGAGCCCCTCTGTGCATGAGAGCCACACACGCGTATTTGGAGCAAAGCATCATGGGAGCTCGTCCACTGTGCAGAACCGGGAGGACCAGACGCTGCCCAAATACAGGCGAGTTCTGTTAATCTTTCGGTCTCCGTGAAGTCCCATGAACCACTGAGCACAAGTCAATCATTTGAATAGGCTGCCATCTTGGATCACCGGGGCTTGGGTTGTACATATATCTGGATTAATAAATAACTCACCATGATGGAAGCTTTGACCTGGCTGTACTTCCTGGGGTCGTTGGCTCTGGTTCTCAAGAGCCTCAGTTGACTTTCCTTTGATATAAGCCAACAAGACAGCTCTGCGTACCTGCAAGAAGAGCATTTGCTTTGTTCAGTTCAATGCGGATTCGTTTTGAACCCAATGTGTTACTTCTACAACAGACCGTTCATTGTAGTCCTTCCATTTGTCCTGATGCTGCAGCAGTTTCAGATACGTGCTGTCGATCTCCTCTCGGACCTCGGCAAAGTCTTTTCTGGCCGTCTCCATGATGGAATGAACTGAGTCGTCCTCTGGGAGCTTCAGACAGAGGTCTTCCATCACCTGCAGCCTCTTCTCACAGATGGACAGAGGACCCTTATCTCTGAAGAAAGCCTGTGCACAAATCAGAAGAGTGTTCCATGTTCCACCTTGTTCCCTCATTAAAGACACACCTGGAGTTGTTATAGATCCATCCTCTCTAATGTCACCTCTGGTATGAACTTCTAACTCTGCCCTTTCTGTCTCAAAGCTCCTGCCTCAGTCCTGTGATAGTCTCATTAGAAAGGCTGCGGTGGGTCTGGATTCAGTGGAGGAGGTGGTGGAGCAAAGAACGTCCAATCAGAGCCATTTCCTTAACCCTCCCGCCAGAGAAGCACCTTCTTTAACTATTTGTGTATGTTTGTATGATTGCGAGTATAGGGACCAATGCACAATTTCCTTTTGGATCAATAAAGTACATATCTATCATTGTACCATGTGACATCACCCTCAGAGCAGTCTTCATTTTTGCCTACATTTGTTTTGGCTATTTCTCAATTTAAATGAAGTTATTTGTCAGGGTTTTCCACTGATTTTCTATTAAAATAAACTAGATAAAATGTCTCATATGAAAGAACATATTGTTGGTAATAGTAAGAATAAGAAGGCCTCACCCTGTGCTCCTTGATGAGCCGCTCACTGCCCACATTGGCCAAATGTCGGTTCTGTCGGGTCACCTCCGTCTGACAGTCCTGAAGACACGCCGACAGCTTCGCCCTCTCTGCTTCCACTTTGAGACGCAGCAGGTGAAAAGGAGAATCTGTCTGAATATCCTGGAAGATAAAAAAACACAGACTTTATAGTTGACGTGTGAAACATTATAAGTCTTTTCCTTCGGGGCTCACCTTCCAGCGCTTGTGCAGTTTTCTCACTGTGTCCTGTAGACTCTGCTGCTCCTGCTCTGGAAGAATGTCCGTCAGATCGTCACAGGCTTTGAGGAACGAGTTTAAGATGCGTTGGTCCATTTGGGCAAAGAACTCCTGTAGAACCATCACAGATCTGTTAATTCAATAGCTAACAAAGGGTATTCCAAACAACACATGTCTGTCATCACACAACTACAGTATGCTATCGTGAGTAATGGTCTCACAGTGTGTTTTCGAAGCAGCTCCTCACAGTGGCCACGCTCGGTAATGCAGCTTTGAGCCGCTTTAAGGACTTTCTCCAACTCGATCCTGGACTCTTCAAACCTCTTCATCAGACTGCTGTTGGCCTCCATGTGTCTCCTCCACTCATTGGACTCATTTATCATAGTCTAAATATGCAGAAAAACAGAAACATAGTTTTACAGAGAGGACTACCATATGTTGCTCAAAGACATGTTTAAAAGATAATAACGAACACATGTGCTGCAAAATAACAATAATAGTCACGGGCTTGAACGCAAATAAAATATAGATAACCTTTATTTGTCCCCCAGGGAGGAAATGTCAGTGTTGTATTGTATATTGCAGTAGAAATAAAGAGCACACACACACACACACACACACACACAGACACACACACGCACATACACACACACACACACACAGACACACACACACACACACGCACATACACACACACACACATACACACACACACAAAGGAGAAAAACAGGCTTCCAACTTGCTTACTTAAACCTAAAATGACCTGCTCTTGTCTCATTGTGTTATAATTCACAGTTGTGTCCTGAGTATTTGAGATTAGCTGTGGCTCTTCACCTGAGACGCAGACTGCAGATCGACCACTCTCTTCTGCAGCAGCCCCATGTCCATGTACTGCAGAGTTTTACTGGTGTTCATGATCTTCTGGATGCTTTGGTGATTCTTCTCGATCACTGTCAGACACTTCTTGCAGCTGTGTGTGAAGGTCGCAAGCTCCTGCAGCAAATACAGAAGAACGGCTTTTGTACTTTTGTCTCAATTAAATATCTGCAACCACGGACAGCTCTAAAGTCAAGGAAGCAAATAAGTAACAACTCGGAGCCGTACATTATACAGTTATAATGCACCATACAGTTATAATGCACCATACAGTTATAATGCATTATGTAAGGGATAATGCATAGCCTACAGGTCATTATCGGAAAATAAGTACCTTCAGGGCGGAAGCAGACCCCTCCGCTGCGCGTCGGGGTCCGCTTCGCCCTGTCGGTACTTATTTTCCGATAATGACCTGTAGGCTATGCATTATCCCGCTTATTATACTGCTTTGTACCAACTTAACACACAAAATAAACTTCAGATCACTTTTATGAATGCCAAAAGTTTATTTAATGACAACAAATAAAGTAGTCCCAAAAAGTTTTCCCGTTGCTCGGCAACCGCGGGCAACAGTTAGGCTGGCAACTTCCAAACTAGAACTCTCTGGAACTGCATGAAAACTGAACAAAGAATTCTGAACATCAGCGGTGAGTGACCCATACATAAACCTAACCTAAATCCATAATTCGATCCTCTGCAAATGTGTCCGAAAATGTGCCGGTATCTACTTCCGGGTTTTTCGGGATCGCCTTTTCTCGCATTACATCAGTGTTTTTGTCATGAAAACGTAAACGGAAAATTCTGAAAACTTCCGTGCACTTGTATTAAGACTGGATATGTATAAATTACTCTCCGATTAACATTTCATTGCGTTGATTGATTGGCATTTGCGTTTATTGAGCGGCCAGAACTACTTCCGGGTTTTTCACGATCGCTTTTTGACGCAGAGAAATAGTATTTTTGTCATAAAGACAAGACCAGAAAATTCTGAAAATTTCCGTGCACGTGTGTGAAGAATGTATATGTATAAGTATTCTCCGATTAACATTTAAGTGTGTTTATTGAGCGTGGCTAGCTCAGGAGTGGCCGGAACTACTGTCGGAGTTATCCACGCATTTGAAAGACAAGCAGAGAGTGCGTTGCCAAAGGGCAGCGGTCATTATTGTTTTGAGAGGTCCGTTATAGAAAATAATGACCGGTAGAATGTTTTGAAATTACATTCAAATCAATGGAGCGTTCTCCTGCTGCTGTGAGGAGCTGTATAATAAACAGTTATAATGCATTATACAGTTATAATGCATTATACAGTTATAATGCATTATAACTGTATAATATATTATAACTGTATAATATATTATACAGTTATAATGCATTATAACTGTATAATATATTATAACTGTATAATGCATTATAACTGTATAATATATTATACAGTTATAATGCATTATACAGTTATAATATATTATACAGTTATAATATATTATACAGTTATAATGCATTATACAGTTATAATGCATTATACAGTTATAATATATTATACAGTTATAATGCATTATACAGTTATAATATATTATACAGTTATAATGCATTATACAGTTATAATATATTATACAGTTATAATATATTATACAGTTATAATGCATTATACAGTTATAATATATTATACAGTTATAATATATTATACAGTTATAATGCATTATACAGTTATAATATATTATACAGTTATAATGCATTATACAGTTATAATATATTATACAGTTATAATGCATTATACAGTTATAATATATTATACAGTTATAATATATTATACAGTTATAATGCATTATACAGTTATAATATATTATACAGTTATAATGCATTATACAGTTATAATATATTATACAGTTATAATGCATTATACAGTTATAATATATTATACAGTTATAATATATTATACAGTTATAATGCATTATACAGTTATAATATTAGAGTTATTTGCGGAGGATGCTTACACCATGGTCCTGTGAAGTTAAGTGTGTAAAAAATATTTATTGACTTTACTGAACTGGCCAAATATGTTTAAAGTATAGGGATTATTTATCAAGTCTGAACACATCACTTTTGCCTTAGCAACCGTTGTTAAGAGAAATGGGAACTGCTTTTATTGACACACCACCATTCTTGGTTCTCCTCTTCTTCTCATTCCTCAAAGGTTTTGTTATGTCCAAAAATGTTCAAATTCACCTCAAAATCCATGTTTTCCGGCGTTATTAGTGGCTAAGGCTTGTCACTTGATTGACAGTTTATTTAATCCAGCTGTTACAGTCACTATGACAACAACAGTGCCTGGTGTTCCTGGTTCCTGGTGTAACAGTCTGCCACTGGATGATTTGGCACTATATTTGGCATCATGCCCCCACAAAGGAAAGGGCCAACACCGGAGGAGTTTGAAGAAATAAAGCTCTCTCTTAATTCCTTGTGCGCGGATGTGACCGCGGTCAGGGGGCAGCAGGAGCAGCTCCTGGGACTACTGGAGGAGGTCAAGCGACTACGCCTCCAGAACGCGGAAAAAGACCGGCGGATTGTGGATCTGGAGAGGCGAGTGGACGAGCTGGAGCAATACTCCCGCGTGAATGATGTGGTCATCACGGGCATCAACATCAGGCCGCGCTCCTATGCGCGTGCGGTGACCGCGGACAGCGGGGAGCTCAGCGGCGTGGAGGCACAGACGGTGGAGCAACAGGTGGCTTCCTACCTCCAGAGCAGGGGGATAGAGATGGACCTGGAGCACATCGAGGCATGTCATCCACTACCCACAAGAAGCCAGAGACCACCAGCCGTAATCATCAGATTCACCAACCGAAAAAAGAAAACTGCACTGCTGAAACAAGGACGCAAACTCAAAGGCACAAATGTATTCATAAACGAGCACCTGACAAAGAAGAACGCAGACATGGCAAGAATCGCACGACAATTGAAAAAACAAGGCCGAATTCAACAAACCTGGGTAACAAACTGTAAAATCTTCATTAAATTAAACGGCCCACCAGAAAGCGCAAAAGTCTTGGTGATAAGGAAGATGGAAGACCTAGACCAGTATCAACAATTCTCAAATTAACTTGTGTCATTCTCCATCATCACAATGCCCAAGCCGAGAACACAGACTGCATCAAATATGGACATGGACATGTTACAGTCAACCCTACAATATCAGCAAACGGACCTGGAGACGTGTGAGTACCATGAGCACACCACAACAGAGACAGACAGTGATATAGACCCGGACAATAACTTTCTCTCTTCAATTTCTCACAATTGCACTTATTTCACCCAAGATCAATATGTAAACAATGTAAAATCAGAAAACAAGCTGTCAATCATACATTTTAACAGTCGAAGCATGTACACTAACTTTGAAGCCATAAAAGATTACTTGAAGCAATTTACTCATCCATTTAGTATCATTGCAATAACTGAAACCTGGTTCAATGAGCACAAAGATAATATATTTTTTCTCGATGATTATGAACTAAGATAAACAAATAGAACAAACAAAACAGGAGGTGGTGTTGCCATATACATCCACAAATCAATAACATTTTATGTTGTAAAAAATATGTCAATAGCTGTGGATGGCTTGTTTGAATGTTTAACAGTGGAAATACTAAATGAGAAAAAGACTAATATCTTCATGAGCTGTATATATCGGACACCTGGTTCGAGTATAGACAGCTTTAATGAGTGGATGGGTAAACTGTTTTCTTCTGTCAATCAAAAAAACATATTTATTTGTGGTGACTTTAATATCAATTTGCTTAATCCGACCAAGTTAAAAACTGTTGATGACTTCATTGACACCATGTACAGCCTTTCTCTATATCCAACTATAACAAAACCAAGCAGAATAACATCACACAGTGCCACCATCATTGACAATATCTTTACAAACATAATCGGGAATAAAATCAGCAGTGGACTTTTGGTATGTGACATCACTGACCACTTACCTATATTTACTCTGTACAATTGTAATCTAAAAAAAACTCAGGACAATACAGCAAAAATATTTAAACGTATAATCACTGATGAAACAATCCTCACCCTAAACAACAGTCTGTTGCTCCAGGATTGGACCAAGGTTTACAACGAACCAGATGTGGACAGTGCTTATTGTACCTTTTTAGACATCTTTACTTCATTGCATGATAAGCACTGCCCGGTAAAGGAATATTTCATAAAGGAAAAATGTAAACAAAGCCCTTGGATTACAAAAGGAATACTTAATGCCTGTAAAAAGAAAAACAATCTCTACAGAATGTTTCTCAAAGTTAAAACAGCAGAAGTGGAACAAAGATATAAGAAATACAAAAATAAATTAACGGATATCATAAGAACAAGTAAACGGTTATACTATGAAAACAAACTGTATGAAAATAAAAAACAATATGAAAGGAACTTGGGATACTTTGAATAGCCTAATCAAACAAGGACATTCAAAGTTAACATATCCTGATCATTTTGTTCTTGAAAATGGTGAAGATTATAATATTAGAAATATAGTAAATAAGTTTAATGATTACTTTGCAAATATTGGGTCTAAATTAGCTGCTGATATTCAAGACAATGAAGTTACAGAATCCCCTATTAAACAAAATTCTTGGTCGTTCTTCCTCTCAGCAACAAATGAGCAGGAAGTAACACAAATCGTACAGACATGTAAAAGTAAGTCGTCCACTGACTGTCATGATATTAATATGACCGTGATTAAAAAAGTTATTCTGAATATTGTTAAACCCCTAACTTACATCTGTAATTTATCATTCCAGACCGGTTTCTTTTCCAAATAAAATGAAAATTGCGAAAGTAATTCCACTGTTCAAAAATGGAAACAAACATGAATTTTCCAATTACAGACCCATCTCTCTATTGCCTCAGTTTTCAAAGATTCTCGAGAAGCTTTTCAATTCACGACTTGAAAAGTTTCTGGAGAAACATCATATAATAAATGAAGGTCAGTATGGTTTCAGATCCAAAAGAACAACATCAATGGCAGTAATTGAAGCAATTGAAGAAATCTCAAATGCATTAGAGCAGAAAAAGTATACAGTTGGGTATTTTTGTTGATCTTCAAAAGGCTTTTGACACCATTAACCACTCAATACTACTAAAAAAGATGGAAAGATACGGAATTAGAGGACTGGCTGGGGAATGGATCAAAAGTTACTTAACAGGGAGGGTACAGTTTGTTAAAATGGGTCAGTATTTTTCAGACACGGTTGGCATTACTTGCGGTGTCCCCCAGGGGTCAGTATTGGGTCCTAAACTGTTTAACATATATATGAATGACATTTTTAATACATCTAAAGTACTAAAACTAATTATATTTGCTGACGACACAACTATTCTATACAGTGGTGATGATTATAATGAGCTTGTAATCTCTGTAAACAAGGAACTACATCAAATAAAAAAGTGGATGGATGCAAATAAATTATCCTTGAATGTAAATAAAACTAAGATGATGATGTTTGGGAATCGCAACCTAACGTCTGAATCGAGAATAAGTATTAATGATATCCAAATTGAAATGGTAAGTGAAATTAAGTTTTTGGGAGTAAAAATTGATAGCAAGTTGTCATGGAAACCCCATGTCAGACACATAAAAACCAAAATTTCCAAAAGCCTCTCAATTATTAACAAAGCAAAACTATACCTAAATGGAAATGCACTCCGTACATTATACTGCAGCCTGGTTCTTCCATACCTGACGTATTGTGTTGAGGTCTGGGGTAACACTTACCACAACACACTACATCCTCATCCATAAGGTTGGTTTTCTGGCACATACTCATAATCTTTTTACTCAGTCAAAGCTGCTAAAGTTTGATGATCTTGTTAAATATAATACATCAATAGTCTTGTATAAAGCATTCAACAAATTATTACCGTCTAACCTGCAGCGTTTCTTTACGACTCCTGAGCGAGCTCATAACTTGAGGGGTTTTGGATATTTTTCACTGCCGAGATCAAAAACCACTCGTAAATGTTTTTGTCTGTCAGTATGTGGAGTAAAACTTTGGAATAAACTGGACTCACAACATAAGCAATGTAAAACTATTCATCGATTTAAACTGTTCTATAAACATAAGGTCTGGTTACAATATAGAGATGAGGGTCTTTAATTTAATCAGATTTTCTCTGTCTCATAGTGTAACATGTGCTCAATGTTCCATTACCTTGTTAGTATATAGAATCTTGCTATTGTTGTTTTTTTCTTTTTTTGTTCATTACCATTGTTGGTATATTTTCTATTACCATTGTTGGTATATTTTCTATTACCATTATTGGTAACTGTTGTTACAATGTAAATGTACTTGTTGCCCAGGATAACGCCACTCTGGTATGATACTGGCTTGAACTGTAACAGTGAAGTTGATCGTTTAATCACTGAAATGGGGATATAGGGGTGGGATTAAATAAGTTTTTTCTTCCTCCCACTCCTTTTCAGGCAGAAATATATGGCCATGTTAAACCATAGTTTTTTGTTTATACATTTTTTGTTTACACTGTTTTTTTGTTTGTTTGTTTTTTATTGTGTTTGTCTGTTTTGTTTTTTGCTTTATATTATTTATATTACTTAATTGCTTTTAATTACCTCGTTTTCTCACTTTTGCCATTGCCTGAAATAAATTAATAAATAAAATAAAATAAAAAATAATAAACAGTGGCGGAGGGATATAGTTAGTAAGTAAGTAATGTTTATTTATATAGCGCATTTTACAGACCCAAAGGCACAGACCCAAAGCACTTTCCAATGTTCAGAGTCAGATATTGTTCCAATCCTTCCACACACAGTGATGACAGAAGCGAGTCTAGAACACACTGGACCATCAAAGCCTCTGACCCAACACCATCATTCACTCTCTCATTACCATCATGGACTTACCGGAACTACGTGTGCGTGTTTACGACAATAATGCACAGGAGTGAACTTTGGAATTCTCACAGACCGTGGTATAAAAATCCTGAAGGACCATTCTTTGCCAGAGGAAAGCCTGAACAAACCTGACATCTCTGCTTGAAGTCCCCTGGGCCCTCGGGGTCGGCGGTGCCGGTGATGTGGCTGGCCTTCTCCAGAGCCTGGTAAAACCCACTGATGTTTTTCTCCATTTCTTCCAGAAGAGGCAGAAGAGACTGGGATTCTTTCAGCAAAGGGAGACATCTTTCCCTCACCTAAATGTAAAAACACAAATGAAAAGACACATTTTTGCACAAAGCATGAATGAACTAAACAGGAGAGAGATGACTGCTGTGATTTAGGGCTAAACAAGAATAAATTGTATTGTTATTATTCTTATTGTATTGTATTAATAATAAAGAAGTATACAAAAAAATCTTAAATTGATTAATTTAACATGGATCTAAAGAACAAAAGTCAGTGAATAGTAATTATGCAAAAACAGATAAAAAACATATATTTGAAAGGTTTGCAATGTAGTGCCTTTTTCTGACAAAACATTTAAATTGTAGCTATATAAATTAAACTTTTTGACACATTTTCAGAACAAAGACATCTGTTTGTGGATCAGAACTCTCATGTTTCTGACCTTGCTCAGTTGCTCCTTGATGGACGCCATCAGAGAGTTCATCCGAGAAACCTCTTCTTGTGGAGTGTCTTTGGTCAGAATCTGAGCAGTGCGACACGCTGCTTTACACGCCGCCTCCATCGCTGGGACTTTATGCTTTATTTCCTACAAAAACAATCCATTTGATAAACTTGTCTTCCACAAACTGTATTTTTCAGATTATAAGTCGCAGTTGTTGTCATAGTTTGGCTGAGGGTGAGATTTACGTGTGAAATTATTGTGTTTTAGATTTCACTGTAAAATATCAAATAATAGCCCGGTCTTTTGAGTTGAGCAATTAAGCTATTAACGTATTCTCAGAAAGAAGATCATGGGTTCGAATCCCAGTCGGAACAGGGGGCCTCTGAGTGGAGTATATATGTTCTACCCGTGTCTGCGTAGGTTTCCTCCGGTTGCTCCGGTTTCTCCCAACCACTAAAAACATGTACAATAGGTATGAATGTAATGAGTGAGTGAATGGTGTTTGGTCGGAGGCTTTGATGGACCAGTGTGTTCAGGTCCCTTCTGTCATCACTGTGAAAAAATATCTGATTTCTGAACATTATAAAGTCAGTATCTTGGTCTGTAAAAATGTGCAATATAAATAAGCATTACTTACTATTGTTATAAGTGTAAGTCTTAAAAGTGTTTTGACCCTTATTGTTGAAGACGTCCACTTATTCAGCCTGTTCTAGTCTAGTCTAGTCTAGTCTAGTCTAGTCTAGTCTATTCTAGTTTTATTTTAAACTGCCTCAAGATTAATGTCTTTTTCTGGTGTTGGATTTTATCAAATTCATTTCCCTAAATCTTGACTTAAAGTCTAGAGCAGGCGTGGGTAAACTTCTCTTTCTGTGGGCCACATTGAGATATCAGTTTGTTATCGGGGGCCGGACCTAAGTTGTAATATTTTTCTCATACATTTACTATATTAAACATAGATTATTGCAGTCTTTATAATAGATACCTAGGAGGGCATAGGGGCCTGATAGACACATCCAAAGGGCCGCATCTGGCCCGCGAGCCGGGGTTTGCCCATCACTGCTCTAGTGCGACTTATATAAATGTTTTTTTCCTTCTTTATTTATTTATGCGGCTGCGACTTGTCCTCTGGAGCAACTTATGATCCAAAAAAATACAGTAATAAACAAATAAGAACAGAAAAACTGCTGTTACTTCAACATCTTGCACAAAAGCTCGGACGTTGAGGAATGAGACTTGAACCGGAGCTGTCATCTTCTCGTCGGTTCCATCCATGAATATTTTGAGAGTGTTGATCCCATCGTGATAGTCCTGCCTCAGCTTATCCACCTCATCTGCTCTTGCATACTACAGTGAAAACAGAACATGTGAGTAAACGGCTGGATCCGGCTGGAGGAGACATGTTTACCTGTTTGACTTTGACAAAGAGCTCTCTCCACCTCCCGTTCAGCAGGAGGAGCTGTTGCTTTAAGTCTCTGGACACCAGCTCATCACAAGTTTCAATCAAGAAGTTTCCAGAGTCATTCATGTCCATGTGTTGCTGAATCCAGTGTGACAAGTTTCTGAAAAAGTCCTGAAGACAAATGCATTTTCTTAACACTGAAAATGGCTTCGTCAGAATTTAAGCTTCTTGTTCTGGTGACTGATAGAACTGCTCCTACAGCTACAGGATTGTTTTCCTCTTCATAGGTAATACATGAGTCACTTTAATGACCTGCAGTAGGACTGAAGAACCCGCACTGCTACAGTCACTTTAATGACCTGCAGTAGGACTGAAGAACCCGCACTGCTACAGTCACTTTAATGACCTGCAGTAGGACTGAAGAACCCGCACTGCTACAGTCACTTTAATGACCTGCAGTAGGACTGAAGAACCCGCACTGCTACAGTCACTTTAATGACCTGCAGTAGGACTGAAGAACCCGCACTGCTACAGTCACTTTAATGACCTGCAGTAGGACTGAAGAACCCGCACTGCTACAGTCACTTTAATGATCTGCAGTAGGACTGAAGAACCCGCACTGCTACAGTCACTTTAATGACCTGCAGTAGGACTGAAGAACCCGCACTGCTACAGTCACTTTAATGACCTGCAGTAGGACTGAAGAACCCGCACTGCTACAGTCACTTTAATGCCCTGCAGTAGGACTGAAGAACCCGCACTGCTACAGTCACTTTAATGACCTGCAGTAGGACTGAAGAACCCGCACTGCTACAGTCACTTTAATGACCTGCAGTAGGACTGAAGAACCCGCACTGCTACAGTCACTTTAATGACCTGCAGTAGGACTGAAGAACCCGCACTGCTACAGTCACTTTAATGACCTGCAGTAGGACTGAAGAACCCGCACTGCTACAGTCACTTTAATGACCTGCAGTAGGACTGAAGAACCCGCACTGCTACAGTCACTTTTTCCTCTTGTACAAATAAATGTTGCACAAAAGAGACTGTATTTCTAACCTTTAGGATGTTGCACACTTCCTGTTTAGAGTGATTCTATCTCTGCTAATGTGACGTGCACATTTCTGCATAGTGAGATCAATATAGTTTATCTTAATGATTTTATCTTAAAGAGTTAGTGTGAAATGACCTCTATATAAGCCCAAGGGAGATATAAAGATAAGCTAAACATAAGTACAGGAGACTGAACTGAACTCATCCAAAGCCCAGATGAGACGTGGGAGATAAACGCTGGTCAGAGTCGTCGCTCAAAGATCCCATGGAAGTCAAATCAAATGAATGATCTTGGCCCCGGGATGATATTTGTTTAGTGTTAGAACTGGCCACACAGAGACATAAGGAAATGTTGGAATATTGAATGTTCAGGAGGTTTTCTCTTTGAAAGAAGTTTGTTTTTGAGTCTGTAGAACAATGTTTTCACTAGAAAAGACTGAATATTGGATAAATAATTGTATCAATAATATACCGTCCACTGTGTTAGATCTTGGATCAACAGGTTACATGCATCATTTTAATATGTTTTAATAAACAACCAGTTTGTTTGGCCTCTGACGTGACTGACGTCCCTGTCCTGTATGTTTCTCTGCGTGACACATTGAAATGACTTACTCGTTTTGTGGCTTCTGATTGGTTCAGCATCAGCTCGGCGTCCTCCAGCCAGGCCTGCAGAGAGGCCACGGTGCTGCTGTACTTGTCCCAGTTGGAGATCACCTCCTCCAGCATGCTCCGCACACTCCGCACCTCCAGAGCCAAGTGCTTCCACTGAGCTGTGGTTTCATTCAGGAACTTACTCACACCTTCTGCCTCGTCAACTGAAAGAGCAAAGGATCTCAGCAAAACACGCCAACAACGTCTAATACTGTAAATACCATGCGTGTCCAGAAATGAAAAAGCTGCACTAATAAAAAAACACACTGGATAAAACAGTCTCTTTCTTATAGAGCAGGGGTGTCCAAACATTTTAGTAAGAGGGCCACTTTAGTTCACCACACTAGTCCAGGGGCTAGTAGACGATGTTATATGATCAATAACGGAGCTGAAGTTGGCTGAATGACACATGTTTACCGTCTCACAAGCTCATAAATCAACACCTGAACTCCAGACGTACTGAGCTTTAGAACAAGGCCTATATTGGCTGAGCTGAAGTTGGATGAATGACAGAGTTTACTTATGTTTATGAGCTCAGAGACTACTTTGGTTTAGCGAGGCAGAGGGCCACATACACTGACACTGAGGGCCGCAATTGGCCCCCGGGCCTGAGTTTGGACATGCCTGTTATAGAGAATCTGCATTTCTTGAGTTGGAACTGATTCTTTTTTTGTGTGTAAAGTCCTCTGAGAATGTTTTTTGTGTGATTTAGGGCGATACAAGAATAAATGTATGTATTGAATAAAACTGAACTGACATGTAATTAGTTTGTAAAGCGAGGTCTGGTTTGAATTGAATTGGAGACTAGTCATTTTATAGTCCGAGAGGTCGCAGCCTTTCCCCCGTCAGTCTACCCCAGGGCAGCTGTGGCTACAGTAGCTTATCCCTTCTGGAAAGAATGAGTGATGCAAAGTAAAGTCCCTCTGAGTGTCCCAAAAACCAGGATATACACTCATTACATTACCACATTATATTAAGTAATGTGAGTTTGAATCTTTCTGGACACAACATGTATATTTTCTTCAATGCTCGAGGGAGTGATTAGGATTGATTTCAGGTTAAAGGAAGTATTTGCATAATGAGTCACATGCCAAGTTAGCATTCCAACACATTCATGAGTAGTTACCAGACAAGCACAATGCAGTGTGAATAACTGGGTGTAGTATTGTTAGGAGAAGACGGGAGCATTTGGGATGGATCAAAGCCGTCAGGTTGGTTTTGGACTTACCTCGGTTACAGGTTTTGTACCCTGTAACATGAAACCCACAGTAACAGAAATGTACTATGCACCAGACGAACAAAACAATATGTGTTTAACATTTAAACATATAGAATAAAGTTGGTCTGAAATCTTACTTGAGTTGTCAGACCTCACGTAGACCTCTGCCGATTGTTTGAGGGCGCTGAAGATGATGTCGTATTGGTCAAAAAATCTAAAGTTTTCAATAAAAGTCTGAAGAAACAAATGAACCAGAAATACAGTAAGTAAATGTTTATTAGAACAAGCCAAAAGCTGAACTCACCAGATAGTTTTGCAAAAGGAGCTCCACAGAGTCTCTTCTGCCATATTTAATGATCCAGGTCTTCAGCTTTGATTCAGCCAGAAAAATAAATGACATCAGTCTGTACTTCATTTCCCAGAATTCCATCTTGATCAGGTGACTGTGGCACGATGTCGACACAAAGTTGAATCTGTAATAACAAAAACATAACAGTTAAGTTAAACATCACCTTTTTAATCATGATCATCAATAAATACTAAATATTGTGACTTTGTTCCTTAAGACAAAGTTTAAACAATCCACGCTTTACTAAGAAATATATGAACTTAGTCAGGGGGCGCCAGGGGCTCAGTGTGTAGAGCATCGGCCTTTGGGCCTGAAGGTTGTGGGTTCGAGCCCACCACGGAACCTTCTCCACCGATTCCTACTGATGTCTGCTGTTGTTGTGTCCTTGGGCAAGACACTTAACCTCACTTTGCCTGAAGCCCCCTCTGAGTGTGTGTATGCACATGTGTGTGTACATGTGTGTACATTTGTGTGTATGTGTGTGTGTGTTGTTGTTATCTGTGTAGACTCGAAAGTCTCAATGGCTCTTTTTCTTTTGAATTTCTATAAGAACTAAAAACACACTCTGTCCAAATAAGAAGTTGTTTGATGTAAATGTTATATATGTGAACTGTATAAAGATAATATTTATTCTATACGTTACTCCCAGTTAAGTGAAGCTTGACATTTTCCAAAGATATTGTTCTGTTTGTGAGTTGCAGAAGAAAACAGATCATGTTTGTGTGAGAATAGTTTGTACCGTTCAGCCATGTCTTGCAGCTGTTCAGGAGGCACAGGGACTCCGTTCACAGACCTGTCCCTGTGTATCTGCTGAAAGGTCTGTCTGTGAGGTTCAAGGCTTTTTAAAATCTCCTGCAAAACCAAAACACATCTCATTAGCTGTCTACAACATGAGTATTAGTATTAGTCTGATGCTGCAGATACCGTGTGCTGCTCCAGCCGTCTGTGGATGACGTTGGCGGTCTCTTCGTGAGCGTGGAGGATGGGGATGTCGTCTCTCAGGGCCATCTCTGCTCTGTGTAGCCAGGATCCGATCACTCCCAAAGGGCCCGGGAGAGACTTGTCCAGGTGGATGTGCCACTCCAGCAGCTGCACACGACAATCCACACTAAAAACTCCACCTTGTGCCGTTTGTATTTATTCTATTTACTCCTAAACTATTCCCTTGGGATTGGTACAACAAATTATGTTTCAGTGAAAACCATTTCAGATTGATATTCATTTTGTTTGACATTTGCCGTAAAACTACATTGGATCCATTTGCCAAAGACCCCAGTGTGCAGCAAGAACTTTCTTATTCTTAACTGTCCTTATTTGACCTGTTTTTATACATACATGACAAAAGCTAAAAAGTAGATTTCATTGGTCATTAAAGAGAATATTTCATACGGACACATTAAAACCTCTTTCCAAAGCACATAGATTAGAGATCACACTTTTTATTATGTTTGTAGTAATAATGTATGTTTAGAAAAATAAAAATTCAATAATATTTTGATTTCTATAAAACAAAATGTGTGAGAAACGTAATCTACATGTATACCAACTCCAACGACAACCATATCTCAGACTCTGGGTTAGGGTTCTGAAGAGGCTCTGGACCTGAGACCAGTTTGGACCAGAACAAAACTCTTATATCTCTCTGAAATGTCTCTGACTGCAGTAAAACAGGTTTCTCTGTGGAAACATTTACCATAGAAATGTATTACTGAATCATGGAGTGTTTGTACATTTTTACTTTTTTAATTTTAGGGTGAGACCAACAAAAGACTATTTAGTTTGAAAAGGACTATTGTCACACCTTCATTGTTTAGTCCTTTTGTTCTCAGCACAAAAGAGTTCAAACAGCTGCTGACACCACAGAGCAGGAATGAGGCTTGAATTTGAAAAATGAAAAATCTGTTTTGCAGTCATTAGACTTATTATTTATTCATTTAATATACGTTATTTTAAAAACATAAATAAGACTAATAGCTCTGAGGCTTCTGTCTTGACCCCGCTCCCCCAGATGAGTCTTAGTCCCTGTACTTACCCTGGCAGAGACCCGGTCCCACGCCTGCTTGACCAGAGCTTGGTCCACGGACAGTTTTCCGTCTCGACTCACGGGCTGCAGCAGCGGCTCCGTCTGCTTCTTCTTCATCTCGTACTGAACACGAAAACTCTTGAAGGCCTAATGTTGTAAAAACACACATTAAGCCAGGTTTCATTTCAACCAGAGTGTCCTGAGATGTTGTGTCTTTGACAATGATCCAGTTTCACTGAATTGGTCCAAATAATGTGAGGAGACTTTTTAGACACTTTGATTTGAATGACTTGGAACTGTTATAAAGGCCATAGTTTCATTTATCAGTTTCAATTGGTGGTGTGCCATGTTATTGTTTCCAATGAAAAAGGTGTCCCACAGCTCAAGAAGGACCATGAACGCTGCTTTAGACCATGAATAAATGAGATTAAAGGAGATATGTTTGTATACCTGGTATTTGTCAGTCAGGTTCCCCTCGGCTCCTTGGGCTCTCAGAACATCTTTCTCCAATTGATTCAAAAACACTTTGAGCTCCCTCAGCATCTTCCTCTCCTCTCGCTGCCAGGAAAAGAAAAGAGTGTTTGGATGCATAACGTTAACATTATAGAGTAATGACAGAGTAATGACAGAGTAATGACAGAGTCATTCTAGAGTAATGACAGAGTAATGACAGTCATTACAGAGTAATGACAGAGTAATGACAGAGTAATGACAGAGTAATGACAGAGTCATTATAGAGTAATGACAGAGTAATGACAGAGTCATTATAGAGTAATGACAGAGTAATGACAGAGTAATGACAGAGTAATGACAGAGTAATGACAGAGTAATGACAGAGTAATGACAGAGTAATGACAGAGTCATTATAGAGTAATGACAGAGTAATGACAGAGTAATGACAGAGTCATTATAGAGTAATGACAGAGTAATGACAGAGTAATGACAGAGTAATGACAGAGTAATGACAGAGTAATGACAGAGTCATTATAGAGTAATGACAGAGTAATGACAGAGTAATGACAGAGTCATTATAGAGTAATGACAGAGTAATGACAGAGTAATGACAGAGTAATGAGTAATGAGTCAGTTACACTACAGCTACAGTAGAAAGGGAGATGCAGGGGATACATTCTTTACTGAATATAAACTAATGAATCCAGACATACCTCCAGCATTTGCTCTATATCGTGAGGAGCAAACTATCCAGGAAAATCACACACAGAGAAATTCACCACAAACAGGTTAGAAAGAGGCAACGAGGATCGAGACGGGAGTAAACGAGAGGAGAGAGAAAAGCAGCATGCAGTGGGCCAAGCTCTTACCTGCAGCACCGGGACTGACAGGGCAAAAGTCGGAATTGAGCCAAGAAGCAGCTTAATGAGCAACAAAAGTAAAAATGTGGAGAAATTAAATCATGACTAAACAAAATTGTGTCAAATAAAAAAGTGTGGAATTATGAGCATGCAGTGAAACAAAAACAGCAGATGGAACGTCAGCCGTAACCTGTGTGTAACTGTGTGTAGCTGTGTGTAACTGTGTGTAACTGTGTGTAACTGTGTGTAGCTGTGTGTAACTGTGTGTAGCTGTGTGTAACTGTGTGTAGCTGTGTGTAACTGTGTGTAACTGTGTGTAGCTGTGTGTAGCTGTGTGTAACTGTGTGTAACTGTGTGTAGCTGTGTGTAACTGTGTGTAACTGTGTGTAGCTGTGTGTAGCTGTGTGTAACTGTGTGTAACTGTGTGTAGCTGTGTGTAACTGTGTGTAACTGTAACTGTGTGTAACTGTAACTGTGTGTAACTGTGTGTAACTTTGTGTAACTGTGTGTAGCTGTGTGTAACTGTGTGTAACTGTGTGTAGCTGTGTGTAACTGTGTGTAACTGTGTGTAGCTGTGTGTAACTGTGTGTAACTGTAACTGTGTGTAACTGTAACTGTGTGTAACTGTGTGTAACTTTGTGTAACTGTGTGTAACTGTGTGTAACAGCGTGTAGCTGTGTGTAGCTGTGTGTAGCTGTGTGTAACTGTGTGTAACTGTGTGTAGCTGTGTGTAACTGTGTGTAACTGTAACTGTGTGTAACTGTAACTGTGTGTAACTGTGTGTAACTTTCTGTAACTGTGTGTAGCTGTGTGTAACTGTGTGTAGCTGTGTGTAACTGTGTGTAACTGTGTGTAGCTGTGTGTAGCTGTGTGTAACTGTGTGTAACTGTGTGTAGCTGTGTGTAACTGTGTGTAACTGTAACTGTGTGTAACTGTAACTGTGTGTAACTGTGTGTAACTTTGTGTAACTGTGTGTAGCTGTGTGTAACTGTGTGTAACTGTGTGTAGCTGTGTGTAACTGTGTGTAACTGTGTGTAGCTGTGTGTAACTGTGTGTAACTGTGTGTAGCTGTGTGTAACTGTGTGTAACTGTAACTGTGTGTAACTGTAACTGTGTGTAACTGTGTGTAACTTTGTGTAACTGTGTGTAACTGTGTGTAACAGCGTGTAGCTGTGTGTAGCTGTGTGTAACTGTGTGTAACTGTGTGTAGCTGTGTGTAGCTGTGTGTAACAGTGTGTAACTTGTGTAACAGTGTGTAACTGTGTGTAACTGTGTGTAACAGTGTGTAACTGTGTGTAACAGTGTGTAACTGTGTGTAACAGTGTGTAACTGTAACTGTGTGTAACAGTGTGTAACAGTGTGTAACTGTGTGTAACAGTGTGTAACTGTGTGTAACTGTGTGTAACTGTGTGTAGCTGTATGTAACCGTGTGTAACTGTGTGTAACTGTAACTTTATGTAACTGTGTGTAACTGTGTGTAACTGTATGTAACTGTGTGTAACTGTGTGTAACTGTGTGTAACTGTAACTGTGTGTAGCTGTGTGTAACTGCGTGTAACTGTGTGTAACTGTGTGTAACAGTATGTAACTGTGTGTAACTGTGTGTAACAGTGTGTAACTGTGTGTAACTGTGTGTAACAGTGTGTAACAGTATGTAACTGTGTGTAACTGTGTGTAACTGTGTGTAACAATATGTAACTGTGTGTAACCGTGTGTAACAGTATGTAACTGTGTGTAACTGTGTGTAACTGTGTAACAGTGTGTAACAGTGTGTAACTGTGTGTAACTGTGTAACAGTGTGTAACTGCGTGTAACTGTGTGTAACAGTGTGTAACTGTGTGTAACAGTGTGTAACAGTATGTAACTGTGTGTAACTGTGTGTAACTGTGTGTAACTGTGTGTAATTGCGTGTAACTGTGTGTAACTGCGTGTAGCTGCGTGTAGCTGTGTAACTGTGTGTAGCTGTGTGTAGCTGTGTGTAACTGTGTGTAGCTGTGTGTAACTGTGTGTAGCTGTGTGTAACTGTGTGTAGCTGTGTGTAGCTGTGTGTAACTGTGTGTAGCTGTGTGTGACTGTGTGTAGCTGTGTGTAGCTGTGTGTAACTGTGTGTAGCTGTGTGTAGCTGTGTGTAGCTGTGTGTAACTGTGTGTAACTGTGTGTAGCTGTACAGTATGTAACTGTGTGTAACTGTGTGTAACTGTATGTAACTGTGTGTAACTGTGTGTAACTGTAACTGTGTGTAGCTGTGTGTAACTGTGTGTAACTGTGTGTAACAGTATGTAACTGTGTGTAACTGTGTGTAACAGTGTGTAACTGTGTGTAACAGTGTGTAACAGTATGTAACTGTGTGTAACTGTGTGTAACTGTGTGTAACAGTATGTAACTGTGTGTAACTGTGTGTAACTGTGTGTAACAGTATGTAACTGTGTGTAACTGTGTGTAACTGTGTGTAACTGTATGTAACTGTGTGTAACTGTGTGTAACTGTGTGTAACTGTAACTGTGTGTAGCTGTATGTAACTGTGTGTAACTGTGTGTAACAGTGTGTAACTGTGTGTAACTGTAACTGTGTGTAGCTGTGTGTAACTGTGTCTAACTGTGTGTAACAGTATGTAACTGTGTGTAACTGTGTGTAACAGTATGTAACTGTGTGTAACTGTGTGTAACTGTAACTGTGTGTAACTGTGTGTAACTGTGTGTAGCTGTATGTAACTGTGTGTAACTGTGTGTAACTGTGTGTAACTGTGTGTAACAGTATGTAACTGTGTGTAACTGTGTGTAACAGTATGTAACTGTGTGTAACTGTGTGTAACAGTATGTAACTGTGTGTAACTGTGTGTAACTGTGTGTAACAGTATGTAACTGTGTGTAACTGTGTGTAACTGTGTGTAATTGCGTGTAACTGTGTGTAGCTGTGTGTAGCTGTGTGTAGCTGTGTGTAACTGTAACTGTGTGTAACTATGTGTAACTGTGTGTAGCTGTGTGTAGCTGTGTGTAACTGTGTGTAGCTGTGTGTAGCTGTGTGTAGCTGTGTGTAACTGTAACTGTGTGTAACTGTGTGTAACTGTGTGTAGCTGTATGTAACTGTGTGTAACTGTGTGTAACTGTGTGTAAATGTATGTAACTGTGTGTAACTGTGTGTAACTGTGTGTAACTGTAACTGTGTGTAGCTGTGTGTAACTGCGTGTAACTGTGTGTAACTGTGTGTAACAGTATGTAACTGTGTGTAACTGTGTGTAACAGTGTGTAACAGTATGTAACTGTGTGTAACTGTGTGTAACTGTGTGTAACAGTATGTAACTGTGTGTAACTGTGTGTAACAGTATGTAACTGTGTGTAACTGTGTGTAACTGTGTAACTGTGTGTAACAGTATGTAACTGTGTGTAACTATGTGTAACTGTGTAACAGTGTGTAACTGTGTGTAACTGTGTGTAACTGTGTGTAACTGTGTAACAGTGTGTAACAGTGTGTAACTGTGTGTAACAGTATGTAACTGTGTGTAACTGTGTGTAACTGTGTGTAACTGTGTAACAGTGTGTAACAGTGTGTAACTGTGTGTAACAGTATGTAACTGTGTGTAACTGTGTGTAACAGTGTGTAACTGTGTGTAACAGTGTGTAACAGTATGTAACTGTGTGTAACTGTGTGTAACTGTGTGTAACTGTGTGTAACAGTATGTAACTGCGTGTAACTGTGTGTAATTGCGTGTAACTGTGTGTAACTGTGTGTAACTGTGTGTAACTGTGTGTAACTGTGTGTAACTGTGTGTGATTGCGTGTAACTGTGTGTAACTGTGTGTAACTATGTGTAACTGTGTGTAACTGTGTGTAACTGTGTGTAACTGTGTGTAACTGCGTGTAACTGCGTGTAACTGTGTGTAACAGTGTGTAACTGTGTGTAACAGTGTGTAACAGTATGTAACTGTGTGTAACTGCGTGTAACTGTGTGTAACAGTGTGTAACTGTGTGTAACAGTGTGTAACAGTATGTAACAGTGTGTAACTGTGTGTAACTGTGTGTAACTGTGTGTAACTGTGTGTAATTGCGTGTAACTGTGTGTAACTATGTGTAACTGTATGTAACTGCGTGTAACTGTGTGTAACAGTGTGTAACTGTGTGTAACAGTGTGTAACTGTGTGTAACAGTGTGTAACAGTGTGTAACAGTATGTAACTGTGTGTAACTGTGTGTAACTGTGTGTAACTGTGTGTACCTGTATGTAACTGTGTGTAACTGTATGTAACTGCGTGTAACTGTGTGTAACTGTGTGTAACAGTGTGTAACTGTGTGTAACAGTGTGTAACAGTATGTAACTGTGTGTAACTGTGTGTAACTGTGTGTAACTGTGTGTAGCTGTATGTAACTGTGTGTAACTGTGTGTAACTGTGTGTAACTGTGTGTAACAGTGTGTAACTGTGTGTAACAGTGTGTAACAGTATGTAACTGTGTGTAACTGTGTGTAACTGTGTGTAACTGTGTGTAGCTGTATGTAACTGTGTGTAACTGTGTGTAACTGTGTGTAACAGTGTGTAACTGTGTGTAACAGTGTGTAACAGTGTGTAACTGTGTGTAACTGTGTGTAACTGTGTGTAATTGCGTGTAACTGTGTGTAACAGTGTGTAACTGTGTGTAACAGTGTGTAACAGTGTGTAACTGTGTGTAACTGTGTGTAACTGTGTGTAACTGTGTGTAACTGTGTGTAACAGTGTGTAACTGTGTGTAACAGTGTGTAACAGTGTGTAACTGTGTGTAACTGTGTGTAACTGTGTGTAACAGTGTGTAACAGTGTGTAACAGTATGTAACTGTGTGTAACTGTGTGTAACTGTGTGTAACTGTGTGTAACAGTGTGTAACTGTGTGTAACTGTGTGTAATTGCGTGTAACTGTGTGTAACAGTGTGTAACAGTATGTAACTGTGTGTAACTGTGTGTAACAGTATGTAACTGTGTGTAACTGTGTGTAGCTGCGTGTAGCTGCGTGTAGCTGTGTGTAGCTGTGTGTAACTGTGTGTAGCTGTGTGTAGCTGTGTGTAGCTGTGTGTAGCTGTGTGTAGCTGTGTGTAACTGTGTGTAGCTGTGTGTAGCTGTGTGTAGCTGTGTGTAGCTGTGTGTAACTGTGTGTAGCTGTGTGTAGCTGTGTGTAGCTGTGTGTAGCTGTGTGTAGCTGTGTGTAACTGTGTGTAACTGTGTGTAGCTGTGTGTAACTGTGTGTAACTGTAACTGTGTGTAACTGTAACTGTGTGTAACTGTGTGTAACTTTGTGTAACTGTGTGTAACTGTGTGTAACAGCGTGTAGCTGTGTGTCTGATCAGACTTTAAATGATTACAACATATTCTGCTCTTTGTTATGGCCTTTCAGTGGATAGTTTACAGCAGGAGATGCAGAGAGTTGGACAAACACCAGATTCTGACCCTGGATTATTAATCTGATGTAAATATGATAATCTGATGCAAATATGATAATCTGATGTAAATATGATAATCTGATGCAAATATGATAATCTGATGTAAATATGATAATCTGATGCAAATATGATAATCTGATGTAAATATGATAATCTGATGCAAATATGATAATCTGATGTAAATATGATAATCTGATGTAAACAAGGCCTGAAGTCTCCTGTCGTTAGTAAAGAGTCACCTGGTCCTGGTGTCCGTCCGTCTCCGACTGTGGGTTTGGATAGTGCTTGAGAAACTGGGCCACGTATGTCATTATGGACTTTTCATCGGGTTTGTCCACATCCACATCTGGGGAGACACGGTTTGAAAGAATATTCTATGAAGTGATATTTAAAGTAATGATAACAGAGAAAGTGAATCTGACTCCTTTAAAAGAAATGGAGTCTGTTATGACATAAATGCAGAAGCGTGATTCAGCAAAACCAGGACAGATCTATGTGTTCTCCTCTGAGCTCGTTTGTCTCGTCATCTTTCCTCATATTTGACGATAAATCAAGGTCACGGAGATTCTCAGAGCGGCTCAAACCAAACCCAGACCTCACATTCATTTGTACTTTTGTATTTTCTAATGTGCATCAAAAATCTGGCAGACACTGAACACCAAGGAAAACATCAAATCTTCTGTAATTGCAAACAAAAGTTTATCTATCTTACATACAAAAGTTCTTACGAATGATAAGTATTTAAGTAAGTAAGTAAGCTTTATTTATATACCGCCTTTTCACTGCAGATCTGAGTCTCAAAGCGGTTTACAATTGTTATTTTTTGGGCATTTGTCTCTCACTCCACACAGAGATGGGAGCGGGGCCAGTACAGGAGGCGCATGCCAGACCTATTGGACATATTTTTAGTGGTAGGGGAAACCGGAGTACCCGGAGGAAACCTACGCAGGCACGGGGAGAACATGCAAACTCCACTCAGAAAGGCCCTGGTCCGGCCAGGATTCGAACCCAGGACCTTCTTGCTGAGAGGCGAGAGTGCTATCCACTCAGCCACCGTGCCGCCCACGGTGGCTTTATAGGGACAAAACTTTATATTTTACTTTAATGTTGAAATGTGCATCACCTTCTGGATCAAGCAAACGGGGGATTCCCAGTTCATTTTCAGCCAGAGCGAAGGCCTCCTCCAGGTTCTCCCTGTTGCCCCTCCTCCTCACCAGCTCCATGTCCACTAGGTCTGGTCTGATGGCGTGGACCAAGGACTCAAAGGCCACGCCATTGCGCCAGCTGGGGCCAAAGTCCTTCACCTCAATCCCATGGTATCTAGAACAGTTTTTATACAGTCATCCCAAACTTATAAATAAACATACAGAACAAAACCAGAACTAGAACCAGTCCAACCAAAATGTAGACCAGTAACTACTCTTTGAATAAACTGGATTCAAATCAAACTCAAACAAAGACAAATATGAAACCGTTGGTAATGTGGAGAACAGGGTTAGAAATGCAGACTGACTTGGCTGCGGTGGTCTGCACCCATCGGAGCAGAGCCTTCTTGGCGTTGCCCGGGTATTTGTTGATGACTTTCCGCTTCATGGGAGGACTTCCTGAGTCAGAGCCAGGGACACTCTCCACTGAAGAGCTACTGTTGGACAAAGCCTGAAGGGCCGCCAGGTTACTGGTCAGCTCCTCAATCTACAAACACAGTACAGCTCATTACATAAGGCAGAAACTCCTGGAACTCCATAACGGTGGCAGTATTTCTACCTGGAAGTAGAGGATAACTGTCCATATCAAGCCGAGGACGATCGAAGGCCGTCCGTCTGCGATATCAGTGGCATGAATGTTCACAAGTTTAATCTGAAACAAAACACAGATTGCTGTAAAGTTTTATAATAACTGTGTAATATAAACAGGCCAAATGAAATCTGAAGTCATCAAAGACATTCTACTTTGATGCACATTTGTATTTCAGACATAAATCACAAACCAACACAGCCTTTGCTGAAGTGAAACACTGAATAAATAAAAGTGTGTGGTTAATCTAAGACTGTAATCATCTACAATCTTTGTATGGGGGAAAATCCGAAGAACAAAACCAGGTGAAGACATTCTGTGTGTGATGTTTCCTTAATATTGCAGAGAAAGCTGCAGAGAAAGCTGCAGAGCTGCGTCCATGCACCGTGCACTAACAGAGATAGTAAAGGTTAGAGTCACACAGGGACTGACCGGAGATCCTCGGTACAGAGACTGAAGGGACAGAGAGACCACAGCAGCGTCAGTCCTCAGGGAACTCACAGCTAAGTGCCACTCACAAAGAGCTGCTGTTATGTAACTGCTGCCTCAGCACACACACATCACACCAACCAGCAGGACACTTTACTACACACTGGATATACTAGATTTTACAGATATTATACATCATCAGGACAGAAACATTCAACAGTACCTTCCTGCCTTCGAGAAATGAAAGTGCGGTGCCGATGTTGGACACCCAGTGGATCCTCTTCAGCTGCCGGCCTTGTTCACATGGCTGAACAGAACAACAGTATTAAACTTTACATTAAACTCTCGATGGAGGTCCCAGCTGCACTCACCAGTCTCTGACCCGACAGCACCTCCAGCAGAGCCAGGAGCTTCACCCCATCTTTAATATCCTCAAACAGGTCATTCACCTCAAGGGGCGGTTTATGCTAAAGCGGAGAACAACAGTATCTTAATCAAGTTACACAGGACCTTTTAAAAAAATCAATCTCAGGCATTGTCAGAGCGAAGGTGATTTGTATTCTGACCATAAGCAGAGTAGTACACAAATGTTATGTTAGAAAAAGATTGCTAGCAGCCCAGTCCAGAGGCAAGATTTGTATTCAACCCAATATGAATTATCCCTGCGTATCACAGCCACGTGAAAAACACTGAGCTGAGCGTCTAGTTAGCACAACATAGTTAGCACAACATAGTTAGCACAACATAGTTAGCACAACATAGTTAGCACAACATAGTTAGCACAAAGGAAACAAAACTAAAAAGATATTGGCTTTTATTGGACTTTTTTGTAATCAAAGGGCCATGGACTTTTTACTTTTTGTGTGAATACGTAACTATAACACAGTCATTGTTGTTATCATAAAAGCTTCCTGGAACAGAAGCTAGTCCCTCCTAAATCACATGGGACTTTGGTCGTGGGAAAAACTGTTAAAGAGGTGGAAAACTGCTCATGAACACAGTATCACAGGAAATATACAGATGAAGAGGAAGTCTGTGTAAACCAGAGGAAGCTCAGATAAAATATACTTTCACTTAGAAAAGCAGGTGTAGTGATAACTATTGCAGATAAGGCATATCTCATGAAAACTTAAATGTTATGTATTAATGACATCAGAATAGGGAAGTGTTTTTCACAGCTGTCACTTTTTAAGCAAATGTGTGTGTTTTTGTTTAGAGACGTATCCACATTCATCTCACACGACTTCATGACCTATAGAGGATTAGAAAATGATCAAATCAACAGTCATTGAAATAATTGAGGAAATAGATAACCACCCCTGCCTTTAGACCTTATTTTGAAGAGACCAAATAATTAAGATTTCTCCTTTCACAGTATATATTTACACTATGATGTTCTTAGATTCGTGACATAACTGAAAAAGCTGAATTCCAACACTCCTGTCTTTGCTGCTGACTCACTCTTCGTACTCATCATCTCACAGTTATTTTAAGTCCACAGCTTGCAGCCCTGGGACCATGTGTTATTGTTGAGTCCCTCAGGTGGCGTTAGTTTCATACTGGCTCCTGAACAGCAGAGGGAGGCCCACAGGGAGGCCCACAGGGAGGCCCACAGGGAGCGGCCCTCACCCTCCATCTCTCCATCTGTGTCCACTGCCTCCCCACAGACGCCGCACACACACAGATACAGTGCCTTGCGAATGTAATCGGCCCCCTTGAACCTTTCAACATTTCGCCACATTTCAAGCTTCAAACATAAAGATATAAAAATTAAATTTTTTGTCAAGAATCAACAACAAGTGGGACACAATCGTGAAGTGGAACAAAATTTATTGAATAATTTAAACTTTTTTAACAAATAAAAAACTGAAAAGTGGGTCACATGCCAGACCTACATATTTTTAGTGGTAGGGGAAACCGGAGCACCCAGAGGAAACCTACGCAGACACGGGGAGAACATGCAAACTCCACTCAGAAAGGCCCTGGTCCAACCGGGATTCGAACCCAGGACCTTCTTTCTGAGAGGCGAGAGTGCTATCCACTCAGCCACCGTGCCGCCATATATACACCATATATACACCATATATACACCATATATACACCATATATACACCATATATACGCCTCCACCTCCACATAACGCCTACATACTCCTACTACGGTTTAGTGTCGTGATGCTCAAGAAATTCACGGCCAATAAATCGGGAAAGAAGTTGTGTCTTTTGTGTATCAGAGCCTTGTTTAAATCAAGCCGTTAGAACCAAATGAGCTGAGAAGTATTGCTCAATGCCTTGTTGGCGTTAGGGCACTCAGCACACATGGTCTCACATCCTTAATGCCTTGGACTGAAGAGAAGCATAATAACGATAAGCACTAATGAAAACATGATTAGAGAAGGGTCATGGGTACATCCTTCACACTTAAGGGACTGTTGTGACGACATTAGACAAGAGCGTCTCATGCTCTGTTATGTATGGACTGTGATAGCTCCTACTTACCTTTGCTAAATGAGAATTGATCCATTTGGTGAAGGTCCGCTTCTGCACTGCCTCCTGCTCATCTGCAACACATGTCTCAATGAGTGAATAAGACTATTGATTAGGACAGAAATCTAAGAAAAGACGTAAAACCCACAATCATATTACATTACTTTGGCTTGTGTCTAATTATTGGGTTAGTTACTTAATTACATTGTGTCTCTTTTCCACAGAGCTCAAAGCCTAAATCTCCACAAAGCCTCTCCTTCCTGAATGTCAAGAGGCATTGCCGCAGTTTTGCACCAAGTTTCACCTGAATAGACCTCAACAAATGACACTACTAAACTCTATGCACGTAAAGTGTAGCTCAGACTGTGATCTGAGGTCATATCAGGTTAAAACTACAACCAGAAGTCACATTTATGTTCATATAAGTAAGTTGTTTAAGTAAAGCTTAATGATATGCAGTTTTTGTGGCCATTTAATCCATTCAGCAGAAAACCCCTCATGCATTATGCAGCTCTTTTCACAAAACAACTCTACGGTCATGGCTTGTGCTGTTTGGCTGCTGTCAAAAGCGCCGGTGGGCTCCACTCCACACAAGAGGGGCCATTTTTAAACATCCAAACAGACAGCAGTCACGTGTGTACAGAGATGCAATGCAAACAATCCACCTAGAATCATTACTACAGGCAATTGCTTCATCATGGGGCGCCCACTCAAGCGCACAGACGCACACACAGCTGTAGTCCTGAGGGAGAGACATTGACCAACATGTCTATTAATACACTTCAAAGACTGTCAGTCCGTGTGTCCTACTTACCACGCAAATATTGGAAAAATCCAGTCACTAGATTGAGTGAAGTCTTCCTCTGAACATCCTTTAAGTGAGCCATGATAGACCCCCCTCTGTACCCGTGATCCTATGCCTCTCATCAGGTCAGCAGCTCCTCTACATGTCTAAGAGAATAGCATCCACAGTGGAAAAAAGAGCTTGTACTTATGCCCTTTCCTCTTCAAGCAGGAAGCAAAACAGTTGACTGGCCCAGAGAGAGGTGCTGTATGCTGGGATGAGAGGCAGTCCCTCCTCCCTGGTTGGCTGGTGCACTCTCTTCCACACACGCACACAGAAAAGGCCAATAAAAAAGGGTGAATTACGGCCCCATCCCGTGTCCTCCCAGTGTTCCCCGGTTGACCAGAGCAGCCATGCCTGTGTTAGCCTGCACACTACACAGCCCCCACCCCTGCTGCTAATACACCGCCTCTCTGCTGTGGCTGAAGCATCGTAGCAGGCTGGAGGCTGGAGAAGGCTCTGAGCCGCCGTGACCAATCAGAGAGGAGCTGGTGGTGATGTCACATCCCTGGTTGCATGATCCCAATTTAAGCTCGGTGTGGCGATGGAAGATGGTATAATCCATTATCAGGCAGTAGCTTCATCCAATGTTCCTTCTATTTACCAAGTATTTATTAAAAAACAACCTTTATAAGTTAATTAAAATAGAGGGAGGTTCTATACATTCTACTATTCATTACTGTTAGTTTACAGACTAAATACAGCCATGTTTCAAATCCCAAAATACTATGCTAATGTGATTACAGCTTAGTACTTTAGATAAACAGACACAATACAATATTTCTGTGTGATGTTTGGGTCTGTGCCTTTAAAGGTGTATGACATACTCCTTCAGCTCCACGGTGCTATTGATTAAATGCAGTAAATGAAAAGACTGCGGCACTGAGCGTACAGCAGTGCTACAAATCTTAATAATTGATGCTGGACGTGCAGCACCTGCTCTTTCAGCCCGATGCTTTGGTGACGCTGAGGCACAGACACACCCACTCTGGGATTCCCCTCTGCATCTCTGCTCTCCCAGGTTTTACACAGACATATTCACTCATGAAGTCATGAAGAAGAGTGAATGAGGACCTAGTGGATATTTCTCAACAAATCTCAGAGCCCGGCACACTCGACGCTAAACATAGTCAGTTATGCTTTTATTATTATTATTATTATTATTATTATTATTATTATTATTATTGTGGCTCTATGATACAAGCCACGGAGCATGGAATGGATTTTTTATTCTATTTACAGTGAGTTGTTAGGGCCTTTCTGAGAGGGGTTTGCATGTTCTCCTCATGTCTGCATTTCCTCTGGTATCCCCTAAACCTCTAAATACATGTGAGGCCAGGACTCAATCACATGATCAAATAAACTCAGCTGAAGGATAAATATGGTTCTTTTGAAAAGTGATCTTTACAACTTTATCAATCAATGTTAAAATAAAACTATAGTAAATCTAATAACACATATATAAAAGGAAATTGAAGATATGTTTCCAAGAATTTCAAAAAGGACAGAAACTCCTTAATTTAACATTTTTCTGAGCAATTTTTATCTTTACTTTAAAAAAGTTTTTTTTCTGCAAAAGGAGCAAATAATGAAGCACAGAGGCCTAAAGTATTGATACTAACATTAAACACTGTTTCTCCTCTAATATCCTAAAAATGCAGTCCAAAAAGTAAAACAAACGTGGCGGCAGGGTTGTTGAGTGGGTAGCAATCATCTCAGCAAGAAGGTTGTGGGTTCTATCCCCTGTCTGCCCTCTCCTGACAGAGACAGTAAAGTACAGGCCAAGTATCATTCCAAATATTCTTCGTCATGACTTTTATCCAGTCTGTATCATGTGGAGCTGTCCAGAGTCCTGAACTGTCTTCCCACTACTGTACGTATGTCATAAGGATATGAATAGATCACTAGAACCAATATACATGAAACATCTCAGAAATGTGACCACCTCCTTCAGGTCAGATTCAGGTCCACACTGAGCTACGGCTGAGTGCCAGTTATCTGCACTCCAGTTATATTTCCTACCATCAAACACACTGAGCTCTTTAGGCCTCCACAATTGACTTAAATAATGCAGGTCATGTTGAGGCGTGTGGAAATGCAGCGCTGTAATGTACAGTAGGTGCTTGGCCTCACCGCTCTGAGGGTCATGTGGGAGTTTGATAAAAGCCACTGAGCTGTTCCATTTAGTCCAAAGCAAAACACAACAAATCAATTCTGACAAAAAACCATCGACAGGAGCTTCATTTAAGACTTCAATAGATTATTATACATATATTCTATACATTATATTATTACTAATATTACACTAATATTACACACTAACATTTTAAGGCTGAGTGCAACACTCCCATTTGGTGCAAGTATAAGAAGGATGTGTGAGAAGCGAACCCATGAGGTCAGTTAACACTGCAGAGGAAGTGCACAGTGTGACTGAAAAGTTACTGCAGTCATTTGGTGAGAGCTTATCAACACGTCAAATGTTATCATGTTTTTTATACATAATAAGCTTTGTCAAAGTTGTATTCTGTGTTTGTTCCCATCATCGACCTCAACACTCCATCCATCCATCTTCTTCCCCTTAATCCACTTCTGGGTCAGGGGGGTGGCAGTCAGAGCTACACCCCCCTGACCCTAACCCTGACCCGACCTCAACACTGTGTTGTTATAATAAAGACCATGTTATAGTTTTCTGATCTACTTTCATAAACTGTCACTAACTGTTGAACGTAAATCACTATATTATTGTTTTATTATCTATAAGGAACCCGAGCCTAAGAAACAATGTCCTTTGTGACTTTTTTCATTGCACAGACATTTAGAAATGGCTAAATCATTCTTACACAACTCAAACTGGTACCTGCAAAGACAGACTACATCTTCTACGTCCGGAGGCTGTTAGCTCCTGTTAGCTCCTGTTAGCTCCTGTTAGCTCCTGTTAGCTCCTGTTGACGTGGCACTGCAGAACCACCTGATGCTAATGAGAGTAACGTCTTCCAGATGTCACAGCAAACTCTCCACTGCCACACAACAACCACACAACTGCCACACAACTGCCACACAACAACCACACAACTGCCACACATCTGCCACACAACTGCCACACAACAACCACACATCTGTCGCACAACAACCACACAACTGCCACACAACAACCACACAACAACCACACATCTGTCACACAACAACCACACAACTGCCACACAACAACCACACAACAACCACACAACTGCCACACAACAACCACACAACTGCCACACAACAACCACACAACAACCACACAACTGCCACACAACAACCACACAACAACCACACAACTGCCACACAACAACCACACAACTGCCACACAACAACCACACATCTGTCACACAACAACCACACAACTGCCACACAACAACCACACAACAACCACACAACTGCCACACAACAACCACACAACTGCCACACATCTGCCACACAACAACCACACAACTGCCACACAACAACCACACAACTGCCACACAACTGCCACACAACAACCACACAACTGCCACACAACAACCACACAACTGCCACACAACAACCACACAACAACCACACAACTGCCACACAACAACCACACATCTGCCACACAACAACCACACAACTGCCACACAACAACCACACAACTGCCACACAACAACCACACAACTGCCACACAACAACCACACAACAACCACACAACTGCCACACAACAACCACACAACAACCACACAACAACCACACAACTGCCACACAACTGCGGTTCTGCAGATCCATCCTGGGACGATGCAGAAGCTGATGTTCGTTTTCTTCCAAGAGATTAAAGCCTTAATGATGCCTTTAACCTTTCTGTAGATACGCCTGTAAAGAGACTGTAGTCTGTAGCTTTGGCCTTTCTTTAAACATGACAAACCAAATAATTGTAACATCTTAATCAAACATATATTAGCGTAAAGTAGTGTCTATTGATAAATAATATTAGTAAAATACTGTGGAATGGCCTGAAACAAAGTCCTTTCAGGCGTCTGCAGTTATTAGAGTATTACCGTTCATTTCTTTCTACTTTAATAATTTCTAAGACAAATGTTGAAATAAATAGTAAATCAATCTGCTTAACGTTCTATTACAGGTTTGTGGAAATATTGCAAAACAGTTATTTGATATTTTACAGCAATTGTTTAGTAAAAACACATAATCAAATGTATTGTGAGTAATGTGACAGTCATCAAACTAAACTCGAGAGAAATACACAGGAAATCAGAGAGCTGTGCAGGAACCGGGCAGAATTGGCACAAACCACAATCAAGTTTCATAAGTGCTGCTCTGAAACCAGACGTTCATGACGGAGGTGAAGAATAGTGGAAGTCTAAACCCTTGCAACACACGGGGCCTGGACCCCAACACACAAACTCTCACTATTGATCTGCAGGAGTCGCAAAGGCAGCAGCGGTGTCCGGTTCAAGCCCTTTGTCGGCCCATTCATGAAAACGCTGCTGTGACGTGTGATTACGTTTCCTGATGCTTCAAAAGGAAAGAGAAACTAAACATACACTTATTGTAATCGAGAGTAAAGTCGTTTTGTAATCGCCAAAATGTGTCCCGCAAGAATCTGGTTAAGACATTATTGTGAAAGGCATCTCAACAATGCAGAGAGCTTTGGTCACAAGATCATGTTCTTATTACTGTAAATGTAATTATGGGCAATGTTGAAAATCAGATTAACTTTTCTTCTTATAGAGTTTTGACAATATTAGCTTTTTATTATAGTTTTACTGATACGGAATTGAGCTCAACTTCCTCTCCAAATGAACCAGACTTGGTCCAGTTGAAGAGAACAAGAGCATTAACTTTGAATGTGCCTTAAGGGCTAGGAGTAGGTTTCTAACTTTTCATTTCATTTTCTAAACAACTACAATGAGGATATAATAGTATGTAATTATACGTAATTAAAACAATCAAGACAGCACAGAAGCTTACACCTACACATTGGTAATGTCTGCTGCGCTGCATCACTGAACCCGGTGAGTGCAAAGTAAAGCATGCAACAACAGCAGCAGAGGAGCCACTTACCCTGCAGTTTCTGCATCACATTTGCGATGTCCCCCGCTCGAGAATACTGCCTGAGCGGAGAGGCCATGTCTGACAGCAGCTGAGGCACAGTGATGCTGGGAGCTGCTTTCTTCACTAGTGTCTTGTGCAGGACATCCCTCTCCCCCCGCCTCCACAGACCCTCCCACAGCCTCCCACAGCCTCCCACAGCCTCCCACAGCCTCCCACAGCCTCCCACAGCCTCCACAGCCTCCCACAGCCTCCCACAGCCTCCACAGACCCTCCCACAGCCTCCCACAGCCTCCACAGACCCTCCCACAGCCTCCCACAGCCTCCACAGCCTCCCACAGCCTCCACAGCCTCCCACAGCCTCCCACAGCCTCCACCACAGCCTCCACAGACCCTCCCACAGCCTCCCACAGCCTCCACAGACCCTCCCACAGCCTCCCACAGCCTCCCACAGCCTCCACAGCCTCCCACAGCCTCCCACAGCCTCCCACAGCCTCCCACAGCCTCCCACAGCCTCCCACAGCCTCCCACAGCCTCCCACAGCCTCCCACAGCCTCCCACAGCCTCCCACAGCCTCCCACAGCCTCCCACAGCCTCCCAGCCTCCCACAGCCTCCCACAGCCTCCCACAGCCTCCACAGACCCTCCCACAGCCTCCCACAGCCTCCACAGCCTCCCACAGCCTCCCACAGCCTCCCACAGCCTCCCACAGCCTCCCACAGCCTCCCACAGCCTCCACAGACCCTCCCACAGCCTCCCACAGCCTCCACAGCCTCCCACAGCCTCCCACAGCCTCCCACAGCCTCCCACAGCCTCCACAGACCCTCCCACAGCCTCCCACAGCCTCCCACAGCCTCCCACAGCCTCCCACAGCCTCCCACAGCCTCCCACAGCCTCCCACAGCCTCCCACAGCCTCCCACAGCCTCCCACAGCCTCCCACAGCCTCCCACAGCCTCCCACAGCCTCCCACAGCCTCCCACAGCCTCCCACAGCCTCCCACAGCCTCCCACAGCCTCCCACAGCCTCCACAGACCCTCCCACAGCCTCCCACAGCCTCCACAGACCCTCCCACAGCCTCCCACAGCCTCCCACAGCCTCCCACAGCCTCCCACAGCCTCCCACAGCCTCCCACAGCCTCCACAGACCCTCCCACAGCCTCCCACAGCCTCCCACAGCCTCCCACAGCCTCCCACAGCCTCCCACAGCCTCCCACAGCCTCCCACAGCCTCCCACAGCCTCCACAGACCCTCCCACAGCCTCCCACAGCCTCCCACAGCCTCCACAGACCCTCCCACAGCCTCCCACAGCCTCCCACAGCCTCCCACAGCCTCCCACAGCCTCCCACAGCCTCCACAGCCTCCCACAGCCTCCTCTGTCGGTGTAAATGTACTGCAGGATGGGCCCAACTCAAGCTCCAGTGTCAGTGCAGCCCCAGCTGCTTGGCATTGGTCTTTTTAACTGTAAAACAAAAGTGACACAAGGTAAGAGTCAAAGCCAAAGAGGTAACACAGTGTCTGCTCATAATGAATAAGTATGTTTTCCAAATGTCAATAACAACAATGAAGTCTATTATAGACATCCGAATGTGATGTAGTCATTTACTAAAGTATATGTTTAGGCCACGCCTCCTGCACCAGCAGCACACTCAGATGTTATTCATTCAGTTTAAGAGAACAGCATTAGAGTTTATTAATATGCATGATATGATTAAAATACAGTTCTGAGAGGACATTATGATCTTATAAACAGGTCAACTATCAGAGGCATTTTGTACAATGACAGAACATGTAGAGAAGTATCTGTGGCACAATCATCAAAATAGGGAAGTTTAGACTTCACACGTGTTTAATATATTTTAATATATACAGTCTATAGTTATAATTAGAACATTTCCAGCAATACAAATAAACCCAACTTTGGCTAAAACAACATTTGAACAGGCTACATTAGCTGTAACATATTTATAAACTACGGTTAGCTCGTGAAAAGTGAAGCAGGAAGTTTCTCTGTAAAAGTTTCTCTGTAAAAGTTTCTCTGTAAAAGTTTCTCTGTACAAAGACACAAACACTCAGAGGAACTCACTTTCTCTCACTGTGGTCGCGTGCAGTGTTCTCCACCTTCACTCTCGCGCTGACCGGAAGCGGCCCGTGTTGCCTGGTTGCCATGGTTACGCGGCCGATGTGAAAAAAAGACAGGCACGCGACCATCTCTAAAACACGGACACGGCCTGGTGGTGTATTGTGGTGTATTGTGGTATATTGTGGTGTATTGTGGTATATTGTGGTATATTGTGGTGTATTGTGGTGTATTGTGGTGTATTGTGGTATATTGTGGTATATTGTGGTGTATTGTGGTATATTGTGGTATATTGTGGTGTATTGTGGTGTATTGTGGTGTATTGTGGTATATTGTGGTATATTGTGGTATATTGTGGTATATTGTGGTGTATTGTGGTGTATTGTGGTGTATTGTGGTATATTGTGGTATATTGTGGTATATTGTGGTATATTGTGGTGTATTGTGGTATATTGTGGTATATTGTGGTATATTGTGGTGTATTGTGGTATATTGTGGTATATTGTGGTGTATTGTGGTATATTGTGGTATATTGTGGTATATTGTGGTATATTGTGGTATATTGTGGTATATTGTGGTATATTGTGGTATATTGTGGTATATTGTGGTATATTGTGGTATATTGTGGTATATTGTGGTGTATTGTGGTATATTGTGGTATATTGTGGTATATTGTGGTATATTGTGGTGTATTGTGGTATATTGTGGTGTATTGTGGTATATTGTGGTATATTGTGGTATATTGTGGTATATTGTGGTATATTGTGGTATATTGTGGTATATTGTGGTGTATTGTGGTATATTGTGGTGTATTGTGGTATATTGTGGTGTATTGTGGTATATTGTGGTATATTGTGGTATATTGTGGTATATTGTGGTATATTGTGGTATATTGTGGTATATTGTGGTATATTGTGGTGTATTGTGGTATATTGTGGTGTATTGTGGTATATTGTGGTGTATTGTGGTATATTGTGGTGTATTGTGGTATATTGTGGTATATTGTGGTGTATTGTGGTATATTGTGGTATATTGTGGTATATTGTGGTATATTGTGGTGTATTGTGGTATATTGTGGTGTATTGTGGTATATTGTGGTATATTGTGGTATATTGTGGTGTATTGTGGTATATTGTGGTATATTGTGGTGTATTGTGGTATATTGTGGTATATTGTGGTATATTGTGGTGTATTGTGGTATATTGTGGTATATTGTGGTGTATTGTGGTATATTGTGGTATATTGTGGTGTATTGTGGTATATTGTGGTATATTGTGGTTGTGGTCACACTGGTACCGCAGGCTGTAGTTTACACTTTGGGAAATAAACTAGTTTTTTTGTTTTGTTTGAAATTACTTTGTATTGAGTGGAAAGTGGATCAGTTCATTTATAAAGCCGTTAATTGCAAACACATTATATATACAATTGGAAAGTAAAGGAAATGAAAACATGCTGTAAGACGTTAAATCTTATTTAAATTTGAATCACGTAGGTTTTAATAAAAGACACATTGGCGCCATCTGCTGCACACGCCCATGTTCACAGCATAAACACAGTGATGTCTAAAGTAACGGTACATTTAAAGCAAGGATCTGACTTTCAAACTAAAAAAAAGAAGACAAAATCCATGTAAATTCATTGCTGGTGTGCATGATACAAAAAACCTGATTTTTCAGAGAGAAAGATGATAAAGCACTCAATCAGCTCTCACCATAAAGCATGTACTAGTATAATACATTATCACAGGGCTCTTTCCTTAGAACAAAAATAAAACGACTTCCAACGTTTGTTCACAACATGGAACTTTTACAGGACTCACAAAAGTTAGGTGCCTCAGCTTTAACATGCTTTTTTTTTAAGCTTGGTCACTTTCCCCAAAAAGCAAATGTTATGTATTTGTCATTGATGCAAATGAAAATACAATTTGTAATAACAGTAGAGAAACTGTGTCAGAGGTTTTGTAATGACAGTGAGAGTCCACCATCTCCAGTTATTGTTTGATCCTATTACTATTTTTATTGCTGTTGGACCATATTAGGACATTATAGAATCAATGTTGTAGTAGAGATCGACTTCCTGTAAGTTTAGAGATATCTTTTGCAAACTTAGGCCAAATAGAAATGCCTGAGAAAATCAAACTGTTTTAAAAGCAAATAGCTATTATTGGATTTTATCACATAGCTCCATTTCTGTGGTGTGAAAGTTAGGTACTTCAGCTTTAATGCAAGACAAAGCAAGGAAAGTCCAAGGCTGCCACGCATCAGCTCACGGGGCAGAGGCCAATCTTTAGTCTCCGTCCAAACACTCAGGACTCCGCAACAATCGAAGGAAATCCCCAAAGGGACTAAAGTTTCAAAACTCAACACTTTGTGCAGAACTTTTCACATGTGGCTTTAGCTCTGAACATCTGAGAAACTAAAGTCAACATATGTTCCAACTTCACCCCTTTTAGAATGTAAATAAACTGTTGTTCTCTCTCACTTTTGTCATAAGAATCATATGGATTATTAAACTATGTAACATACAGGAGAATGTGTTTTGACAAATGTGGATCTTATGAAGGTTTTATTGGAGGATGGTGTGAAATGTTGATAACACACTTTTATTCAATGCTCAAATGCTGCAATGGTCCAAAGGAAATGATGCAAAAGGAAGCCCTAGTGTTTGCTGGTGCTATGTCCCACACAGATAAGCAACGCACTTGCTAATTTTAAAGCCAGAGAGGGAAGGAAGTGTGACAGCAAAGTTTCCTCTATGGGAAGGTCTGAAGAAAAAACCCAGAAGCTTGTGTTGGAAAAAGTTACTCTTGGTGTCTGTCTCTGGTCTGCTGGTGTCTGTCTCTGGTCTGCTGGTGTCTGCCTCTGGTCTGCTGGTGTCTGTCTCTGGTCTGGTCTGCTGGTGTCTGTCTCTGGTCTGCTGGTGTCTGTCTCTGGTCTGCTGGTGTCTGCTGGTGTCTGTCTCTGGTCTGCTGGTGTCTGCTGGTGTCTGTCTCTGGTCTGCTGGTGTCTGTCTCTGGTCTGCTGGTGTCTGCTGGTGTCTGTCTCTGGTCTGCTGGTGTCTGTCTCTGGTCTGCTGGTGTCTGCTGGTGTCTGTCTCTGGTCTGCTGGTGTCTGTCTCTGGTCTGCTGGTGTCTGCTGGTGTCTGTCTCTGGTCTGCTGGTGTCTGTCTCTGGTCTGCTGGTGTCTGTCTCTGGTCTGCTGGTGTCTGCTGGTGTCTGTCTCTGGTCTGCTGGTGTCTGTCTCTGGTCTGCTGGTGTCTGCTGGTGTCTGTCTCTGGTCTGCTGGTGTCTGTCTCTGGTCTGCTGGTGTCTGCTGGTGTCTGTCTCTGGTCTGCTGGTGTCTGCTGGTGTCTGTCTCTGGTCTGCTGGTGTCTGCTGGTGTCTGTCTCTGGTCTGCTGGTGTCTGCTGGTGTCTGTCTCTGGTCTGCTGGTGTCTGCTGGTGTCTGTCTCTGGTCTGCTGGTGTCTGTCTCTGGTCTGCTGGTGTCTGCTGGTGTCTGTCTCTGGTCTGCTGGTGTCTGTCTCTGGTCTGCTGGTGTCTGCTGGTGTCTGTCTCTGGTCTGCTGGTGTCTGTCTCTGGTCTGCTGGTGTCTGTCTCTGGTCTGCTGGTGTCTGCTGGTGTCTGTCTCTGGTCTGCTGGTGTCTGCTGGTGTCTGTCTCTGGTCTGCTGGTGTCTGCTGTATCTTAAAGCAGTTTATGGAGGAACAATGGCAAACAATGACAGTCGTCCACTGTTGGAGTTATTCTCATCCTTTAACCAAAGTAAGTTTGTGATGTTATTATAGAAAGATATCCACAGACGCAGCTGCATCGGAAAAGTGTATAATTGTGATTTTAATCAAGCTCATGCAGCTAATATAACTTATGTTAGATGTTTTTGGTCAAAAAGATCACATTTTGGTCGTCCCAATGGAAAGAGACGTTTCATCCATTGTCTTTTTGCAAACTGAGTGGGTTTAAACGCTCTCTTCTTTTTCACTTTTCTGTCTGAAAAAGCTGATCTAAAGCTGTGAAAAGGCCAAAATACAGACATGTGATAGAACCAAACTGTTTTAAAGCGAGGATCAGATGGATGTTGTTGTTTTATCTTAAGGTTCTTCAGCTTTAGACTTGAAACCTTCCAGTCTTGTGAGCTCAGACTGAACCCACGCAGCCAACGTGACATAAGGCTTTATGTAACAAAGAGCCTGTTATAGAAATTCTGCAACAAAAAAATCAATCGTTCACTGCTAAGTTTAACACATCTGAGTATTTTTCCACATCGGAGGCACAAGACAGTTTGGCTGATCGAACTGCAGACTTTTCTTGTTAAAAAGGTTGCCAAAATAACCCCACTATTTATATATTCAATGCTTTCTATGTTGAAGTATTTTCCAAACAAAAGGTTGTCTCTGAACCACTGTGAACGCACTGTCGACTGTGGCAGAGACTACATTTTCTTAGCTTGGATCATGGTCATAAACTTTGTGATTGTAAATGCTGTCCTGAGTACCATGAAGAGAACCACAGTCTCTTCTGGGTCCAGGGGGAAAGCTCTGGACCCTCCAAGTCCTCAGCTTAAACTGAACTGAACTGGGACTGGTTTTAAACTGAAGTAAGTTTAGTCAGATTGCTTACTCACTTAAACACAAACTGAAGCCATTAAAAAACAAAACAGTCTTGATGATGAATGAGCTGGAGGACACTTGCCTCAGTATGATGTGAATGTAATCATGTAAGAAATGTTTGTAATTGTGTTAAAAGCTCTTTTAGCGACAGACATTCCAAATTAGCTTTATCTATAAATGATGCCATTAACTGTCTTGCAGGTGACATGCTGCTGGCCTTCTGTCTATCCATGCTGGTAGGACTTCTTCTTGGGGCCTTGGTCTACGTCCTGCTGACCTGGGCGTCCCGTCGCAAAGCCACCGCCAGAATCACCCGGAGACGTAAAAACAAACCCAGATCCTCCCGTTCCTCCAACCCCATGAGCGCCCAGATGGGCCTGTACCGGAGCACCTTCCTCAGCGTGTGCAGGCAGCCCTCCCTGGAGCCTGTGGGTCTGCTGGGAGCCACACCCGCTCCAGAAACCTCCACATTCAGGCCTTTGACCAAGAAGAGTCGACCCAGTCTGGACATGGGGGAGGACACGAAGGTTCTGGAGGACATGGGTTCTAACTCGGACTCATCGTCTCCTGAACCAAACAAGAGGCACTCGTTCTGGTTGGGCAGTAACGGCCTCAAAGGGTTCTTCCCGTTACAGTCGTCTCCTCCGGCCTATGACAGTGTCCTCCACGCCTTCGAGGAGACGACGGCCTGATGCAGACGTTTATCACAGACGTTTATCACAGACGTTTATCACAGACGTTTATCACAGACGTTTATCACAGACGTTTATCACAGACGTTTATCACAGACTAGCACCTGATTTACAGATGTATTAATGTCATTAACTCAGATGTATTAATGTCATTAACTCAGATGTATTAATGTCATTAACTCAGATGTATTAATGTTATTAACTCAGATGTATAATGTCATTAAATCAGATGTACAATGTCATTAACTCAGATGTATAATGTCATTAACTCAGATGTATTCATGTTATTAATTCTGTGTTAAGTGAGGAATAGAAATAGTCAAAAGCCATAGCTAATGTTGGATGTTCTTGTTAATGCACTGGTCTAACACAGCATGACTTTGTTTATGAGGGACTGGGATCAACTGTATTTCTATAACAATTGTAAATAATTTAAGTTTGTGTTTGATGTGAACAACTGTGTAAAAGGTAAATAATATAAACGAACAACATTTGTATTCCTTCATTTTGTTACCTCAGACATGTGTACAGTATCACCGCGTTAAGGTTTTTATAGCATGTTAGATCCCGTGAGACCTCTGAAGCTAAGCGGGGCAGGGCCTGGTTAGTACTGTGATGGGAGACCTCTGAACAGCAGGTGCCACAGTGGGGCGGCTGTGGCTGTAAAGTGCCAAACTGTGGTTGTGTCCTTAGGCAAGACACTTCCCCCACATTAGAATGAGTCTGGTGTGTGTGTGAATGGTTGGTGGTGGTGGGAGGGGCCGATGGCACAGACTGGTTGCCTCGTTTCTGTCAGTGTGCCCCAGGGCAGCTGTGGCTACAGTAGTAGTTTGTCATCACCGTGTTTGGAGAGAAAGAAAAATGATGTGAAGAAACTTTGAGAGTCTGAAAAGAACTGTATAAAACCAATGCATTATTATTATTATTATTATTATTATTATTATTGACAGCAGTGAAAGATACCCGAGCCCATCACACCCAGCTCTTTCGTGAGGTGGAATGGTAGAATCACCAAGTTGCAGTCTCACCATGGCCTAAGGTGCGCCTGAGCGGTTGCCAGTTCCACACAAACCCCCCTTTGAGCTTCAGTCGTATCGATTCTTTACTGAGCGATTACAGAGCACTCTAAACATCCCATTCCAATAAGCAGACCCCTGAGGCATCGGGGTGGGACGTTTCATTGATTTCTATTCCCTCATCTGCATCTTAAACTCCGGGTAAATCCGTCTTGCTGCTTCGCTCATGGCAACCCGCTGAGAGACCACATCAGACGCTCCGGAGTGCGTCCTGGCAACACGACACCTCGGACTGACGGAGGCTCCACCGCGGACAGGTACGTGCCATCTCCACTGTTATTATATACTGGATTCATTATAGTCGAAATAATGATTGGTTGAAATCTCGGGGTTGTTTCAATTGTCTTTATTTTTTTCCTTTTTTTGTCTCGTCAGCAGCGGCTCTGGACTGGTGCATGCGGGTCCAGAGCTGGCGATGCATTAGAATTAAAGAATCACCCACAGCACGGTATAGAAACGTCTGAAAGAACGGGATTTTAGTGTTTAGTTCAACCCCAGAGGCTTCTAGAGGCTGTTAGTCTGCTGTTCTTATGGTGTCTCTATTACGTCCTTTTCCAATTCATGCACCGCGTTTCTTTGACGTAGAACAAGCGCGCACGATCCGAGCGCCATGGAGACTGGAGGCTAAATCTCCAATGCACCACTGCTTTCGTTGCATAGTAACTGGTAAAAGAGAAGAGAGAGAAAAAGGCAAAATTCAAGGTTGATGCCCGTAATGACTCTGCTGCAAAACAGAGGAAGTCGGTGCGAGCTTCTGTGTTTTTTACTTGTTGAATCATGAAGACTGAAGACGACAGGGATGGATGATGAAGAGGAGTCCTAACTCTTCCTCATGTTGGTTTGATGCAGAGTGGCCTGGAGACTGATGCACTGAACCCTCTCTGCTCCACAGACACAGCAGCCATTACCCTCCTCCGTGCACGCTCTGGATGGAAACATGGACACCTTCAGACCCGCGTTTCTGACTCACCATGCCCAGGAACTATGAGGTAGGCTCCAGTGCATGCAAAGACCATGTGCAAAGACCATGTGCAAAGACCATGTGTGTTACAGTTTACAAAGCCTGGTCTGGAGTCTGCGGCCCCCCGTGGTCATCCCTGTGTCGTGGTTTAACACCAGCCTTTAGGAGAAAACAGACTATTTTTATAAATCTGAAAAACACTTATTGACAACAGAGTGTTAAAAATCAGCCCAGGGGGGTCTTCACCGCAGCGGAAAACCCAGCAGGTGCCACAGTGGGGCGGCTGCGGCTGTAAGGTGCCAAACTGTGGTTGTGTCCTTAGGCAAGACACTTCCCCCACATTAGAATGAGTCTGGTGTGTGTGTGAATGGTTGGTGGTGGGAGGGGCCAATGGCACAGACTCGTTGCTTCTGTCAGTGTGCCCCAGGGCAGCTGTGGCTGCTGCAGTAGTTTTTCCCCAGAATGTAGGGAGTAGAAGAATAATGAAATGTGAAGCGTCGCTGAGTGTCCAGAAAAGTGCTGTATAAAACCAATGCATGTCTGTTTTAAAGGGTTGTTGTGTTGCCAGTGTCAGTCCTGGATCTCAGTGAATAATGATTATTAAACACACACTGATACAAATGTTGTTAACAACAATCATCGTCTGTGTCAGTTTATTATTATTTTATATTGATCGGAGTTCGCTTGACCTCGTTTCTGTGGAGAGACAAATGCCAACAACAATTGTGAAAGGCGCTATATATAAATAAATATGTTTATTTATATATAGCGACAACAATTGAACAACATATTTCTTCAATTGTTTTGTTTTGTCTGAGTTTAGTTATTTGTTAATTTTTGTTAGTTTCACGTCACAAGCGTCGGCGCTGAATCAGCAACATTCAGATCAGGATCCATTTTAATTAGCTTTTATTATTATTTTCCTTTATATTGTTCATATTTCTTGTGATTTTCTTGTGTGATTTCAACCCTGTGGGATTTTAATTGTATTATTAATGTTTATATAGATTTAAATGTTTATGATTTCTGTTTATGATGATGTGTGTGTGAGCTGCTTTGTGTTGCTTTGTGAAGGAAAGGCGCTGTACAAATAAAAGTTGATTGATTATTAGAGAATATCCCTAATATCAGCAGATACTAAGCACCTGTATAATAATATTTGAACCTTTGAATGAAAACAATTATAAACATTTGATCAGTTCTTTCCAGGAATAAACAATAAACTGTGTGACTTTAATACAATCTTTGAGTTTCCTTGTGTATGAATTGTGCTGTACAAATAAACTACAAAGGTGATTGTGGCGCTCTGTTGCAGCCTGCAGCGTCAGTAGGATGTTAAAGAAGGCGACTGTGGCGCTCTGTTGCAGCCTGCAGCGTCAGTAGGATGTTAAAGAATGTGATTGTGTTGCTCTGTTGCAGCTGCAGCGTCAGTAGGATGTTAAAGAAAGTGATTGTGGCGCTCTGTTGCAGCCTCCAGCGTCAGTAGGATGTTAAAGAAGGTGATTGTGGCGCTCTGTTGCAGCTGCAGCGTCAGTAGGATGTTAAAGAAGGTGATTGTGGCGCTCTGTTGCAGCCTGCAGCGTCAGTAGGATGTTAAAGAAGGTGATTGTGACGCTCTGTTGCAGCCTGCAGCGTCAGTAGGATGTTAAAGAAGGTGATTGGCGTGTGCGCTCTGTTGCAGCTGCAGGTCAGTAGGATGTTAAAGAAGGCGACTGTGGCGCTCTGTTGCAGCCTGCAGCGTCAGTAGGATGTTAAAGAAGGTGATTGTGGCGCTCTGTTGCAGCTGCAGCGTCAGTAGGATGTTAAAGAAGGTGATTGTGGCGCTCTGTTGCAGCTGCAGCGTCAGTAGGATGTTAAAGAAGGTGATTGTGTTGCTCTGTTGCAGCCTGCAGCGTCAGTAGGATGTTAAAGAAGGTGACTGTGGCGCTCTGTTGCAGCTGCAGCGTCAGTAGGATGTTAAAGAAGGTGATTGTGGCGCTCTGTTGCAGCTGCAGCGTCAGTAGGATGTTAAAGAAGGCGACTGTGGCGCTCTGTTGCAGCCTCCAGCGTCAGTAGGATGTTAAAGAAGGTGACTGTGGCGCTCTGTTGCAGCCTCCAGCGTCAGTAGGATGTTAAAGAAGGTGATTGTGGCGCTCTGTTGCAGCCTGCAGCGTCAGTAGGATGTTAAAGAAGGTGATTGTGACGCTCTGTTGCAGCCTGCAGCGTCAGTAGGATGTTAAAGAAGGTGATTGTGGCGCTCTGTTGCAGCTGCAGCGTCAGTAGGATGTTAAAGAAGGTGACTGTGGCGCTCTGTTGCAGCTGCAGCGTCAGTAGGATGTTAAAGAAGGTGATTGTGGCGTTCTGTTGCAGCCTGCAGCGTCAGTAGGATGTTAAAGAAGGTGATTGTGACGCTCTGTTGCAGCCTGCAGCGTCAGTAGGATGTTAAAGAAGGTGACTGTTGCTCTGTTGCAGCCTGCAGCGTCAGTAGGATGTTAAAGAAGGTGATTGTGGCGCTCTGTTGCAGCCTGCAGCGTCAGTAGGATGTTAAAGAAGGTGATTGTGGCGCTCTGTTGCAGCTGCAGCGTCAGTAGGATGTTAAAGAAGGTGACTGTGGCGCTCTGTTGCAGCCTGCAGCGTCAGTAGGATGTTAAAGAAGGTGATTGTGTTGCTCTGTTGCAGCCTGCAGCGTCAGTAGGATGTTAAAGAAGGTGACTGTTGCTCTGTTGCAGCCTGCAGCGTCAGTAGGATGTTAAAGAAGGCGACTGTGGCGCTCTGTTGCAGCCTCCAGCGTCAGTAGGATGTTAAAGAAGGTGATTGTGGCGCTCTGTTGCAGCTGCAGCGTCAGTAGGATGTTAAAGAAGGTGATTGTGGCGCTCTGTTGCAGCTGCAGCGTCAGTAGGATGTTAAAGAAGGTGATTGTGTTGCTCTGTTGCAGCCTGCAGCGTCAGTAGGATGTTAAAGAAGGTGACTGTGGCGCTCTGTTGCAGCTGCAGCGTCAGTAGGATGTTAAAGAAGGTGATTGTGGCGCTCTGTTGCAGCCTGCAGCGTCAGTAGGATGTTAAAGAAGGTGATTGTGGCGCTCTGTTGCAGCCTGCAGCGTCAGTAGGATGTTAAAGAAGGTGACTGTTGCTCTGTTGCAGCCTGCAGCGTCAGTAGGATGTTAAAGAAGGTGACTGTTGCTCTGTTGCAGCCTGCAGCGTCAGTAGGATGTTAAAGAAGGTGACTGTTGCTCTGTTGCAGCCTGCAGCGTCAGTAGGATGTTAAAGAAGGTGACTGTTGCTCTGTTGCAGCCTGCAGCGTCAGTAGGGATGTTGGCTGCCGTGGAACATGGACCGATTCTCTGCAGCGACTCCAACATCCTGTGCCTGTCGTGGAAAGGCCGCGTCCCGAAGAGCGAGAAGGACAAACCCGTGTGCCGCCGCAGGTACTACGAGGAAGGATGGCTGGCCACGGGCAACGGGAGGGGGGTCGTGGGCGTCACCTTCACCTCCAGCCACTGCAGACGGGACAGGAGCACCCCCCAGAGGATCAACTTCAACCTGCGCGGCCACAACAGTGAAGTGAGTCTGAACTTTGACATAAACCAACTCCAGACGTTTATAAGTGAACACATCTTTTAGACCATAAGACCTTCCATCATGAGAGTCAAAGTCAAGGCCTGGGAGCCAGATCCGGCCCACTAAGGACTGATCTCGGTCCCGGGATGATATTAGATTAGTATTAGAACTGGCCGCACTGAGACTAAAGAAAATATTGGATTATTAATTTAATCATTAAATAAAATACGGTCTTGGTTCAATAGGTTGTATGCAACTATTTAAATAAGTTTTAATAAATATTGAAACAATGTTTCTTTGGCCTCTGATGTATTTGACTTTGACGTCTCTGCTCTCCATTAAAGACCCGTTTCATTATAAATATAATAAAAGCAGTGGACCCCAGAATCCTGTGGGGGCGGGACTAACTAGCTTCACTTCTTCACATACGTAAAGATTTAAAGTGCAGGTCACTTTTAATCTTATCTGTGGTACCTTTTCAGAACAACATGATGACATTTTCCTCCAAAATGTTCGGATGTAAAAGAAAAAAAAGTGATCTCACCTGTAACTTTTCCTTTGCCGAAACATTACCTGTGAATGAATGCACTTTGCTAACACTTAATGAAACTTCAGTAATGCAAGAGTTAGAGAATGGGCTCTGTCAGACTCTATATGGATTAGTTTGTGCTGATTTAAGGCCCATATGTAACTTTCTGTGTTTGATCTAAATGATTCCTTCCTCATGAATGAGTTGTTTCCAGGTGGTCTTGGTGCGATGGAATGAGCCGTTCCAAAAGCTGGCGACGTGCGACATGGAGGGAGGGATCTTTGTGTGGATCCAGTACGAAGGACGATGGTCTGTGGAGCTGGTGAATGACAGAGGAGCACAGGTACAACCCTCACCGTCATCTGGAGCTCAAACTACACTTCTGCGGATTCCATAGATTAAGATTAAGATTAAGATTAAGATTAAGATTAGGAGATCCATTATCCGTGCCACAGTTGGGAAATTTCAATGTTGCTTTTATACAAGTTACAGAACAGTAGGAAAGAGGAGCACACAGCACAAGATAAATGAACAATAGCTATACTTAATAAAATAAAACAAAATCTTTCACTCTAGCTTCAAAGAACAAGTATAACACCTCTTGAAAATAATAATATTAAAGAAGTATAAAAGTTCTAGTTTAGCGGCATAAGAGTGGGTCAGATGTAGACAGATGTATGACAGAGTATACATTATTATTAATTATTATTATACATATTTAACAAGTCCTGGGAACTGTTCCAACACAAAAGCTGAAAGAAGGAACTGAAATAGAAATGTCGTCCAGACTGAAGTGACTGTTCCGTCTATTTGTGTTTGCAGTTTTTTCCAAGTGTGACCCAGTTTTATCAGAGAATTATATAATTAAGTTTGAAAATAGTGTTTTGATAAAGGAGCCTATTTATAACCACATTACTTTTCATAAATATAGGACACACTGATCAAAATGTCACAAAAATGGATCGTTAGTATTTCTCATGATGGAAGAGGATGCTGGGGACAGAATCGGGCCGGAGCCATCGGGTACTTCTGAAATCCAGGAATCTACTGATTATTGTCTGTAATTGTTTGTAATTGTTCTTAATTCATAAGGACTGGTTTCACATTGTTTTCAGGCCTTAGATTAGATTAGATTAGATTAGAGTAGATTATATAAAGCCTTAGACTGATTACTCGATTCAGCCTTTGAAAGTTTTATTAAAGATGACATTGAAATGTGCACCATGTAACTCATGGATGGCTGAGTGGTTAGCACTCTGGCTTCTCAGCAAGAAAGTCCTGGGTTCAAATCCCGGTCGGAACAGGACCTTTCTGGGTGGAGTTTGCATGTTCTTCCCGTGTCTGCGTAGGTTTCCTCCGGGTGCTCAGTTTTCCCGTATCACTAAAAACACATACAAAAGTAAAATCCTCCAGCTCCGGTCATAACCCAGACCAATAACTGATGATGGGTTCCTGGGCGCTGTTACTACGGCGACCAGTGCCCCATGACGAAAGCCTTAGCGGCATCAGGGTCCGGGTCAAATGCAGAGGAAGTGCACTATTTTTATTGTTTATGTAAGTTACGGTTGTCCTTCTTGCTGAGAAGGTCCTGAGTTGTATTGTGGTCGGAACAGGGTCTTTCCGACTGGAGTTTGCATGTCACACTGGGGACTTTTGCACATGTATTCCAATGTGGTTTTACTGCAAATGGCAAATACAATGAATGTGAATGTCTAGGTGAGCGACTTCACCTGGTCACATGACGGGACTCAGGCTCTGATCGCCTACAGAGACGGCTTCGTGCTGGTGGGATCTGTCAGTGGGCAGAGACACTGGTCGTCTGAAATCAACTTAGAGAGTCAAATCACTTGTGGCATATGGACCCCTGATGATCAGCAGGTACTGCACAGCTGCACTACGATACCAACACCACCCAATATTCTAGTTTTAACAGCCTCGGTACAGTCTTTGTAAAGTCACCGTTTATGACCGCTTTGCACAGGTGTTGTTCGGCACCGCAGATGGCCAGGTGATTGTGATGGACTGTCACGGCCGGATGTTGGCTCATGTTTTGCTGCACGAGTCGGACGGCATCGTGAGCATGTCCTGGAACTGCCCTGACTTCCTGGTGGAGGACAGCACTGAGAGCGACACTGACTCTGATGACAGTATTCTGCCCATCGGTAAATGCACACGCACATTCTGCAACTATCGTGAAATTAGATTCAGCACCTCTGTCTCATTTTGGATCAATAACAGCAAAATAAAATGTCCATAATATTCCATATCAGACAAAGGTGTTACATTATACGGTATAATACAGAGCTCCCTAAAACCCAATCACCTCACTGCTGTATCTGTTTGTTCTCACAGCACAGATGGGTTCATTTATACATGAATGGACTTGTTTGTTTTGAAATCAGAGCATGTTCCCTAAAAAGCAAAAGACTCTGCAGTTCTTCACTAAATGCCACGACATTTCATTGATTGTTATTGTTTTTCATTTTACAGCACGAAGAGTCAAACCTTTGTTGACAGTCACTTTTTTATCCGGAGATATTAGTTTAATGAACAACTATGATGACTTATCCCCTGCTATAATTCGCTCTGGGCTAAAAGGTAGGTTTCATTGTATCTTATCTTATTGTTATTGTGCAAGTGCAATACAAAGTTGTGTTTGTGCAGATGTAGAGGCCCAGTGGTGTTCTCAGGGAGACCTCTTGGCTGTGGCTGGGATGGAGAGACACATCCCCTCAGATACAGCGTGTGCATCAATCATGAGGAACGCACTGGTTAAATTTTACAATGTCCAAGGAGAGCACATCTACACGCTGGAGACCCCGGCACAGGCAAGTACATCACACAATGTCAGCCTCAAGAGGGAGTCATACTCATGATGTCGTCTGATACCCGAGCCCCAACCCCAGGCCTGGTCCAGGGTGGGGCCCGAGCTGCGCCAAACCCGGAGACGTTGTGCTCTTTGTGTCGTGCGACCCATGGTGGGTTTTAGACTGTGCTTCGCCTGACACGTCACCCAAGACCTGTGTACCATGGGAGGCCCAACCAGGGGCATGAAGACCTGTGTACCATGGGAGGCCCTACCAGGGGCATGAAGACCTGTGTACCATGGGAGGCCCTACCAGGGGCATAAAGACCTGTGTACCATGGGAGGCCCTACCAGGGGCATAAAGACCTGTGTACCATGGGAGGCCCTACCAGGGGCATAAAGACCTGTGTCACAGACAAAAGTCAATAAATGTACGATACACTTGAAATAATTACCCTTTTTTTAATATGAAGGTAAATTCAAAAGTCCCAAATGCTCCTCTTGTCAAGAGCATGGTCTCCACTGACAGTACCTCAGTTCTTGGAAGAATTCTACCCAGCACAGTCTCAAGAAGACCCAACAATTCCGGCCTCTTGAACATTACACCACAGCGGGGTCCTCAATCTGGAACACTGTCCGAACTCCTCAGGTGATTCCATCTGCACACACTTGTACTGGAACATCGCTCCACAGCTTCAATCCAGCCACTCTTTGCAACCACCGGACTCCGCTGCAATCTTCAGCCTCAACCGGCTAAAGTCATAAAAAAAGGTTCTGCAAGCCAAAACAGTTCCAGCTCCTTTCACAGTCGAGCTCTACACCAGATGCCATCCGATCAGCAGGGGACATCTCTGCGAACTCCGCACCTCTGGCTGGTGATCAAAATCTTCCTCCCTTTTTTGTTCCTCATTGTGTTGACTTCCATTGGGGTGTTGTGTTGTCTCTCCTGTTCTCCTTCTGCCTCTCACTGGCCTGGATCCCACCACTGCCACCATATGTGGGGAAGCTGGCCCGAGAGTCAAAATGAGACGGCAGAACGCGTATTAAAATTGATAAAACAGGAGATTTATTTTGCACAAGCAAAACTCCCCCTGACGAGGTTCACCTGGAGGCTTTTATCATTGTGGCTCCGCCCACATGGGTTTGCCCACAAAACAAAATGGCTGTCCGAGACACACCCTCTTCAACAGGTAAAACATTCAATAAAAGTGGCATTAAACTTGCCTGCTTTGTCACACCCCACCACGTTACGGACCTGGACTGTTACTTAAAACCTGTGCACTAGTCTCATGAAGCGAGATGTTGAATAATGAGCTTTGGTCCAGACAGGGTCAGATCTAGCCTGGTCGTACCACACCATAGTACAAATTAAATTTCATACTAAGGTCTGGAGGTGCTCCATTGAGCTCCGTTTACAGATAGGAGGGGTTAACTCCTTTTGCAGATTGAAACCATTGGATCTGAGTTTACCGTGACGTATGTAATGAGCCCGAGTGAGTCGTTAGCATTTAGCCTAGTCATCTCCTTTGCCGCTAACGGAGCCCGTGGGGAGCAGCACCACAATTTTTTCTGGCGATTACATTTGCTAAACATTCCTCTTGCTCCGGCTTCAATTTCTTGATAGAACCAGACCGGATTACTTTACTATCGCATTTTTTGCCATCGCCAAACTACAACCTGCCCGTTCGACGCAAACTCTTGACATCACCCACAACTAACTACAACACCCGCCTCCCGCGCTCGCTGGTTGGTCGGTCAAAATTCAACCGATTGTAATCGCTAACCCAGGGACCAGACCCAGATGTCACATGCAGTGAAATGATGATTGAGCGGAGAGTACGGATGGATAAGGCCAGGCTTGTTCAGATCTTCTTTTGGGCTGAACCCTAGTTTGTTTCTGTCCTCTTCCTGCACCTGGTCCTGAAGCAGACATAGACTCCAGACAGAAGAACACTGATCCAGGGAAAGGAACCAGAGCTCAGCCCCGCCCTCTGAGATCCACTATTCACACAAAATGTTCATGAAAATGATGTTACATTTTGTATCAATCTCTTGTTCTATATTTCCTTGCAGAGGCCCATCACCACCATCTGCTGGGGTCATCGGGACTCACGACTGTTTCTTGCCTGTGGTCCAGCTCTGTACGTGGTCAGAGTGGAGCACCGTGTGGCCAGTCTGCAGCTCTTGTGCCAGCAGGGCATCGCGAGTGCTCTGAGAGAGGAGAAGGACGTGGGCAAACTCAACATGCCCTCACTGCTCTGCTCCTATGTCACCACAGCTTTCATCCCAACCATTAAAGTATATCTCTGACTATTTTTAACAGCTATCCCGGGTTAACACTGCCATTCTTGCTTCCTGTCTTGCATCTTTTTTATCACTCTGAAAGTGTAAAAATAGTGTAAAATCATGGTAGCTTTTATTTGCTAAATCATTGTGAACAACACATTATACCAGTGCTATTATTAGTTTGAACATGTGCTAAACTCGCTTTGTGGTCTTTGGAGGTCTTTTATCTCGGGCAGACAGAAACAGCACCTCCGACCTAGAGCTTCATTTATTAACTATGTGCAAAAGTAATTAAAACCCTTTCAAATTGGATCAAACTTATTTATCATGCACATGTCTTATTGAACCACACTATTTTAAATGATGCCCTTTGTCCTTTACTTTGCAGCCCCCAATTCCTGACCCTAACAACATCCGGGACTTTGTGAGCTACCCCACCTCTGGGAACGAACGCCTCCACTGCACCATGAAGCGGGCCGAGGACAGTCCTGAGGCTGGGGGGCCCTGCTACACCCTGTACCTGGAGTATCTGGGTGGACTGGTGCCAATCCTCAAAGGAAGACGCATAAGTAAACTCCGGCCAGAGTTTGTTATTATGGATCCTAAGACTGATAGTAAAGCAGGTGGGTACAAGTTTGCATACATTCTGCTAAAGGAACACTTCCATCCATCCATTTTCTTCCGCTTCATCCGTTGCCGGGTTGTGGGGGCCGCAGTCTAAGCAGAAACGGCCAGACTTCCCTATCCACACACACTTCCTCCAGCTCGTCCGGGGGGACCCCAAGGCGTTCCCAGGCCAGCTGAGAGACACAGTGCCTCTGTCTCCTGGGTCTTCCCCGGACACAGGAACACCCAGAACACCTCCTCAGGGAGGCGTCCAGGAGTCATCCGGAACAGATGAGTTTCCCTCTCTCTAAGGGAGCAGCCACTCTGTGGAGGAAGCTCATTTCGACCGCTTGTATCCGCGATCTCGTTCTTTCGGTCATTACCCAAAGCTCATGACCATAGGTGAGGGAGGGAACGAAGATTGACCACTAAATCTTTGTTTATCGGTCACCACAACAGTGAGAGACTTGTCCCTCTTCACCACATCGGTCTGATACAACTCTGACCGCAGACGTTGCTCCCTCTTCACCACAACGGTCTGATACAGCTCTAACTGCAGACGCTGCTCCCTCTTCAGCACAACGGTCTGATACAGCTCTAACTGCAGACGCTGCTCCCTCTTCAGCACAACGGTCTGATACAGCAACAGCATCACTGCGCACCGCTCCTTTTCGAACCAGGTATGGGTTATTTGTCTGTTATATTGATATACAGTATGTAAAACTACAGTATGCATTGTGCAGGTTCAAAATAAATAACTACAAATATCCGTAACATTGCTCAGCATGCACAGCTGGGGCCCTACCCTGAAGCCAGGACTGTTGGCCGGGCCTTTCAACCCGAAAGGACAATGTAGGCCTGCCCTCCTGTGGGCTCACCCCCCGCAGAGGTCGCGTCCCTCCGCCTCAGGGTGGGGTAAAAGTCTCTCACTGTTGTGACAGCCTATGGACGTAACAGCAGTGCAAAGCACTCGGCCTTCTTGGAGTCCTTGGGAGGGGTACTGGATGCCAGTGACACTTGAAGAGGGGTGATCGGGAAGAATGACCCCCCTGATCTGAACCATAGCGGTGATGAGTTATTGGACTTCTGTGCTAGACACAGATTGTCCATCAAGAAAACTACAGTATGTTTGAGCTCAACGGTGGACACCGAACTGGGGCTAAAGCGAGGGGTGGAGCTGTCAACCGAACACTACCTAGTTGTGAGTAGGATCGGCTGACGGGAGAGGAAGCCGGTCCTACTTTGAGGCTCTCCTCAATCCAGCCTCCTTGGTGACAAGGCTATGAGAGTGGATGAGGTCCGTCCTGACTCTAAAGTCTCTGGATGTTGTAGGACTGTCGCTGCAGCATCGTGTGGAGCTATGGGCGGTGCCGATGGAGTGGTAGACCGGGATGGTGGTCAGTAAGGTCTACTCCAAGGTTCTGGAGAGGAGATTTTGACCGATGTTCGACTCTCATATCCAAGTGGAGCAGTGGCGGAACACTGCACCAGCTCTATACTCTCCATCGGATACTCAAGGATCATGAGTTCGCCTCAGTCCACGTGTTTTTAGGATTTGGAGAAGGTGTTTGACCGTGTTTCCCTGGTCTCCTTGGGGTCCTTCACCGGTTCTGTTCACTGTTTTTTATCATAATTTGTAGGCACCTGCAACATGCACTGGGACGGTTTACAACAAATGAGAATCAGCACCTCCAAATCTGAGGCCATGGTGCTCGACCGGAAATAGGTGCCTTGCCCCCTACAGATGGGTGAAGAGGTCCTTCCTCAAGTGGAGTTGTTCAGGTATCTCAAGGTCTTGTTCACGGACATGTGCCACCAGAAAAAGTCCTGGGAAGACCCAGGACACGTTGGAGGGACAATGCATCAGAATCCCCCAGATGAGCTGTTGGAGTGTGTGTGGAGAGGGAAGTCTAGACTGCGATCCGGCAATGAATAAAGTAGAAGAAAATGGATGGATGGTTGGATATTAGAATAATAGGTGTTTGGATTTTAAGCCATAGTCCCCGACCCCTTATTGACGGCTAGCACATCACAAGATCGGACCCTAAATCATGTTGTTTCTTTGTTGTGCTTTGTCTCTCCAGATGACGTGTGTGTGAATCCCATTGCCTTCAGTGACAGCTGTAACTGCTCTGACTCCAGTGATATTGAGCTGAGTGATGAGTGGGTCAGCAAAAAGTCACCCAAGTTATCACGAGGGCACAGGTTAGACAAGTTTCATTCTACCAACAATGTTTTCTCATTCCAACAAAGTTAGATGTTTTCCAAAACATTGGATTTTGTTTTTATTTTTACAGAATTAATTTGGAATCCAGAAAGTCTCCAAAACTATCACGAGCCAATCAGGAAGGTCAGAGGTCTCCGCGGTTACCCACAAAAAAGCCCCCTGTTCGCTCTCCGAGTCTGACGAGAAGAGAGATGTTTATGGAAGGACTCACAGAAGTAAATGGTTTTCACAAAGTATTACATGGTTTTAGAACTATGGAATAGCAATATTATTATCTATTAGAAATACAATATATATAATATAATATTAATGATTGTTTTCACATTTTTACAGCACAATTACCTAGCTCAAGTCACATCTAATATTTGGGGAACAAAGTTCAAAATTGTTGGCCTTGCTTCTTTTCTACCCACAAATCTTGGTGCAGGTAATTCTAAATAAAACAATTGCATCAGTCTTTTTAAATATGGCACTGATAGATATCTCTAACGTATCATTACAGTTGTCTATAAGACCAGCTTGCTTCATTTGCAACCGAGACAGATGACAATCTACCTTCCTGAAGTGAGGAAGATTTCTCATGACTTCATGAGTCTCCCTGTGTTCAATCCCAATGTTTTCAGTGAAGATGAAGATGACTTACCCGGTGAGAAATTATATTTTCACTTATTTGCATTAAAAGTGTGTAGGTAAACACTCACCTCATGCAGCTTAAAACAAACACATTATATAAGTATTTGGAACAGAATTTGTGTTTGAATTGGTTTGTGCTCCATTGTTTCTCCTTTCTCCTTAGTGATGGGTCCTTCTGGTGTGGCTGGAGACAATCCTCCTTGTACTGTCAATATTCCCATTGCTCCCATTCACAGTCCTGCTCAGGCCATGTCTCCTACTCAAAGCATCGGCCTGGTGCAGTCTCTCCTGGCCAATCAGAACATCCAGCTGGACGTCCTGACTAACCCCACAGCCAACGCAGCAGCAGCAGCCGCAGCTGCTGCAGCATCTGTCCCAGTAAGCGACCAAAGCCAAGATACAATCCAGTCTCCATATCCTGCAACATCCAGATACTCAAACTCCAACCAGGTGATGTTCAGCGGACTGGATTTGGGGGCACTTTTACCTGGAGCATTGCCCCCTCTGCCTCCTCCTCACCATCTACCGCCTCAGCCACAAAGACAAAGCCACTCGCAGCCTCCACGCCAACCTCCACCCAAAGCATCTCAACAAGGGCAGAGGATGCACCACCAACACCAACAGCTTCAACAACAGCAACTTCACCAACACCAACAGCTTCAACAACACCAACAGCAACAACAACACCAACAGCTTCAACAACAGCAACTTCACCAACACCAACAGCAACAACAACACCAACAGCTTCAACAACAACAGCAACTTCACCAACACCAACAGCTTCAACAACACCAACAGCAACTTCAACAACAACAACAGCTTCAACAACACCAACAGCATCTTCAACAACAACAACAACAACAACTTCACCAACAACAACAGCTTCAACAACACCAACAGCAACTTCAACAACATCAACAACAGCAACTTCAACAACACCAACAGCAACAGCTCCAACACCAACAACAGCAACTTCACCAACACCAACAGCTTCAGCAACAGCAACAACAGCAGCTTCATCAACAGCTCCAGCAGAACCAACAACAACTTCAGCAACACCAACAACTTCAACTTCAGTCCCAGTCACAGCATGTTCCATCGCTGCAGCAGGCCCCACCGCCATCACCTCAAACTATTCAGCAACAGCAACAACTTCAGCAGCAGCAACAACAGATCCGACAGCAGATTCAGGAAATGAGACATCAACAAGCTCAGTTACAACAGCAGCATCAGCAAATCCAACAGCACCATCAACAAATGCAGAGGCAACACCAACAAATGCAACAACAGCTCAAAATGCAAATGCACCTTCCTCCCCCGCCCACAGGATATCCGACCATCTCCTTACAGCAAATCCACCATCTTTTACCACAAATGCCTCCCCCCTCCAGTGAACCGGGACTGGATAGGGTGGAGCATGGAAATACCTTAAAGTCGACTCTACCACGGTCGCTCCCTCCTTCATTCAGTGATTCAGAAGGCAGTGTAGAGATTCATATGAGAAAAGCAAACCCACCCCCGCCCTATCCGGGTACAGTTGTGTCGGTTGCAGCTACTGTTACAAATACGCCGCAGACGATAGTAACAAATTGTGATAGCCCTAGCATCTTGGAGCCAGATCCTTGCCTCAAGAAGGATGATTTCTTGCTTCACCCTGTTACCTTACAATACCCAACTCCTCTCGGATATGAACGGATTACCACTTTTGATAGTAGTGGTAATGTTGAAGAAGTCTGTAGACCACGAAGAAGACTTATTCGCAACCAAAATGCTTACGCAGTTCATGGCATTGGAGGGTCTGCTACGCTCAAAGTAACGTCATCCGAGAATAAGAAAATACAACTTCCCTACAGTTCGGCCACTTTGAGTCGCCTGTCTGTCCCAAGATACTCCATACCAAGTGGAGATCCACCACCTTATCCAGATCCAGCCAATCAGGTCACTGCAACTCTGCCTCCTCCCCAGAGAATTGATAGCAGTCTGATTCACGCCACACTTAGACGCGACCGAAGGGATGTTAGTCTTAAAGTTCCCCAGATGATGGAAAGCTCTAGAACTCTTCCTACAAAAGCCAAAATGAATAGTGCATTAAGTAGCCTCAGCTACCAACAGAGGTTGCCGACTGCGCTATATACATGCACCCAGTGTAGCAGTAACAGCAGTAGCACCAGTGTAAGTGTCACAGGTGGAGGGACATCCAGTAGTGGAATAGCTGGTGGAACAGTGGTAAGACAGGAGTTTCCACCAAGCAAGGGCCCACATCATAGCACCATAATTGTTCATTCAAAAAGTGCCTCGCCATTGGCTTCACAATCCTCATACAACTTGCTTGGCGCTGTGGAAAATAGCAGGGACAGGACTGTTTATGTGAACTCAGCCTTTACTGAGGACGAAACAATGAGTCAGCATTGTCATCTTGAAAAACCGTTGCGTCAGTTGAACCTCGGTGACGTTAACTTGACATTAAAACGTCCTCCACCTTATCAATGGGATTCTTCGGCTAATGAGGACTTCTGGATAACTCCAGAACAGACCATGCTTGGGCCGCCCCCTGCCCCGCACAAGCCACCTCCACTCATAATTAGCCAAGCTCAGCATTTAGACGTCAGTCGGTTGCCTTTTGTTCTCACCACTAAGCCTCCACTTAGTCCAAGTACAACCACTCTTACATTTCCATCTGGTTACCAAATTGCACTTTCCCCCTTTCCGCCGAATGTAAGTCACAGCGGGCCAACTTTGCAGGCGCTACAAGCTGGAACAAATCCAAATGATTTAATTGGTCAATCCCCATTTGCTCAACAAGATCAAAATTTGGTACTACCACCTGGTTATCCTACAAATTTGGCAAGCTTGGCGTGCTGTCCACTGCCTCCAATGTACCCAGGGGCAAGCTCTTGTGCTGGACTGCAACTCCATCCAGTCAGCCTCCATCCGTGGAACCCTTATCCATGCCCACCACCTATGCAGGACCCTCCAGCACCCCCACTTCCTACTAAAACTCACCAAATACTGGAAAAGCCTATTCTTTCACCACCTCCACCAACTGCTCCTCCCCCACCACCACCTTTGCCTCCACCTCCCCCGCCTACTGAGCTACCGCCTTCAAAAAGCACAGGCGAAGATCTTACAGAGGCCGCAAATAACTTTCCTGAACCTTCTTCGTTAAATGAAAGCCCAGTCCCTCAAGAGTCCGAGCGCTTCAGCAAAAAGAGTCGCAAAAGGTTGGATAGCAGAGCAGAAGATGTTCCAACTGTGTCTGAGGGAAAATCAAGAAAGGAAGGACGTTCACTTTCAGATTTTAATAGTTTGATGTCGAGTCCAAGGCACGGAAGTAGGGAAAAGAAGAAGCCTAAAGGACAAAAGGAGCAATTGAACAAACCTAAAAAAATCAGCAGGGCAACAAATGAATTTCAAGATAGTTCAGAGAGTGAGCCAGAGTTGTTTATAAATGGAGATGAACTTATGAACCAAAATCAGAGTAGTAAAAAGAGCTGGAAAAACAAGCGCAGTATGAGGATGGCAAGTGAGCTGGAAGAGATCAAATGTCGTAAGGCAAATGAAAGAGAAGACAGAAGTTTGGGGAGCCAAGGGTTTGTCTATGTCATGGCCAATAAGCAGCCGCTGTGGAACGAAGCAACACAAGTCTATCAGCTAGACTTTGGAGGACGGGTCACACAGGAGTCTGCAAAAAACTTCCAGATCGAATTGGATGGTAGACAAGTAAGTAATGGTAGTAAATAGCACATAGTAACACATACAGTAACTGTCAAGCGTTATTCGAGGATTTCATTTAACACAAGAGCACATAAACACACTCTTATGCAGAAAAACCCAGACGCGACGGCCCGCTAGCTTAAATAGTCCGGGTTACCCACAGACCATTCCAGATACGCACATAGACTGACTCATCTTTGCAAACAGCTCAACAAAAAATCAACTTCTCTCAGCTTCTGGCCATGTTATACATGTTCAGAGCTGTTTTTAGCTTGATTCATGCATGTTTGAGTTATTTATGGGCGCCATTGCTCTCCCCTCAGTCCTCTGCCTATGGCCACCCTGACCCTCCATTTGTTTTTACTCACTTTCTCTGGCAATTTTCTTTGCTAAATCTGTGATAACGTATTATCACAACACAACTTGTCACGTTTCACTGACATGTCATCGAAGGGGCGGGCTACGCAACTTCTTAATTCTATGAAATAGTTTCAGCTCAATCCAAACCTTTCACATGAATCGCATTTTAATAAAGAGCTGAGGGGTTCATATGATCATTTTATCAAGAACAGTTGTTATTTATTCTTTGTTTGTATCTAGGGATGTACCGATAATGGTATCTGGGCACTTGTACTCGTTCTCATACCAAAGAACCTGATCTGGGAAATCCATACCCACATTTTTAACTTACATTAGTGTCACGACAGCAGAAATCTGTTTTGTCATGAAGCTCTCCCAAAGTCTGCAGCGAGAAAGCGGATGTCGGCCGAGTGTCAGTGTTTTTAAGTAAACAAGTGACAAGAGTAAAGCGGACTGTACTTTATGTAAACGAGGTCCAAAACAAACACTAACACTAGAAACTGGATCAAACATCTGAAAACTCACCACCACAGAGCATAGCACCGGAGCGGAGCTAGCACCGGAGCTAGCACCAAAGCTAGCACCGGAGCTAGCCCTGGAGCTAGCACCAGAGCTAGCACCGGAGCTAGCATCGAAGCTAGCATCGGATCACAACAACAACCAACTCTACCACATTTATATGAGTGGAATATGACAGTGGCTCTTTTTGTTAACTGTTCAACTAATCGCTAAAATGTTTAATTGTTAAAGCATTTTGTCAATGTTGAAATAAGAATTAATCATAAACTTCAGTTGTATTAGTATGAAATCCCAGAGATAACACAATGTACTCGTATCAGTATTCGGTGTTGGCAAGTACTCTCACTAAGGTACTCGGTTTTGAAGATAGTGGTATCAGTGCATCGTATTAGGATCCTTTACGTCCTCTTTACTTCTCTTAAAATCTGCTGGATCTTTATTTATTTATTTTTATTTAGTGACTCAACAAATACACGTCAAACAAGAATCTGTAAACATACATTTATAATCCCCGACCTCCACACTCCTTCTGTAACATTGTTTTATTTTGCAGGTGATGCAATTTGGAAGGATCGACGGAAACGCCTACATTTTGGATTTTCAGTATCCCTTTTCAGCAGTGCAGGCCTTCGCTGTGGCTTTGGCCAACGTGACTCAGAGGCTGAAGTGAAAGAAGCTTCAGAAACATTCACAGACCTGTAGATCTTGAATAAGGTTTGTCGTGCCTCGGGAAAGTCGGGGTTAAGAGTCTGTACTTACCTGGTGTCTCATCTACTGCTCACATTTACAAAGCAGTAGGTTCATTCACATTATTTTATTTTATTATTTCTTGTGGCCTTCACAAATTGCCAGGAAGAAATTGTGTAGAGACTGGAGCGGCTTAGCTTTGTTAGCTGTTGCACCAAAGACATACTATAGATTAGAAGGTTAATCATGTTAATACCATGAATAATATATCTTTAATATGCACTTTGTTAGGGAATAGCAACGAGCCCATAGCAACATGATAAAAACATTATTTAGGAAGTTTTAGATTAATAATGTTCCTGAAACTATTGTATATTGTGATCAAAATAAATGATCATTTTACATGACACATGTTTATAATGGTTTAAATGTGTTTTAAAGTACAGTGGAAGGATGTACTGAGGAGATCGACACATTATTAGCCATAACATATTTGTTATTTGTTTTACCATGAATCTCTCTTTGGTTTTTTGTTCTATAAACGTGTCCTTTATGGCCCAGAGCCTTTCAGAAACTCCAGAGTATGCAGTTTATTTAATCTTTTTTGTAAATGCTTGTTTACTTTTCTTTTGTCATTATCTTTTTGACACAACTAAAATGCATCGAATGTGAAATTGTCTGTTTGCTGCTTTCTGCTTTAGCACTTGTTCTGTAGGACTGATGTACTAGCAAAACTAAAATATGCTGCTTGCACTTAAATATGGACTGATATCAAATTAAATTATTATTACCATAATAAGCTTCAGTAATGTGTATTTCGTTGCAAGATTCTGTAAAGTTAAGAGATGTAAATGAAGAGACGGATCAAGGTCCAGAAGATGATCTCAGACACGGTGCTAAATAAAAACACGAACAAAGGTCCAAATATATGAATAAAACTCATCGAGGAGAAACTGTTGTATTCTGCTTCACCCACACGGCATTAATAAACAAACTGCATGTTTTATCCATTATTGATTCCCCAGTACAGTGCTCCTGGTCTAACCTCTTTCTCATTCTGGGAAAAGAAGAGATTCATTTGATTGTTCAGCTTTTTAAGAATCACTGATGTGAAAAGAGTTTGGGAGTTTTGTGATTCTGGTTAAGTCTGTTTGGTTTTCAGTATCAGTTACTGAGTTCTAAGATCTAAAAAATACAAACAGCATCATTGGTAAAGTATTCCACGGCTCTCACAGAAAAGGTCCTGTTCGGGGTCATCCTAGTCCTTGAGAGATGGAGGTCAAATAATGTCTCATTCTAAGACTTTTATAAACTGTAATGATGAACTATTATACATTTAAATGCATTCTACAATATACAGGGATTGAAGGTCATTTTATATTAACAAGGGGAACCTAAATGAAACAATGATCACTCACCTGTCATGGTGAATATCCCGATGACAAATAAAGGTTACGATTTCCAAAACGTCCATCTCTGAGGCTACACTTTTCTTCTGCTTCCTTTGGGACTTTGAGGAGGCACAGAGAGAAAACCACAACAGTCGTCAGGTTCACTGAGAAGGATTTAAGAAGATGAAGGAGCCAAGAGAACAGGACAACTCTTTGATTCTTCTTTATGTAACGCCCGAAAAGGGTGATTAAAGGAGAAAGATGTATAATCGTGTACAACTATCAAGGATGGACCAGAAGAAATCAGAAAGAAACGGCTCCTGGGTAATTATGGGCTTAAAGGCAGTGTTTAAACCAGTGCAGATTTTAAACCACACACCAGAATGAACAGGACATAGGACAAAACACACAATAGGCAGTTCATGTTTGTACACCTGTGTTTTAGTGTAGAATCCCTTTGATTAAACTTAGTTTAATTTAGTTGGATTAACCTTTAAGTTTATAGTTCAATGAGTTAACTCTTTAGATAGCATTTATTTAAATCGCTTTAGTGCATGTTCAAAAGTGAAGTTCAGTTGAGTATAGATAGTGTTGTTGTTGCTTACAACAATCCTGACTTTAACAATATTTCAAAATAAAACGAAGCAAAAGGCTGAACAAATCTGTTCTCCACAGAAAAGTCTTTTAGTTGTGTTCCTTTTCTCTAAATTACCTGGTATAGGTCAATCCTACCAGTTCAGATGAAAAAAACCATGCACAGTTGTGAAGGTTCTCAGGCTGGTTCTCGGGCTGGTTCTCAGGCTGGTTCTCGGGCTGGTTCTCGGGCTGGTTCTCGGGCTGGTTCTCGGGCTGGTTCTCGGGCTGGTTCTCGGGCTGGTTCTCGGGCTGGTTCTCGGGCTGGTTCTCGGGCTGGTTCTCGGGCTGGTTCTCGGGCTGGTTCTCGGGCTGGTTTCTTGGGCTGGTTCGCGGGCTGGTTGGTTCTCGGGGCTGGTTCTCGGGCTGGTTCCCGGGCAGGTTCTCGGGCTGGTTCGCGGGCTGGTTCTCGGGCTGGTTCTCGGGCTGGTTCGCGGGCTGGTTGGCTCCCGGGCTGGTTCTCGGGCTGGTTCGCGGGCAGGTTCTCGGGCTGGTTCTCGGGCTGGTTCTCGGGCTGGTTGGTTCGCGGGCTGGTTGGTTCGCGGGCTGGTTCTCGGGCTGGTTCGCGGGCTGGTTGGTTCCCGGGCTGGTTGGTTCGCGGGCTGGTTCTCGGGCTGGTTCTCGGGCTGGTTCTCGGGCTGGTTCGCGGGCTGGTTGGTTCCCGGGCTGGTTGGTTCGCGGGCAGGTTCTCGGGCTGGTTCTCGGGCTGGTTCGCGGGCTGGTTGGTTCCCGGGCTGGTTGGTTCGCGGGCAGGTTCTCGGGCTGGTTCTCGGGCTGGTTCTCGGGCTGGTTCTCGGGCTGGTTCTCGGGCTGGTTCTCGGGCTGGTTCTCGGGCTGGTTCCCGGGCTGGTTCGCGGGCTGGTTCTCGGGCTGGTTCTCGGGCTGGTTCGCGGGCTGGTTCTCGGGCTGGTTCTCGGGCTGGTTCTCGGGCTGGTTCTCGGGCTGGTTCTCGGGCTGGTTGGTTCCCGGGCTGGTTGGTTCCCGGGCTGGTTGGTTCCCGGGCTGGTTCCCTGGCTGGTTCGCGGGCTGGTTCTCGGGCTGGTTCTCGGGCTGGTTCGCGGGCTGGTTCTCGGGCTGGTTCTCGGGCTGGTTCTCGGGCTGGTTCTCGGGCTGGTTCTCGGGCTGGTTGGTTCCCGGGCTGGTTGGTTCCCGGGCTGGTTGGTTCGCGGGCTGGTTCTCGGGCTGGTTCGCGGGCTGGTTGGTTCCCGGGCAGGTTCCCAGGCTGGTTCGCGGGCTGGTTGGTTCTCGGGCTGGTTCTCGGGCTGGTTCCCGGGCAGGTTCTCGGGCTGGTTCTCGGGCTGGTTCGCGGGCTGGTTGGTTCCCGGGCTGGTTGGTTCGCGGGCTGGTTCTCGGGCTGGTTCTCGGGCTGGTTCTCGGGCTGGTTCTCGGGCTGGTTCTCGGGCTGGTTCTCGGGCTGGTTCTCGGGCTGGTTCTCGGGCTGGTTCTCGGGTTGGTTCCCGGGCTGGTTGGTTCGCGGGCTGGTTCTCGGGCTGGTTCTCGGGCTGGTTCTCGGGCTGGTTCTCGGGCTGGTTCTCGGGCTGGTTCTCGGGTTGGTTCCCGGGCTGGTTGGTTCTCGGGCTGGTTCTCGGGCTGGTTCTCGGGTTGGTTCCCGGGCTGGTTGGTTCGCGGGCTGGTTCTCGGGCTGGTTCTCGGGCTGGTTCTCGGGCTGGTTCTCGGGCTGGTTCTCGGGCTGGTTCGCGGGCTGGTTCTCGGGCTGGTTCCCGGGCTGGTTGGAGAGTGGATCGGCATCTTGTTTCAGTCACGATTTTAGTATAGCTGGATTTCTTCAACCCGCACTAAATGGCCTATCATACACAACATGAAATGAGTATGAATAATAAAAATGAAATGCTTGTTAGCTCTAACCAAGAAAAGTCTGGTTTAAGACCTAAACGGTACAATTTGGAGTAATGCCGCCGCCATTAACTAACTACACGAACTACAGGCAGGCCCATGAGGCAGGCCCATGAACTACAGGCAGACCCATGAACTACAGGCAGACCCATGAACTACAGGCAGACCCATGAACTACAGGCAGACCCATGAACTACAGGCAGACCCATGAACTACAGGCAGACCCATGAACTACAGACAGACCCATGAACTACAGGCAGACCCATGAACTACAGGCAGACCCATGAACTACAGGCAGACCCATGAACTACAGACAGACCCATGAACTACAGGCAGACCCATGAACTACAGGCAGACCCATGAACTACAGGCAGACCCATGAACTACAGGCAGACCCATGAACTACAGGCAGACCCATGAACTACAGGCAGACCATGAACTACAGGCAGACCCATGAACTACAGGCAGACCCATGAACTACAGGCAGGCACCCATGAACTACAGGCAGACCCATGAACTACAGGCAGACCCATGAACTACAGGCAGACCCATGAACTACAGGCAGACCCATGAACTACAGGCAGACCCATGAACTACAGGCAGACCCATGAACTACAGGCAGACCCATGAACTACAGACAGACCCATGAACTACAGGCAGACCCATGAACTACAGGCAGACCCATGAACTACAGGCAGACCCATGAACTACAGGCAGACCCATGAACTACAGGCAGACCCATGAACTACAGGCAGACCATGAACTACAGGCAGACCCATGAACTACAGGCAGACCCATGAACTACAGGCAGACCCATGAACTACAGGCAGACCCATGAACTACAGGCAGACCCATGAACTACAGGCAGACCCATGAACTACAGGCAGACCCATGAACTACAGGCAGACCCATGAACTACAGGCAGACCCATGAACGTACAGCGTCTGTGCCTTCATTTGACGTTAAAATACACTTTTCACTCTCACATTTGATCAAAAACCACATAAGTCAGTTAACATAACCAAACATTTGTATGAAACTATATTTACACTAAACTAATACTCAATACATGAAACAAAAACATACATTTCTTTCACCCACCAAGTCCCGATAATCGAAAAACCAAGTGTTTTCTCTGTTATTTGCAGCATCCATAGACTGTATATATTAACATCTATGGTAATAACCAGCAGAACCAGCACCAGTGCGTGTTCCGTTCATGGTACCGTAACATAACAGAACCTTAGCGTGCACTTGTCGAGCTGGAAGGTCCCGGAAGAATCTGATTGGCTCTTGCCAGTCACATGACTCACGCAGGACTACGTCATATTGAAAAATACAAGATTTTAAATGAAGATAAACGTGAATAACTTTTAAACGTTTTTTCACTGTTTCAACAGATTATATAAAAATAAAATGTATTAAAACTGTTTTCAGCGACTGGCCCTTCAGAGACAGGCCCTTCAGAGACTGGCCCTTTAGAGACTGGCCCTTTAGAGACTGGCCCTTCAGAGACAGGCCCTTCAGAGACTGGCCCTTTAGAGACTGGCCCTTCAGCGACTGGCCCTTCAGCGACTGGCCCTTTAGAGACTGGCCCTTCAGAGACTGGCCCTTTAGAGACTGGCCCTTCAGCGACTGGCCCTTTAGAGACTGGCCCTTCAGAGACTGGCCCTTCAGCGACTGGCCCTTCAGCGACTGGCCCTTTAGAGACTGGCCCTTCAGAGACTGGCCCTTCAGCGACTGGCCCTTCAGCGACTGGCCCTTTAGAGACTGGTCCTTCAGGCACTGGCCCTTCAGGCACTGGCCCTTCAGAGAGTGGCACATGACCATAGGCCGTATGTCAGGAGTGGACTATCAAAGTGCTGATGTCACCCATAGCTCCTGGAGAAAGCAGGAGCTAGTTGAAGCCTATTTCCTTATATGGGCATTTGTTTTGATGCATTGTGCCTTATGTGGCTCATATCTGGATTTACACAGAGCAAAACTGAGCAGCGAGAGTAATCACAATATGGCACCTTTTTGTCAAAGAGAGCAGTGAGTTGAGGCTGATTAGATCAATGTAAAAGTCGTTGCTCAAATATTTCCCCTCATTTGTCACTTTGCATTGGTGAATTTGCCCAATAATGTGTTTTACTGGCATTATATATTAATTTGTATTACGGTAAGGGTAAAAGATCATTTAGAAGTACTACTGTTGGGGATATGGGAAACTATGGAGGTGTATGAAGAAACTAAATCAGCTGCTGCTGCATCATTCCTTCAGTGGCTCCATCTCACAATCCTCCGTTTCCAACTTCAAACTGTGGTCTCTAGCGCCCTCTACTGGAGCCAGTGGGAAAGTAAAGTGTTTCTCCTTGACTTGAAACACATCCCATTTCTGTGGAAGCAGGCCCTTTTTGAAGAGAACAGAAGCCAGGTAAGAAAAACACAATATGGTCAGGAAGCCACACAACATGGAGATGGTTTTAACCGGAGAGTGCTGCACATAGACGCCGTCCTCCAGAGTGCATCCTGGGAAATGTAGTACCACAGGCAGACCAATGGTTGGTCTGCCTGTGGTACACAGAAGCCTCAAAGAAACTCCAACAAAGAAGCCTATTGTTGCGCGTATGCATTTGAAATATTAAAAAACAGCACACAAACTAATTGAGGGAAGACAACCAGATAAGCCACTTCTGCACCGATCAAAATGATTAAAACAGCACTATTGTGAAGGTTAGTTAGAACAGCTCCAATTACACCAGCCACAGTCACAGAGACACGGATCACCCACTGGAACTCTCTGTCAGATGCCTAAAAGAAAGGGATAGACATGTTTTTCTGTAATCATGAACCAAATGTTATAACTTTCTTCTCACCTGGGGTCTGAGAAAGCTCTTGTAAATGTTGACAGTGAAGACAGAGGAGGCAGACAGCATCACAGAGTCTGCAGAGGACATGGCAGCCGCAGCCACACAGCCCATCCCTATTATGGAGACGTAGAATGGGGTGAGGTGCTGCAGGGAGATGGGCAGGACTAGGGCGGCTTCTCCTCGCTCATATGGAGAAGGAGATCCATACGACGTCTGGTTCCAGTCTAAGGAAATATTTCTCTATTAATTATCTGCAGCAACGATGACCTCCAGATTAAATAATTCATGTTTAAACATTTGTTATGAGGACCTGTTGAGGAAGCAGCAGCTCCTAAAAGCACTATATGCGAGGAAATCTGACCTAGGTGTCAGACACAGTAACTTAATAAAAGTTCAGACAGACAGAAATAGTTCTAACAGTAGGGTTGTTAAATGTGGTTTAATGAACGTCAGATCAATCTCGTCTAAATCGCTTCTCATAAACGAACTTATTATAGACAAGGGCTTGGATCTGTTTGCGCTCTCGGAGACTTGGCTCCAACAGGACGACTACGTTAGATTGAATGAGTGCACTCCTCCGACGCATGTTAACTACCAGAAAGCCAGAGCTACAGGTCGCGGCGGTGGCGTTGCGATTATATCACACACCAACTTGGTTCTTAGTCCCAAAACCAACAACGCTTTTCACTCGTTTGAAAACTTAACACTTTCAATCACCTGTCCTGGGTGGAGAAAACAAAAAGCAGTACTATTTATAGTTTTATACCGACCTCCTGGTCCTTACAGCGAGTTCCTAACAGAATTCTCTGACTTCATTTCAAACCTAGTTTTGGAATGGGAAAACATAGTTATAGCTGGAGACTTCAATATACATGTGGACGACAGCACTGACAGCTTAAACAAAGCTTTCAGCGCCGTACTAGATGGTGTTGGTTTTACTCAGAATGTTGAGGAACCTACTCACATTCATAACCACACCTTGGACCTTGTCCTGACCTACGGCTGTGATGTCTCCAATGTTGACATCCAGCGTCAAAGCTCGTTGCTGTCTGACCATTTCTTGATCACGTTTGATCTCGCTTTGGAGGACTTTCCTGTCCCGCAAGATAAAATCATAATGAAAAGAACCTTAAATGATAAATCTATCACAAGGTTCAAAGAACTAATACAGCCTATGTTGAATACTGCTGCAGGTGAACCTGTTCACAGCAGCTGCAGTCCCTCAGTCATTGACCAAACGGTGGGCAACACTATGGAGTCTTTAAAATCTGCATTAAATGCAGCAGCTCCTTTAAAACAGAAAACCATTAGGATTAGATCATCGTCGCCCTGGTACAGTGTTCAACTCCACACTTTAAAACAGGACGTCAGAAAATTGGAGAGGCTATATCGCCACTCCCACTCGGAGCCTGTCCACAGGGAGTGGAAAGCAGGTCTCCGAAACTACAAGAAGGCCCTTCGCGGGGCTCGAACTCAATACTATTCAACTTTAATAGAAGCGAATAAAAACAACAGTAGATTTTTGTTTGGCACCGTCGCTAAACTCACAAACTGCCATAGCGCAATCGAGCCTAAAATTCCAAGCTCACTGAGCAGTGTCGACTTTCTCCACTTCTTTAATAATAAAATTACATCCATCCGTGACAAACTGGAGGAGGTTAATCCTGCTGTTGGTAGTGGACAGGTTGAAGCGGCATACGTGACTTCCCACTTAGACTCTTCAGTGGGCCTTAATAAATTCATGGCTGTGAGCCAAGCAGAGGTGATCTCTGTGGTCACATCCTCAAAAGCCTCAACTTGCATGTTAGACGCAGTCCCGACATGGCTCTTCAAAGACATACTTCCTTTGATAATTGAGCCTATCGTAAATATAATAAATGCATCCATACAATGTGGCTTTGTCCCACAAGCTTTTAAAACCGCGGTAATCAAACCCCTTCTGAAGAAAACAAACCTGGACCCAGAAATACTTACAAACTACAGACCGATCTCAAACCTCACTTTTATATCTAAAATCCTGGAAAAACTTATAGCTGAGCAGCTCCGCTGCCACCTGCAGGAAAATGATATGTTTGAAGTCTTTCAATCAGGATTCAGAGCTCATCATAGACTGAAACGGCACTAGTCAAAGTCACAAATGACTTACTACTAGCTGCTGATAATGGACAAGTGTCAGTGCTGGTCCTACTGGACCTTAGTGCTGCATTTGACACAATAGACCACAGCATTCTACTGCAGAGGCTAGAATGTGATATAGGTCTTAGAGGAACAGCCCTTGGCTGGTTTAAATCCTATTTATCAGATCGATATCACTTCGTCAATGTGAATCAGGACTCGTCGCCTTATTCTGGAGTGGAATTCGGTGTGCCGCAGGGTTCGGTACTCGGACCGATTCTTTTTACTCTCTACATGCTGCCACTGGGAAACATTATTAAAAAGCATGGAATTAATTTCCACTGCTATGCAGATGACACACAGCTTTATCTGTCGATGAAGCCTAATCAGACAGATCAGCTAGAAAAGCTCAGTGCTGCATAAAGGACCTTAAAATTTGGATGACTCTTAACTTCCTACTTCTCAACCCGGAGAAGACAGAAGTGATCCTACTCGGTCCGAAGCGCCTGCGTGACTCCCTCACTAACCAGATGGTTACTCTCGATAATGTCAGTATAATACCCAGTAACACTGTGAGGAATCTTGGAGTCATTTTTGACCAAGAACTCTCCTTCAAGGCTTATATAAGCCAAGCAACTAAAACGGCGTACTTCCACTTACGGAACATCGCTAAAATTAGGAATTTCCTTCCTAAAAGTGACGCGGAAAAACTCATTCACGCGTTTGTCACCTCAAGGCTCGACTACTGTAACGCTTTACTGGCAGCGTGCCCTAAAGCCTCTTTGAAGAGCTTCCAGCTCGTTCAGAATACAGCAGCTAGGATCTTAACAGGTACCAAAAGGAGGGAGCACATAACTCCGGTGTTAAAATCACTCCACTGGCTCCCTGTGGAGTACAGAATAAAGTTTAAAATCCTTCTCTTAACATATAAAGCCATAAATGGCTTGGCTCCTTCTTATCTCCAAGACACGTTAGTGTCGTATCAACCAAGTCGAGCGTTGCGCTCACAAAACGCCAGACGTCTGGTGGTTCCTAAGGTCTCAAAGGTCACTGTTGGTGGCAGAGCATTTAGCTCCAAGCTCCTTTACTGTGGAATCAGCTTCATTTATGTTAAGGAAGCAGATACGGTCTCCACATTCAAGGCCGGGCTTAAAGCACTTTACTTTAATTTAGCATATAATTAGGTAATATATAATATGTAGTGTATATATTATATATGTATGCTGTATTATGTTATATATTATGTTATATATTATTCAATAATGTATTGTGTTATGTTGTATATTATGTTATATATTATGCTGTATGTTATTCTTTATTCAAGGCTAGGTTTAAAACAGTCCTCTTTAGTTTAGCATATGGCTAGGAAGGTAAGACTCGGAGAAGGTTAAACTCCTCAGACTGTCAGTCAAGCTGCATAGGGAGCCCCCTGCTGGAGAGGTATGGTAACTTGAGCACTATCCTCTCCTCCTTCCTACTTTATCTGTTTAGCATTTTTAGGATTCTGACTGTAGTTTGTTCATTGCTATTCACCCGTTGTCCCATTGTCTGTTTCATGGTACGATGACGGGATCTCCGAGCCTGGCCTCTTCCATCTACACCTGCGGACTGCCCCGCCCGACCCGCCTGGGAGTGCTTCAGTCCTGCACCGGACCTGTCCACGTTCAGCGTCCACTGGTCCACGTTCTGTAGCTAGCTTAGGTCCTAGATCATTAGCCTGTCCGTCCGGAGGAGCGGATCCCTTTCTCATATGGGTCTACCTCCCTGTGGGTTTCCCTAGTGCTCCCCAAGGTTTCTCACTTTTTCCCACTGGGTTTTTTAAGAGTTTTTCCTTGTCGATGCAGGAAGGTCTTGTTGGACAGTTAGTGTCCAACAGAAAGGATTGGTGATGATCAGGACACTTTAGCATTCTATCAATCAATCAATCAACGTTTATTTATAGAGCGCCTTTCCTACACAAGGCAACGCAAAGCGCCTCACAACCCATATAACATCATGCATAAATCATCAAACATTAGAATTTAAGTAAACATAAAAGGACAGATTAAGAGCACAAGATATATAAAATCACACAAGTAGTTAAAAACCGTAAAACATTAAAATCACACAAGGGATTACAATCATAAATAATCATAAATAATCATAGTGCATTAAAAAGATTAAAGATAAAAACAAATATAAAATCATTCACTTGTATGCACAGCTAAAAAGAACTGTTTTCAGTTCAGTTTTAAAAACTGCTAGAGTAGACGCCTGTCTCACACTCTCGGGAAGACGGTTCCAGACTCTAGCTGCATGAATCTGAAACGCAGCCTCCCCATGTCTAGTTCCGACTCTTGGCACTAACAGAAGTCCAGTCCCTGTGCTCCTCAGAGCCCGAGTTGGTTCATATGGCACCAACATGTCGCGGATGTACCCTGGTGCGAGGCCATGGAGAGACTTGTACACAAGTAAAGCTACTTTAAAATCTATTCTCTGAGCCACAGGAAGCCAGTGCAGAGACCTGAGGACCGGACTAATGTGGTCGTACTTCCTGGTTCTAGTCAGGAGTCGAGCTGCAGCATTTTGGATGTACTGCAGCTGTTTTACCGCCTGTTTAGAGAGACCTGTGAACAAGCCATTGCAGTAGTCCAATCGACTGGAGACAAATGCATGGATAAGAATCTCCAAGTCTGCTTTAGACACAATGTTTTTAATTTTAGCAATGTTTCTTAGGTGGAAGTAAGCTGATGATGTCACAGATGATATGTGGCTATTGAAATTCAAGTCTGAGTCCATTATTACTCCTAGATTTCTGACCTGAGTTGAGGGTTTCAGGGAGAGAGACTGGAGGTGGCAGATAACGCTCTCTCTTTGTTTTTGAGGTCCGAAAACAATAATTTCAGTTTTTTCTGTGTTTAGCTGGAGAAAGTTATTTTGCATCCAATCACTGATTTGTTGGATACAGTGAAGGAGCGAGTCCACTGGTCCATGTTCTCCTGCTGTCAGGGACACATAGACCTGAGTATCGTCAGCATAATTGTGATAGGACACGTTATTACTGTGTATTAACCTACCCAGAGGCAGCATGTAAATATTAAACAGGAGAGGCCCCAGGATTGATCCCTGTGGCACTCCGCAGGTTAGGGCCAGATGGTCTGAGATACAGTTTCCGATCTCCACAAAATACTTTCTGTCCTGTAGGTAGGATATAAACCAGCTTAGGGCTGTTCCAGAAACACCAACCCAGTCCTCAAGTCTCTGAATGAGGATACCATGATCGACAGTGTCGAAAGCAGCACTTAAATCTAACAGGATAAGAACTGAGACTTTTCCTGCGTCAGTGTTAAGTCTGATGTCATTTGTTACCTTCACTAGAGCGGTCTCTGTGCTGTGGTGGGGTCTAAAACCAGACTGGAACATATCAAAAGAGTGATTGATTATTAAAAATTCTGTAAGTTGTTGATAGACAACTTTTTCTAGAATTTTACCCATGAAAGGCAGATTTGAAATGGGCCGATAACTTTTAAGTGCCAAGGCATCCAGACTCCTCTTTTTTAGGAGGGGTCTGATGACCGCCGTTTTCAGGGCCATTGGGAATGTTCCAGATTCAAGAGACATATTTACTATATGCGTGAGTGAAGGTAAAAGACTGCTCAGAACAGATTTAAGAAATCTAGGAGGTAATACATCCAGGCTACATGTAGAAGAACTCAGACTTGTAATTATCATTTGGACAGTTTCATTTTGTACTGGTGTAAAGTGTGTCAGCCCAAAAAGCTTCACTGGCTGTTGGATTGTAATTTCTACTGTGGAGGTGATGGCATTTTTGATGCCTTGGACTTTGTCATTAAAAAACTCTGCAAACTCATTACATTTGGTTTTGGAGGTAAGCTCTGATGGCATCTTAACAGGGGGATTTGTCAATTTATTTACTGTTGAGAACAGAACGCGTAGATTGTTACTGCAACCTTCGATTGTTTCGGAAAAATAAGTTTCCCTCGTTCTACGTAGCACACTGTTGAACTTGCACAATGCATCTTTGAAGATCTCATGGTCAACTTGGAGATTTGACTTTCGCCACTTCCGCTCGGCTCTCCGGCACTCTCTCTTCTGTGCCCTGACAGAGTCTGCTTTTGTCCATGGCGCTTTTTGCTTATTTGTAACAATTTTGACCTTTACAGGAGCAATCGTGTCCAGAACATCCAAAACACTAGAGGTGACAGAGTTAAGTAATTCATCCACAGTAGAACACAACGTGTTATCAAAGTTTATCATCCCCATGAAAAGTTCACCTGTATTTTTGTTTATGTGTCTTCTTCTTCTAACATGTATGGACATTTTTTTTCTGTGTGTGCTTTATATTCTTCATGTGTTTTAACTGTTGATTCTCTGACCTGTGTTGGTGATTTCAATGGTTTTGTTAAGTCCTCTGAGATGACTTCTGTTGTGACCTAGGGCTATACAAGAATACATTGTATTGTATTGTATCCTATTAGAAGAGAGGGAATCCCCATGAGCACAACCAGAACAGAAGCGAAACAGCAGGTGACTGTGGCTGTGCGAGTGGAGGAGGCAGACAGTGTCCTCTGGTGAACACACTGGTATCCCAGACTGCCCAAGGCCTGGCGAGTCAAACCTCTGTTGAACTGTTGAATTTACATCAGATGTTGGTGTACGATGGAACAAAACTCACCAAATATAAAAAGTCATCCAGTTTTCTCCCAATACTTTTTGTATCTGTTTGACCAACCCATGGGGCGTGTAGGCTGTTGTTAAAGAACGTCTCTCTTATGTCAAGACAGAGTGGAAGGATTCATCAGCACAAATGGGACACACAACCACTGAAACACAACAATATCTTTTTCTCATGTGTTTTTCTCGTCATATTAACACAGTCTCAAATATTAAGGAAATGCCAGAGATGTCAAGCACCTAGCTATGCATATAAATGTACACACATACTTGTCTAAATCCTGATTGCAGTACATTAGATGATTTCGTACCAAACTTCCAAACACCAGGATGAGCTGTATGACGTCTGTGTAGGCCACAGAGTAGAGACCCCCCAGCAGAGTGTAGACTATGGCCACAGCAGCAGAGACCCAGATACAGAGACTGTAGGACACATCCAGGACCACACTGAGCGTTGACCCTAAGAAAACCAATGGTCCCCTTTTTTATGTTAAATGACTGGCAGTGGGACAGTGTTGTGTTTTACCGAGGCAGATGAGTACTCCGGCCAACAGCAGAAGGTCCAGACACACAGACACCAGGGATAGTGCTGCAGTCAGGACCCTCCCATACCTCCAGTGGAACGGGTCCAACATGGTGACGAATTTATTTTCTCTCATCGGCTTCGCAAACATAAACCCACCTAAAACAAACAGACGCAGAACACCCCACCTTAATAACCGATCTTCAACTCAACATTGAATATTTCATGGATCTAAGAGTGTTTCTGAAGCTGCTGTGGATGAGGCCCTTGAGAAAGAGCTGTTTTAGGCGGAAACGTCCAACAGTAAAAGGTCAGAGTTTATATGCAGCACAGACAAAAAGTTTGGACACCTTCTCATTCAAAGAGATTTTTATTTTCATGATTATGAAAATGGTAGATTAACACTGAGGGCCTCAAACCTATGATGAACTCATGTATAGTAAAAAAGTATGAAGTGTAAATATGTGTTATATTCTGGTTCTTCAAAGTAGCTCCTTTTGCTCTGATTCTGCTTCACTCTTGGCATTCTCTGGATGAGCTTTGTTAAGGAAGTTTCTACCCAATGAAGGAGAAAACTCAAAGGTCCTTTGTCTGATCAAAAGCGTAAGTTTATTGTTAACGCACGTGCGGAGAGCCAGCACATCCACTCAAAGGCAGCATGTCCCAGCTCTGGGGCCAGAGCCCCGAGCTTCCTGTATACAAGACACACACCAAAGCCAGTCCCGCCCACAACAGATGGGAGGGGGGCCACCGGTGCAGGAGGCGCATAGGGATGCAAACAGGCTGCAGGATGTAGGAAGTGCACACATACAGACCGATACATATGCAAGAGGTGAAAGGGGGCAAGAGTGATCGCCATTGTCTGTAGGTGTCGGGGGGGGCCCGGCTCCTTCCTGGCAGCAGGGACATATGGATAGGAGCAGGCATACCGATTCAAGATACGAAAGACACAAGGGTGTGACAGACAGCAGGGGGCCCTCACAAAGCTCAGCATGGCGTCAGAAGGGCGTCTCTGCCTTGATAAAAGGCCTTTGACGTCCGTGTATTTGCTGCGGCTGGTTTTATGTAATTACTCCAAAAACTGTCACCACACTCCCCTCTTTTGATAATTCAAAACCATTTTTGCATTAATCAGTTAAATACCAGAGGCATCGTAATCACACCACCTTCAAGCTTGAAACACTTAAATTATTGCTGTCCAAAGTGGACAAGAAAAGAAACATGCTTGTCAATAAAAGAAAGAGCACATTATAATAACACAATGGATCCGGACAGCGATAAGAGAAGACAATATTAACATAATAAACACGGTCAGCACGGAAAGTAGTGTCAGTGTGGCCAGCATAACAGTCCAAGGGCCCATGCCGGTCTTAGCCGGGCTACGTTCGGTAGTCTTTTCCGCGGGAATACTCACGAGCAGTGCCGTCTCGCAGTCAGTGGCACCGCTCCCTATGAGCGTGTGTGGAGCGTTAGTGGCCATGGCGATGTTTGGTCTTGGAGCGGCAAGACTCTAATTGCGTTGAAGCCTTGGCCTCAGCACTCGGTTGGGCAGAGTGCTCGGGGTTTGGGGTGTGGAGACCATGGCTTGAGCACGCTCCAGATCGGCCAGGCCCAAAGCTCGTTTGATGGGAGACCTCATGACAGCACGCTTCACCATGTGCCTCATCAGGAACTGTAGAGCAGCCCTCATCTCCACCTCCTCCGGACACACGGGAGACGAGACACCAGGGGGGCACTCCAGCAGAGCTCAAATCTGCATTATGGCCAGAGGGAGCAAGCTCTGGAGAAATCTTTGGAATGGGCAGCAGCTCTGCATACTTGCTGCAGCTGAGCAGAGCGCTCAGGGCCTTCATGGCTCCCAAGCCTTGGGATCCGGGGGCTGGGGAGTTGGGCAGAAGGGGGGTCGCCTCGGGAACGCTGGGATTCTCTGGGTGTTGTTGTTGGCCTGCTTCACCGACGGTGGCCGCACGCCGGCCAACTTCTTCAGCGTAGGGAGCCGCGGATGGGCCTGGTCCGTCCGCGCCCTCGGTGTCCTCGTCTATGGCCCTCAGTGGCAGCACCGCACGACAGTGGTTGGCGTGGATCCAAGTTGTCCTCTCCGCGACCTTAACGGCAGTGTCCGTCACCAGGAGGGCGAGGAATGGGCCGAGCCAGCGCTTGGACCGCCAGTGCTTTCGTCTCGTTTCCTTCACCAGGACCCAGTCGCCTGCGCAGCCTGTGGCAGGGCGCTCCTGACCTGGGCAGAAATAGAGGACAAAAGTGCATTAATTTCCTTACAATAGGACAGCATGTCGTCATCACACAAAGAGGTGCTTGGCAGATCTCTGTTCGGGGGTCCCGCGCCCAACGTGGGGCTAGCGGCAGAGCTTTGAGTGCCATTCTCTCGCTCGCACGTGCCTCCGGACCAGGGGGCGTAACTGCAGTGTTTACGTATATCAATGCCCAGAAATTCACCCACTTCCTCAATGACTTTTGCTACAAAGTGGCTGCCATTGTCACTAGAGATTTTCCCTCGGGACACCCCATCGTGGCACAATTTCTGTGAGCAGAGCTTTCACCACCGCGTTGCTCGTGGCGTGTTTGCATGCAAATATTCAGTCCATTTGGACCAGAGATCCACCAGGCCCAGACAGTATTACTTACCTTGGCATGGTGTGAGTTCAACAAAGTCCCTTTGGACATGTTGAAATGGGCGCAGGGGCGGAGGATGAGCAGCCTGTTGGATACTTTTGGGACTTACCTGGGTTGTGCGCGAGGCATATAGCGCATGTTTGGCAGAATCTCTGTGCAAATGCCGTAAACCCCTTTGTATACCAATTTTGTGTGATTAAATCACACATCCCTCCTTTCGAAGCATGGTCTCGGCCATGTGCTAAAATTGCAAAATGTCTGAAGAAATGCCGTGGTAGGCACGGTTTGCTGTCTGGTCCCAGCCACACACACCATGCCGTCGTTGAGCCCCATTCCCCTCCCACAGCAGCGTCTCTGCTGGAGTAGAAAATATCAACGTCTTGAGTGAGGTAGTGTGTGTGTGTGTGTAGAGGTGCGTATGCCGCTGCCTTGTCCGCGCGCCGATTCCCTGCAGAGATGGGATCAGTGGCATTAGTGTGGGCCTGGCATTTGCGTACATCGATCTCTAAGGGCAACATTACAGCTTTCAGCAGACGTTCAACCTGTGTGGAATTAAGAATTGGTTTACCATCAGATCACAGAATATGTTAACAGTTTTGCCCGCTGCCAGCTCACAAGCCCCGGTGGGCGCGACCAGCTCAGCGGTTTGTGCTGAATGGTAGTGGGGCAAACTACCAGAGTCTATAGTATCAAAATCAGAACACACAGCATAGCCGACTCGGTTCTTCCCAGTGTTGTCACGTGACGCGGCTCCGTCTGTATAAAAAAAATCAAGTCAGGATTAGTCAGAGGCACCTCTTTCAGGTCTGGCCTGGGAGTGCATATCTGTTCTATTGTGGCGATACAGCAGTGTGCCTCCCCTTCCTCTGGCGTGGGCAGCAGCGAGGAGGGGTTCAGCTGTGTGCATCCCTTCACCGTAGTTCAAAGAGCACCGTGTTGTACCCCAGCCAACGAGCCGCAGAAAGGCGAGAGGCCCTCTGCTCTAACAGGATCAGGGAAACAGCATGGGGCACAAGCAAAGTTAGTTCAGTGTATCCCACAAGGTCACGTGATGCTAGGGCCGCTTTCTCAGCGGCAGCCACAGCCCGCAGGCAGCGAGGCAACCCTGCTGCCACGGGATCGAGTTTTGCTGAGAAGTAAGCAGTGGGTCTCAGTGGCCCTCCGTGAGACTGCAAAAGTACCGACACCATGCACCCACATCGCTCATCCACAGTCTGAGTGAATGGCCGTTGGGTCAGGGAGACCTAGTGTGTGTGTGTAGATTTGCTGTTCCGTTCATCTCCAGTTGCTTTTCTCCCGGATCGTCCTCAATTCATATTGTGGGCTTTTGTGCCAAAGTGGAGGCTCATTTCCTCATGATCCATACTACTGTCATCCCTGGAGCAGGGGTAGTTTATCTCTCATCTGAAAAAGAAATATCAGAACACAAAAAAAACACAAAAAATGCCCACTTTCGCTTGTCAATCTTTTTCCCAATTGGGCAAAACATAACTGCATTGACAGGCGGTGTGTGGCATCAGGGCAGAGGCTGTAGCCAAATACAGAACAACAAAATGTATGTTTCTAATTTTATACTCCCCTAAATGTGAGTTTACGAACCAAAGTTGTCCTCCGCCCAATGACCGCTCACTGCGGTTGGACCGAATCACTGTCAGGACAAACAGCAGAGGGAGGAACTCCCAATATCTTCAGCAAGGTATTTCATCTCCGAGTACTTTCCGCAGAGTACTTTTCTCAGAGTACTCATCCCAGAGTACTCTCACTTTTACACCTGTTCAATAAAGGTCGTTATCTTTGAATCTCTAGTACTTACACCGTATGCTGTTGACAAAAAATAATTATTCCATGATCACATTAAAACATTACAGACACATTTGTTATTCCATGATTCCGTTCAGCATTCCTCATTTCACTCCACACTCACATCACACTCACATCACAGTCACATCACCGATGTGCCGATGGGGCCGATTCCCCACGTTAGTATTGGTCCAGAGTTTGTTAAGGTCAGCGTAGTGTACTTTGACATGACACACAAACATATAACATACACAAAACATATAACACACAAACATGTAACACACACAGAAGGCCTGTAATTTTAACTTTGTTATATTTTCCCATGTCCAATTACAATTGTCTCATGAGCTCTTCCTATTGTTGCAACTTTCAGAGCCTGCAGAACATGCAAAGCTTTTTAAGAGATTTTTCCTAAAAAAAAGAAATCCATTTCCAACTTTAGTGTTTACCACGTGGTCTGTATTTCGGGCTTATCACAGATTGTGTCCCCTATATCTCTAATGAGCTCTTGTCACCTAAAAAATGTTTATTTTCCTTATTTTTTCTTTTTCAATAAAGCCAGGTCGGATTCATTAAAAATGTAAATTAGTCTCAAACTTTAATACTTCACCTTTGTTTCACGATAAAAATGTTTTTGTTGCTCATTAAGTAGCACAGATAGTGGTGCCTATCTCAATAAAC